AGAAGAAGAAGAAGAAGAAGAAGAAGAAGAAGAAGAAGACAGTAGAAGAGGAAGGTATTATTAAATATTGTTGAATATTGTTTTCATAAGAAGATTACTGGAGAGTTACGCCGGGGGGGGTATCATTTTATGGTTGAGATGCGAGGATTGGGATTCGGAGATTCGTGACTGTTTTAGTCTCCTAGAGAGGTGAAAAGCTTGGAGTTAATGGTGTTGTGACGTTGGGGTGGAATAGAATGGAGGATTATGGGTATTGGATTTATTAGATGAGATGAGATGGTATGGGATGGGATTTAGTTAAATGGAGTGTTTTTCCATTGATGGGCATCTAGTTACCAGGAGGGACCTTGGGGGAGTATGGTTGGAATGTTGTGTTGATTTTTAGGGGTATGGGGATGCATGATGTAGGTAGGAGGTAGAAGTATTGATATTGGTGATGGTGCAATGTTCATTTTAGTATTTCAAAGGAGAGAAAGATGACAGGTTCTATAAGTTTTTACATTTTTCTATCTTGTATATTGGACCAGGAGAGATTCATGTAACTCCAAATACATTCTAGGCCACCTTCTAGTTTGACGATCTACATCTACATAGAACGCCAGAGGATTCTAAAGATTGCTGAGAAGATGGCTTGGAGTTCAGCCCCACGATACTTCGACACCCGTCGCTATTGACGTGCTAGCGTAATTTTGGTATATTAGCAATAACAAGTTTTGCAGACAAGAATTTGCTGCCTTTTCTCACTTGAACTCGATTTGTCCCTGTCACTCTCCTCATCCACACACTTTCGTTATAAAACCCTTTCGAGGAACATCTTAGCAAGGTCGTCTAGTCTCAGTTGTAAGTCCGGGATAAATCAAAAATTTTCTTTCTACACCAGTATCACAATCATTGCACATCCTTCAATCGTTTAAGCATATCAACCATCCCTTGATAACTTTAGCACCTCGACAGATGAAACGTAAAATTATTGCAATGTTTTCGGTTAACAACTCTTGGAGGCTGGCACTACTAGTTCAACGAGGTTGAAGCAAAAGACATTTGAAGAGGAGGGAGGTATCGCCTTTCATCTTTTGCATGTCTTCCGGCACAATATCAAAATTGACAAAAAAACATACAACAGTAGGGATTCGCTGGTGGTCACCCACCCAACTACTGATCTACCGATCTGAAGCTTGTGTATGGCAGAGCGGACGGGATGCCCAATTCTCTCCAGTCTGTGGTCGTATGTGATGGAAGGCTATCAACTAGTAGCTATATTTCATTTCTTCATGAGTAGCACACCAAACATCACTTGCCGAAAAATTCCAAATAATCGAAAACATAGATCCCCAATCCCCATTTATATTAATGCTAATTTCTATTACATAGATGTTATGATATTAAAACATTTGAAAACGGGGTTAGTGAACTACTTTTCCATCATACGACTGTATCGTATCATACGAAACCACCTCCACGCCAAGCTTCTTGTCCGACGGCCAAGAATACCTTGTTTGGAAATGCTCCATAACTTATGCAGGCGGATAAGAAAACCTGGGGGTACTTTGATCCAAGTTTGTATTAATGTTTTGAAGTGTTGAGGAGACGGTGGTTGAAAGTTGTGACGGCGTGACAGGCAAATAGAGTGATCAACTATTATAAGCGCTGAAAAGGAGGAACTACACAGCCACGAGCGTTCGAATTGAAGAGAAGCATAAAAAGACTGTGGCATAGTAGCCAGCCGCACGGCGCCTCTCTTTCAAATCGAGAAGCCATTCGTCCTCCAGGATCTTTTTATCATAAAGCTAGCAGCAAGTAAAATTGTTCTGGATTGCCTTGTCCATTCTGAGTATGGCCTAACGATTTTGAGCAAACTGAATTTCAGTTCAATTGCCAGCCTTTTTGGCATTTAACAATTTGAATCTCCCATTCCTAAAAGAGAAATACATTTACAAAACTATTCCCGTGCATCTGACCTTGATATTGAATCCCTATACTTTATCTGACGACACTGTTATTGTCCCTGATGTTCAAGAAATGCGATATGTTCGAAGCGCTTGAGGCCATTTGATGGTGAAATATTATACTTCTTATGAAATTATTCTCCAGTTAGTTTCATATAGTCCGTCCATATATGCTACATAAAAATGTCAGAGCTATCGGAACTAGCCCATTTTCTCGCCATCAGCGTCTTCAAGTCTTCTAACCAAATCTGAAAGATCATTCAGTTGTTGAAGATGCCAAATTTAAATACGTGAAAATATCGGGGTTTGTCCAAGCAATAATTTTAGCTGAGTCTAACTAGTTGATGAGTCCTGATGTAAACTACTACCACATCTCTAGATGAGGGACTTGTCCTGATGGCCTGTTTAACATGCGTCCAGGAGAAAACGGCTTCTACAGTCGGGCGAAAATCTCACAGAAAGGAACGCTCGTTTGTCAAATGCATGAATTAGAAGATATCTATCCGAGTACTTAGCGCAGAAACAAACACGTAGAGACAACATTGCTAGTCTAGACTTCGGCGTTACCCATCGGGACGACACTCTATTGCCGAAAACGAAGGAGTTGAATAGTGAAACTGCAACTTCACAGTACAATGATACATGTGTATATAGGAGCTAGGAGCAAAAGACACCATAGCATGAATTCCATTTAAATTGATAAGAGATATGATCATATTTGGTGTCGATGAGCTGATAACACTTGAAGGCAATGATAGGAATTCCAAATCTTTGGTGATTAGCGAGAGTTGTGATGAAAAGAAAGAGATGGAAATTTGAACGCGTCATAAGAGCTTAGAAACAGCTAAGGACATGCCTTATGTTTGAGTATTTAAGTTATTGTAACCAGGAGCTCTTCGGGCAATTCCACGTCCTTGCCGAACTGACTCTGTTATCCGATAATTTTCAGGATTCTAGTTGTAAAGTCCGAAACGGCAAGGGAACATATGTCCAGCATTGTAAGCACAAGGATGTATTTGAATGCATTACCTGCATTGACTGCATGATGATAACACGGGCAACTCCTTTTGGACATGTTTGGCCGTGTTCTCGGATGACCTCCATGGAAACATGGTAAATGGATAGACAGGATGGGAAATACTCTGGGACGTTGGATACAACGCCATCTAACGTTACCAACGTCTAGAACAATTGGGATACAAACAAATGTAATTCGAATGAATATTTCAAGATACGTACGTTATATATATAAAAGGAAAGAGAATACTGCCTGGCCGCGCGGGGAATGAATCGGTCAATTTTATGTTTCAACAGATCGTTCGTTACTTTGCATTGTTGTTTATCAATTTATCCATCACAGCGATAAGAAATCCTAGCTCGCTAGAACCATAGCACCACCAATAGATTGCCCTTCAGCTTCCCCCCCTTCAATCAATGGACCCTCATAATTTCCAAACTTCAATTACTTCAAATGATTACTTTAACGGAGACGGACTTGAGTTACAGTTACCTCAACAAGAACAACAACTGAATACTCATCCTATACAACCAGGTCCAAGGTCCTACAAGTCGCGCAAGTATCGACCTTGTGATTTCTGCCGAGCCCGTCAAGTAAGATGCTCCATATCTTCCGCCCCGCCTTGTCAACTGTGTACATCGCATGGAAAGAGCTGCACATTTGTAGATCGGCCAAAGAAGAAGAGGAGGCCAAATATTGTGACAAGCAATGGTGATAAAGGTAGTGGATCTACAACTTCTACTCGTATGTTACAACATTACACAAAAAGGACAATGGTTGTTCCTTGAGGGAGATTCGCTGACTTTGGCGTCCGTGGAGCTACTGCTCCATTGCAACAATATTGCTCCGCTGCTCATCTTAGTACCAACTTTATCGCACAATATAGCGAGCATAACTTTCAAAGTTTGACTGGACACGATGTCTTGACTGAATCGACTTCGTCTCCAGACCAACATATTCTTGTCCAAGATGGCTCGCCTATATACAGTTTGGATCCTTATTTGGACATGGTGCAAAGCACGCGAATAAGGCCCCTCAACTCGCAGCATTCAAGATCTGCGAGATTTGTTGGCGAATCGGGTGAATCAAATCCATACCTGTTACGCCATTGTCGCTATAATGAAAATGATGAATGCACGATCTCAAAGTTAACATACCGGCGGATCAAGAACTCCTCTACGCACAATGACTTTTCAAATCAGAGCGAGGAGCCGCCTGTGGTCTTCATGCTGGCAGATGATAGCTTTTCACAGAAAGGGGAGCCAAGGGTAAATGATGATGTTCTCGCCGGAGCAGAGGCAGATCTGAGGGGCATGTTCACAGATCAGGAAGCGCTTCGTCTTATAGGACTTTTCTTCCGATTTGTATACCCCTATTTTCCCATTCTATCTAAAAGCCAATCCTTCCAATCGCCAGGTGTACTCTCACCTACGATTGTGCATACATTTCCATGTTCCTTATTGTCAGCAATGTATGCTACCGCTCTACCATTCATTCTATATGATGATATTCTTTCCACGACTCTGGTACATTCACCACCGTCAATTCATGAGTTGTTTCGCCTTTCCTGGATCTTCGTTCAACAGGAGCTCCATGCACCACGGCTTTCAACATTACAAGCATGTCTCTTACTGCTACAGAGAGCTCCCACAAATCGATACACGACAGATACACCTTGGAAGACGAGCCTTGTTGGTTGGACAGTGAGTCTTGCTCAAACTCTGGGTCTGATGAAGGAATGCGGTGACTGGAGTAGTATACCGGTTTGGGAAATGAATTTGCGAAAAAGACTATGGTTTGGGGTTTTCATCATGGATAAATGGGCATCTTTGAATGCCGGTATGCCCAGTCATATTCATGCTGATGATTTTGACGTCCTTCCATTTGGGGATAACGACCTTAAAGCATCTACACCCGATTCTCATCAACACATTACGGATTCAGAACCAGATTCAGAACACTTTCGGCTGCTGACCGAGCTGACCACCATACTCAGCGACATTGTCGATTCATACTATACTCTGAGAGCAACACAACGGACATCTAAGGATCTCTCATTGTCACTTGAACTAGCAAGACCGCTACGCTCACGCCTTAAGTCTTGGAACGATTCTTTACCTCCTTCTATGTCTCTAAGACAACATGAGCATTTCGATTCACGTGGTGTAGCTCAATTAAGCGGAAATCCATCACTTTCACTAGCCTACATCATTGCAACCATGACATTATTCCGAGCTCTCCTCCGACCTTTGGAAAATTTGACAAGTGTAGATGGGGAGGCAACAGTGGGTAGCCGTCTAGCCGTTCGAGCCAGTGCTAGGGAATGTGCCAAAGAAGTCGTCGAATTTGTAGAAAATCTTAGCAGAGGGGCTTTGGATGCCTTTTGGCATTCCTGTAAGTTCTAATAACCGTCGCCCATTCATAGTCTCTAACAAAACTCAGGGTCTCGTGCAAACTTCGCAATAGCATCATCATTTCTCATGCAACTCCTCGTTACAGCCGAAAATGAAACTGAATCGGCAGAAATCAACGAATTGGTGACTCGTTGGAGGTGGGCCATGCGTATTGGTAGCGGCAGCGCTGGAAACGGACTCATGAGCTTGGGGTTACTGAGGTTAGATGGCTTGTTAATGAAGAATAGTGGTGTGGAAGCAGGTGTATGAATATCGAGGATTGGCGAGGATGATGTGTTGATATTGCTTTGTGATTAAATCGCAAAATTCTCGGTACATGAAATTGATCCTTCGAGAGGGTCATAAATTGCGCTAGGGCTAATGATAGAATGGGAACTTGCATGCTGATTTTGGAGTGCGGTGTTAGGCGGAGTGGGAAAGAATGGAAAGCTGCAAATAGGAATTGGAAAGGGGCGTGTTTTGGTCTAACGGTCGAGTCACTGGTGTATATTTGAGACAGATCTCTTGGTGATGCTGACCAAGAGGTAAATATCGATCCTTGATCCAAGCAGCATGTATCGAATGAAAATTAATGAAAATTTTAAAATGTTTATATCCACCACATATCAAGAGCGGGACTACCGGCTCACAAAACATCTATTTTCGCCTCTCTTTCTTGTTATCATGACCATCCTCCTCCTTTGCCCCATTTTCCTCTTCTTCCTTCTCCCTCTTTCTCTTCTGTATCGCTTCCGGTGGACTATCCTCAATCAAATCACTCTTATCATTGAGACCCGTCCACTTGGGTAATCCATCTGGGAGATCTACCAAGCGCTGTGAATAAAACATGTGGCATCTATAATCCAAATTACGACATATTAGCAATTGATCTCATTTAGGATCCAATGGATAAAGAGGAGGAAAAGGAAGAGTAAAAAAACGTACTCGGGATTAAACCTCTCCTTCTCTTCCTTACTCTTAAATTTTATCAAGCTTGGAAATAAAAGGATCATATTTCGTCCTTCGTCCATGATGGGTGTGCGACAGTATGAACAGCTTACTTTGCAAGGGAGCTTGTGACGGGTAGTTTTTTCTTCCGATTCGTACCTAGTTTGGGGCTTTGGGTTAGAAGTGTTTGGATTGAGCTTGGGCAATGAATGGTTGGGGAAATAGTGTTGGGTTGGATGAGTATAGTGGTTGGTAACTTAGTAGAGATGGTTATAGTAGGAAAGGATAGAAAACAATATAAACTCATAACACATACCAACCTAAATCATGATGACCATGCGTAAAATTAATATCCTCCTTATGAAAAATCGCCGCCCATTGAAAAGGAGCTCCTACCCAAATCCTAACATTAGCATACTAATCCTCCTATTCTCACTCCTCACTCCTCGCCCCTTTCCTTTCCCTCCCCTTTCCCCCCAAAACACAAAAAATAAACCAACCAACCAACTCACCATGCAAAACCTGACAAGTAGTACAATGACAAAACTTCGCACTCAAAGGCCTCTCCCTACTCAACTGATACTTCACCCGTCCACAATGACAAGCACCCTCATAGAGAGTCTTGAATGCTTCCTCGTTCTCATGTACTTTATAGGGGACGCGGAATTTCCAATCGTTGTGTTCGCCGTGGATATCGGAGTCTTTGTGGCCTTGGGAGAGAGCGGCGTTTTTAGCTTTGGTGGTTGAATTGGTGTTTGAGTGGGTGGAATTGGAAGGGGTCATTTTGGTGTGGAATTGAGTGTGAGATATGCGGTTGAGGGGGGTTGATGTGGTGTGCTGGGGTGGAGAGAGAGGGAGGAGTTTGGGGGATGGATGTTGAGGTGGGTGAGAGGAAGTTATTAGTCTTGATTGGAATTGGAGAGGGAGACGGGTGTTAGGTTTAGAATATAAACTAAATAGGAAAGAAGAAACTGTGTTGATGTTGCATGTTTTTCCGAACATTAGTACACGCTTGAAATGGAAGAAGCAAAGCAAATATAGTTGTGGGAATTGATATTTATTTATTCTCATCAACAAGCTTCTACCAGTAAAGCCAGGCGACTGCGAATTTCTAGGTACAGACAATTGAAGTTCCTAAGTGCCTTTCCTTGCCCCTTGATATCGTCATCGAAGCTTCTAAATATGCCAATCTATTGATGGATATTACTTTCTATCATCTATGATGTGGGGGCGTTCCTGAATAGTGGGTCAAGATCGAAGTGCTAGAACCAGACACCACCACTAACGGCTTGGCTCACACATTATGACGTCTGCTATTTTAGTCTCCCAACTACTCATCACGTGTTCATCTCTTAGGTCATCCAATAATTTGTGGCATATAGTGCCGCATACCTTGAGCTAGGGGCACGTCGCTACCATTCGTGTTTGGATATTCAACTCATGGCGAAGTTTAATATATATCTTGTACGCTGCTTCTCTATTCAGACCTCTAGCTAGGACTTGACCCGCTCACTTAGGAGGTCCCATAAGTTCCCAGGCCTGAAGCAACTATTTTTTGACTAGTTTTTAGATCAAAACCCACAACATTTGTAAGGTAATCAAGCCTGATAGTCGATTAGTGTTGGTAAACGATAATGCAGTCACAGACTGTGAAATATGCTTACCTGGCTTCAGCACCAAGCTGTTCTTTTAACCTTTGGAAGTTTTGCAAACATTCCTCCCATTTTACGGCACGCTTCTGGGGCGAAATAGTCTTGACAACCATGTTGAATAGTCCAGTCACTGGTCTATGATCAGACACACGTACCTCGTGTCGACGGTAATCGAGCTGCTCCACCCGATTGTGTCCACGGTAAAGTAAGCGATCACACCAAGCTGGTGCTCTTTTCTTCTCACTTGTATCATAATTGTCCGTTCCTACGTCGTATTTGTAGGTCGGCGCGAAAGTAATAGGTAGTTCGTGAAAAGCACGCAATCTAAACCAAGGGTTTTTGCGTTTGGAGGCAAGCAGTTGGTCTCGCTCAAGAAGTTTTCCCAGGTTATTGGCCTTGACCGCATTAACCACGGTATCTCTGCCCATAGTATCGATACGGTAATTCAAGTCACCGTTTAAGATGCAAATCTCGTGATCGAGGATCATCGTTCCATCACCACCTCCTACGAAACTATCTATGCGAACACCGTGATCACGTTCTGCAGGCAGAACCTGGCTTTCAAGGATCATACTTATATCTGTGTTCCGATCTTTCGTTTGGGTCTGCCCAGCGGCAAGATGGCAGTTGATGAAGCACATTGACGTATCATCCAAGACAAATCGAAGAATCAATGCACCCTAATGTACGTTAGGAAACTCATGTTACCAGCAGAAATTTTGCAACAACCGCTTACCTTGTTCCCGTGAAGCCCACCCATTCCCCTCTTGACTTCAGCGGCATTGATGTTTTTGATTCGGGGCAGAAGAGGCGATCTAACAAATACACACGTGAAAAGACCGACTAGATTTGCTGTGTGAAGCAAGTGATATATCTCGCCCTGAACATAATCATCTAAGCATCGGATGAGGAAGTCTCGCCAATTTCGATATTGGTGGCTCATATGTTCATGATCGGAGTCTTTCTCCTTCTTCTTGGATTTGAAGAAGCTTTCTACCAAATGGTTAAAAATAAGTCGTAGAGTTCGGCAGGGTACTTACTGGCAGTCGTCTTTTTATCTTCCAAATCAACCAATTCTTGGAATCCAAAGACCAATATATCTGGCCGGTCGCTGTCTTGCAGAAGCTGAGGCAAGAACCTTGAATCCTGATCGGATTGTTGAAGATGGTACGGCGTAGATGCACCGGCGTTCCACGTCATAACCAAAGTCTTGACTGGGGTGAGCTTGCAAAAATCTGCTTCTTGTGATTGCATCTGTTGCTCCATCCAATCATCCTGGAGCATGCCATCCCATGCTCGTATCATATTGTCCTGGCCTAAGGAGATAACATGTTCCCGGTCAAGCATCCAAAAGCTGCTGCGGTCGACGAATAGGCCAATGAGTGGATCATGGTGAGCACGCCAATCTTTTTTCACAACCCATGGAGTATGAGTAGTGTCGTATACATATACCATACCGGTGCTAAAGCCAGCCCAAAGATAACTGCCTACACCTACAAGAGATGTGATTTTATAGACACTGATATTGATTATTCCCAAGCATGCATAATCATGCCGAGAATATATGCTTACTTTTCCATCAACATGGCCGAAGTATATGCGGTCAGGCTGAGAATTTATGACCGCCCCCGATGTTATCTCGCCCGCATCTGGTTGATGAATGGGACGTTGTAACACTTGAAACTGTGAACTTCCATCCAGTGTTGGGATAAAAATCCGGATATCTTTGCCTGCTGCATGCCACAATTCGCCGTCAACAACCAGCGAGAATGTATGCCCTTTCGGAAGTCTAAAGCTCTGGGATGGATTGGTCAGATTTGGTTCGCCAGTATCGTCTGGAGCCCATAAATGCAATGTTCCACCATCATCAAGTGTCCACAATTCCTTCGAATGTCGGTAAATCTTTATTATCTCACGCCGAGTATGGGCGTTTGACTTGCTTGTAACAATGCTTCCACTTGAGATGTCAACCTCAATGAGGTCTCCAATATTGTTCCCTAACCACAGCCTTGAGCCCTCATTTTGCACTTCTGCAGCTGGCTTGAAAGCTACGGAAACAAACTTTATTCCTTCGGGATGGGGTAGGGTCATTAATGATCCACCATCTAACAAACTCCAAACCCTGGTTATGTGACCAGTTGTACACACATACTCTCCGCACACATCTAGAATGCGAGTATCGTACTTTGTCGGAATTTCGTACGTCCCTTTAGCGAAGTATGGGGGCCTACGGTTCGAGTGAGAGGTGTCAGGATATTCACCTGCCTTGAAAGACAGGCCTTCCCTAGTTACTGGAGTAGAAGGGACATCCATCGAAGGGCGAGGGTCAGTTCTAGTTGAAACAGAAACTATTGGAGTCCTAAACTCGGCTGGCGTCCTGTCGCTTGTCCTATCAACCGTCATGGATCTTCCATGAGATCTTGGTGGGGTTTGCAATTGTCCCGTAGGGTTCGAGAGAACCCTTTTTTGGGGAGTCGCTGAATTTAGTCCAGTGTCAGTCAGCATGGCATTAGTCACTGGCGGTCTTGATCTGTCAACAGGAGGCCGAGGAGGTGGCGGTGGCATAGGCCGATTGCTGGAAATTTCTGGTGTCACATGGGCTCTGTTAGGTAACGCAGGTCTTCGGTCACCCCCTGTAAACTGTGGGGAAATCAGACTACGCCCTAGACCATTTGCCTCCTGATCTCTCTGTCTACTTGAGATCCCATGGTGTCTAGGTGGAGGCTCGAAGGATCTTGATGAAGGAGTGTATGAAACTGGCCGTGGCCTATTCCGCGGCATGGAAGGCGCTACCGGATATTCGTTTTCAAGGCTTCCTCCGCTACTTGGAGGGCTACTAAACGGGGACGTCTTTTCTATAGGTATTTGGACAGAGATAGGAGCCAAGTTCACACTTTCTGCACTTGAACTGAAGCCTACTGGTTTACTCGATATCTTAGGTTTGTCGGCGCGATTAATCGGTGGAGGCCCTACTCTAAAAGAGGAGTTCCTTCTCACTTCGCCCGATCGTCTAGGGGGAGGTGGCGAGGGTGGGAGCGAAGACGGATATGAGGGTGAGTTTTTAGTATCCGACAAAGGTGTATTGGATCGACTAGGAATTTTGAAATGCCCTTGGGAAGAAGTATTGGACGAGGCTGAGAAAGGTGCATCTGTAGATAAATATGCCGGGATGTTCGCCAATGAGACATTTGAACTTTGTATCTTTTGAGGTGACTGGGGCGGTTGAACAGTAACAGCGGGAGGAGCAGTTGATGTTGGCCTTGAAGAAATAATACGAGTGGGCGACGGGGATAACTTTCGACCGCCATTGGTACGCGGAGGCCGCAGTGTAACATCACTTACTTCTGCATCACGACCTCTCGCAGCTTGGACTGACTCCGCCAAATGCAATACTGCCTCCGGTCGACTTGGTAAGGTTGGCGCTGCTCTGGCAACATCTCCAGAATTTGCAATATTCCTGAAACCTTTTGGAGAGACTCCTCTGATTGCACTGTTATTGGTCGGTTGGGCATTTGCCATTTGTTCGAAATGACACCGCAGAGATGAGACCGGTTTCTATATAGTTCAGGTGTTAGCAGGCTTTCATGACACTAGAAATTATGTTCCTACTATGGACGAGCCATCTAGACTCTCTTGCTCTGGCTCCTCCATGATGTCTGCCTTGCAAACTGCAAACTAGAAACAATACTGTCGCATGCGACTGAATGTGAGAACTCTATCCCCTTTTTCATAAGAGGGCCCTCTAATATCAGAGGATCAATGTTAAGCTCGTCGTCATTGGAAATGGCTCGTATAGCCTATAAATGATAGCCTCGCAAGCCAGCCGGTTTTGTTGTGTGCGAGAGTCTAGGGGTTTCTCTAATTTCGTTATCATAAACATGAAAAAGAAAGATACTGTAGTAAAATGGGACGTAAGAAAGTGAATGGACGTTTAAGAGAGTGTTGGGTTGGATTCTTCGGGAGAAGTTAAATGTGATAGAGAGGGGTCAAATTATATTTGTTGTTGGTCTAGTGCTCACGATCATTCTGTGAATGATACAGAGTTCAGATGTTCAAATGTTTACTTTCACTGTACATCCCTCATTGTGGCTTCGCGGCATTAATTACAGGGGTCGGCCTGGATTGTTTGAGTTGTTTTTAGGAATCCGCCAGATTGATAAAGGTTCATTAACTAGGTATTAAATGGAGGTGCGCAATTATCTGATATTGAAGGCGACAAGGCTAGCATTTCTCAGAACATAATCGTACCATTATGATGATGACTTAATAGAAAGTTTTTTGGTATGATCTTGTAATAAATAAAGCAATCCAAATTATTTTAACCCACCCTCGTTTCCTTTAATACAGCATTTTCAATATTCTCTCTTTTGGTGAAAGCACAATAAAATCCAAGTACACCTCCAATATGAACACTGTAAGTGACTTAATTGCTGCTGCAGTTAGCAAGCAATGGGTAATGATCGTTCTAAACGGAGATAGCTAACATAATCTAGATAAAATCATTCTGGTACTGCCACAACTTTTACTTCTGGATCTTCATCTACTCATAATAAATCACGACTAACATGATGTATTCAGGGTTGGTTGGGGCTCACTATGTGTCGGTATGCTTTGAAAGGTCGACAAAGTCATCTTTGACAATCGGGTACTAACAAAGGATTACAGCCGGCGGGACAGCATACTATTTCGCAAAGCAGTCGATTAACGCAGATAGAGCTGCGCGATTTGAGGCAGATCAGAAACGCAAGAGGCAGCAAGCAGCCCTAGAATACTCTAGCAGTACAGGTGGTTACGCGGGGTCAGGAAGCAATGGTGGACCAGCGAAATCAGACAGTGCCGGTTCCCCAAGCCACGAAGTTTCGACAACTGAGCCTGCGCCGATAAGGCATGCACCAGAGAGCGAGGGACAGCGTGTAAGAGAGAAGAGCAAATATGAGCCGACGGAACCATTTAGGTCGAGAAAGGGCGATCGATTCAGTTAAAATGAGCGACACTTTTATCATCAAATAAGGCGATGATTATTAAGGCAAATTGATTTGGTATTGGCGTGCTGGTTGCTCCTGTATAAATATATATATGTGGATGGATGGATGGATATGTTAGAGAAATTCCACAGAACTCAACTCCTACCGAATTCGCAGATTATGTGAATCTTTAAACACACTGTTGCTTTACTTTTCTTGCTTTGCTTTGCTGTCATTTATCTAATACTTACACGATCCTTCTTCTCGTCGAATTATGAGCAAACACGAATCTTGATGAAATATATGCACAATAATTTTATTAGAAAGAATGCATCATTGATGTTGGATTTGTGAAGGTGAGATCTTATAAGGCATCCTTTCATTAGCACGCTCTAGCGAATCTGGACCTTTAATCGCGAAATCCTTGAGCTTCATTTGATCTCAATTAACCATCCCACTTCAAAAAAAGGTCGAAGCCAATGCCGTTTATAATCCCGTCTTAGAACAACTATTCTCTTTAAATTCTATCAACCTTGTGGCAAATGTCAAAGTTCACAAATATATCTTGACTCTTCTTTCAACAACCTCTCGACAATGGCATCGCATCAGCTTGCCATAGCGAAAGCCTCGTTTTCTGCAAGTCTCCTTCGACGCGATCCAACGCCAGTATCAAGAGAAGCTATAGCAGACTTTCATAGCTATTTGAACAACGTCATACTGCAATGCTCGTCAATAAATGTCCAGGTTTGATCATACACTCTAATGGATATAACTATGCGATAACTAAATCGTGCTCGAGGATAGAAATGCAAGCAATGGATATTGGAGCACATTGTACAATCTACAGCAAGATTTACAGCACTGGGAAAATATTTAATCGTATTTGCGACATCATTCACAAAATCTTCAAACGGCGAACCTTCGATCAAGCGCAAGCGCATGCATATACTGTACCTTCTCAATGACATCCTTTACCATTGCAAATACCGAGCCAACGATGCATCTGTTTGTGGCAAGATTCAACCTGTATTGGTTAATCTCCTCGGAAGCACAGCATCGTTTAAAGATTGTCCGAAGCACCAGCAAAAGATCCAAGATTTACTTGATTTATGGGAAGAAAAAGGATATTATTCCAACGAATACATCGGAAAGCTGCGTGAAGCTGCAAAAATCGCTTCAGAGGTCGGACAATTCACAGAAGAATTGATTGGGTCTACGGAAAACGGAGAGCAAGGACTTGGACCGAAGTTAAGCAAGACCGCACCATTTGTTATGCCAGCAATGCATGGAGAGGCATCGATGCCCTGGTTCGACTTGCCCGCTGGAAATTTGATGCCACATATCGTTCCAAACTCAACCAGACCGATAAATCCAGACATGGTCAAGCCATTACAGTTTGTTGCCGGACCCGCGGATGAAGAACTTGTCATCGCCGTGAAGGCTCTTCTAGATGATGTTCAAACTATTTTTGGTGCAGATCCTAGTCAAGATGAAAGAAATGTGTGTGATGTGGACGAACTCGGTCAGCCAATTATCCTGGACGAGATTACCGGCGAAATAATCGATGGAGAGGGTTACTATGGGTGGTCAAGAGTATTTTGCGAGAAGATGAAGAGACGGCGCAAGGGACTCGAACCTATTAGTGAGCGCGGCCAACACAGTCAAAGTAGAAGCTTGAGTCCTCAGAGAAAACGGCGCCATAGTGAATCAGAGGGGTCCGAGGAAAGCTCGAGGAGTCGCCGGCGACGACGCTCATACAGCTCTTCGCGTTCGCCATCCCCTGATTACGAAAGACATGCCAAGCACAATGAATACTCTAGATCAAATTCAAGGGGCAGGAGACAAGATTACGGTAAAGCGGACGACAATGGAAAAGATCATGGCGAAGATGATTCTCCCAGTCGACCTACAGGAAACGCAGAACTACAAATGCCTGAGACTTACAATGCGGCCGTACCTATTCAACAGAGCGGTTTCCCTTCAAATCAAACATATACGAATCCACCACCAATGCCGTATCAGCCGTACCAGCAAGGCTTCGTTCAAGCGTTCCCTCCAAATCTTGCTCAATATCAAGGTTCAATGCCGTGGCCACCGCCTCCTCCTCCAGGACATCCACCGTTCCCAAACATGCCTTTCAACCCTGTTAATCCGCAATGGCCTCCACCACCTCCTCCATCACCCAACGTTCCTTCAAATTTTCAACAAACTGCGGGAGGCTATCCTCCTGGGCCCACAGGTTGGCAACCGCCGGTACAGGGGGGTCAAGGGAGAGGCTACCACAGAGGATGGAATAATTCCTATGGAGGGCAAGGCAGGGGTGGCAGAGGAAATTTCAGGGGAAGAGGTTGGTCATGAAGTTAACATACAGGCAATCAGCGGTTTTTCTGTTGAGAGTTCGGGATAGCAAGAATGTGGCTACATGAGTTCCCCCACGCGTCGTCATAAAAAAGCGGAGTATCTTGCCACAAAAATTAATAGCACTTAAGATTATACGAAAAAAAAAAAGGAATATTGGTTGTATTTCCTCCTTGTGCAACCGCGTCTAACCGGTGCAAAGGCAATTTTTTACGGCCCAATCTCCAAATTGTAGGAGTAGAATGCGAGAACTGACATGATAAACACCTTAATGCGACTTAATCATGTTATCCAACGTTTGATATGTTACATACTGACAGCTGACGGATGAGAAACCTGTCTGAACAAGCCTCAAGATAATGTAGACGGCGGCGATAACCACCATTTTAGGGCGTTCGGTTTCACTCCCGGGCTAAATTTCAGGAGGACAAATTGAATCAATAATGCCTAGACCTACAAGTCCGTTTGCCCTATCTATCAGCGGGGCGGCAATTGCGGTGAAACTTCACTGTCAGAAGTTCAAGTCATGATTTTCACCAGGATTAATCGACAATATCAAGACCAAATGATATGGGAACGACGTGTTGCAGTCAGGATCTTGGAATCTCAGCAATCGTTCGGACTCGAAATTTTCAATTATGATGTGTGGCAATCGAGATTCATTTCATGGTTTGACAGTAAGCATATATTTTGAGTCGTACAATCCTCATTCCACCAATGTATTATCCGAGTCTATGCTGTGAGTGATATATATGGATGGTGGTGATATTGTCCAGAAGAAGGAAATATACATACTCAAATTTGATAATGAATGTCGTGATACCATGACTAGAAAGGATGTTTGGTCGTATCCTGTTACCTCTGCTCAAATAATGTGACAATTTAATTTATGTAGCGATTTGTGCTCTCTATACTCATGTACTTTCTTTCCCATCCTGTAGCCCACTATGATACTTTGAGATGGGCTTGCAGCGTATCCGTACATCATCTATTAATACTACCCATGGTGTACTCCGTACATAGCTGCGAAACATAATCCAACGGGTTTGAATGTCATCATTCTGCGTATTATGGTGGTGGTGTTCGCATGAATTTTCATGATCATATTTCTGTGGAAGGGGTGTTAGGTATCTAGGGAGGGAGGTAGGTATCTTTGTCCTGGGATCTTTTCGTTTCTCTTGTGATCTCTTACTCACTCTATGGTAGAGAGTCAAGTATCACGAGCCCAAGGTTCCTCATGATATTTTTGATGAAAAAGGAGAGGAGTTTATCTAGATCGGGGATTAGTTCCATCAGGATAAGAACTTTCTTCCTAAGCTAAAGAAAGAAGAAAGCACGGGGTTTCGAATGAACTAGGTCGCTTCTAGCAGTAAAAAGTCAGTAACAACTTTTTGTCTCATCTAATCTAACCTTCTTAACCTAATCGCCCATTTAATCTCTAATCTTTAATTTCACTCAACCTCAATTCAACCAATCATCCCACTTTAGTGGTACAATCCGTGAATGGTTAGAGAATTCTTCGTCTCCACCACATGAAGATGCTATACCATCCATACCAGAATGCTTCACTAATAAAGCCTTTCTGTATTACCTTCACTCTTTCTTATCAACAGCCCAAGGGAAAAGAAAAAGAAAGAGACTATTGATTACCTAGGTATGGATGGTCCCGCTCGTCGGCTCTTTACAATTTTGGTCCATTTGATCGTGTCCACGAAGATTGAAACAATGAGTCTTAAAGTTATCTGATGACTCGATGAGAACAAAGAGAATTGAATTTTTGAATTTACTTTCCTCACTTTACCATTTTACTTGTCAATTCATCTATCCCTATTTCTAGCTCTATCTCTATCTCCATCTCTCCCTCTATCTCTATATTAATTCTTCATTCCCATCATTCCCATCTGAGCTGGCAATCGCTGCAGGAAAGCCAATATAACTTATTTTACAAGGCACGAGTAACCTTGACAAGCCATCTTGCATATCCCGTCGCAATTCCAATCCTCGGAACACAGTCACCAAAAAAAAAAAAGAAAAAGAAAAGGAACGACGTTGTACATTGTAGAACCCACACTTCAGTACCTTACCCATATATCCCTAGGTGGTATACAATCCGTCCACACATCACCTAACACATCCAGACCTCATACTACAATTCAGAGAAATTCTCCGCTCGGAAAAGCACCTCATAAGTCCCCGCCCCTCTTGTATGCAAGCAAGATTGGAAACTTTCTTTCGCTTCCAACCACATCCATCCATCCATCCATCCATCCATCCATCCCATACACCCTATCCACGTCTTTTCACTGAACGACCCTTTTCATTTGCGTCGGTTCAGTGCAGGGCCCTGCAGCAAGAACGTGTAGAGAACCACTTCAACGAAATTTCATCGCTCAAAGGTACCCCCACTTCATCCATTTGTTGCGTCGTTTGTGGCTTATGCAAGAGATAGAACTTTCAGTTAAGACCTTCCACTACTACCTAAGAGTTCCTGAATAACTATTGCCTTTTTGCGAGGAGGATAAAACTTCCACCAAGTCGCAAAGCGAGAAATTCAAGTTATTTTGGCCAACGATCGGCTGAATTGACTCAAGATTTCTGCTTTTGTCTTAAGACGCGTGGGATTTCAACTTCATGCGTTTGTGGACGGATCATCTGAGTCGTTGAAACTTCTCAATTGGTCTCGAGATTACCCTGCTTTTGATGTTCAGGGAAAGCTCCTCCTTTGTTTATCTTGTTTCTCTTCTTCGAGGGACTCTCATTCAAATCCGAACATTAAATACGCCAACCCAATTGACTTGTCATTGTCAACTCGACTTCTCTCAATTGGAGATAGGTTTCTTACAGAACTCCCAAACTTCCAAGTCTTCTTATCCCGCTTTGGTTCTCTTACTTCGGGTAACTGCAAGGTACTATATCCCAAGAGGGTCACCTTGCATATATCCCTGGCACTGTGCCGTTGGCAGGAAAGCCAAAAACTGGGGAAACGAGGAGCATTATGAATGCTCAAATATCATTTATTGTGAGTAGATTTTAATTCAATTGACTGTTCAAGAGTCAAGAGAGAATGTGAATGAGGATGTTGTTGTCGGGTTGTCACTTGCATAAGGTCTGGAAGATAGATACATCTGGATGGTGTCTTGATCCAAAAGCTATAATGTAGTCTACTCTGGACCATTCATCGCCCAGTTTCCATCACAGTCTTTTAGGGGAGAGTGATTGTCATTTTTCCTTTCAAACATGTCAATAAGTCTCTTCGGAGATCAAATTCCGAGATCAACTTCAGACAACAACAACAAGGCTCCCAGATGACTACTTGTCTTGTTCTCAATCCCTTCACAATCCTTCACGCCCCCTTCACAGTTACTTCTCTCAATCAAATTAGTCATCATGGATTTGTTCAAAATCTATAACAATGACACTCGAGATTACCTACATACATTTCAAACAATTACTAATCGATCTCAGGACGGCGAGTTCAGCCTGATTCACATACCATTGCCTCTATACTCTTTACTACTGCAGCCAATCTTGAGAGTACTGTTACCATACAAAGAAGCAGGCTCATCAGATGAGAATGAAGATGAGGAAAATAGTCTTATATTCGACCAAGAGCATGGTTTCCTCAATATCAGTGTAACTCCAATTGAATGCTCAGTTGTCTGTCACAAATCTTGGGCTGAGACTGTCTTTCAACCAATTATCAATACACTTGCCAGAGATGAGAACAACAAAGTTCAAATATCAACTGATAGCTACATTGTTTTCTCTGTTGATAGTACTGGCACTGATGCAGGTCAAAGAGTCATGGATCTCACTTCACCTCTCGCGATGGCTGGCGTCCCTATCTTCTTCATCACCACTTACTACACTGATTTCATCCTCGTCCCATCCAAAGATCGTCATACCGTGGGCCAAACTCTTATATCCCGCGGCTTTGAATTCTCTGAAGAAGATTCCGCCTACGTTGTTCCAACCCCCTCACATTCCCGCGGCCCTAGTTCTAACTCCAATTGCAATCCTCCTTCCACTCCACCTCCATCCAATATTGCCGAACTCCAAGCCCGCACTTTCAAACATCTCAAACGTCGCAATGTGAAGCCTTTCGTACAGCCAGGCTTACGATTGGTTCAATGTTCGGGTCGAGACCGTATGATTGAAGAACGAGCAATTTCCAACGGTAACGGCAACGGTGCGCATACTTCCTCTCCCCTCGATACAATGAACACTCGTCTCTACATGTCAATCGTTTCGGCACTTATCCACCAACCTACTTTCCTCTCACTCACCATCTCTCTCGAAGAAGGCTCTTCTCTCCTCCTTGACAAAGCTCTTCTTCCTCTATTTGGTTCCTCGATCCAAGGTGATACCGATGGAGATCTAGTACCAATTTTTCTTGATCTAGTTGATCTACCATTGGAGAGTACAGGAATTGTTTGTGGCGTAGCAGGAAAATTAGTGGATGAGATGAGGTCAAATGATAAACCCGAGGAAGAAGGTGGTAATGCTTTTGGACAGGAATTGTCGTATTTGAGTACAGCGAGAGCTGGAGCAGTCGTGTTGAGTGGAGAAGGAAGTGAAAGGGCATTGGAGATGTTGGGTGGATTATTGGATCAGGAAGGAGAATGAGAAGTTTTGAATATTGAAGGGGTTTCTCATGACTAGATTTAGTGGGGATATATGGGAGGACAATGGATAGTTGGATGGAAGGCGGAAACAAAAGTCGAAAATCGAGAAGTGAATAAGTGCATTCGGTGGATAGCGAGTCTTTTACAAGGGTGGGCAGCTTATTTACCTATTGGTATCGCATGCATACATAAAAGGAGTTTTGTTTTATTTCTTGGATTATCTATCAAATGGATTGGAATGGGAGTGGGGAATGGACGTATGGATATCAAAAGCAAAACTGGGATGGGGTGGGATTTTATTTTAACATTGGGTTTCTTTGGGTGGATGCTATTGTGGAAATTTGGGGAGGTTTATTGAAAAGTCTATATATATACAAAGTATAGTATAATATAGTATAGTATAGCATAGCATAGTAGGTAGGTGTCACGATTCACCATTAGGATTAGTGTCCTGGGATAAAAAGGAATCACGTGATAAGGAGCCCTAGGAGCCCTCAAAGCTCCTAGAGCTCCAGGAGGCTCCCTTTATCGTTCATTATATAGTCAGAATAGTTTCATAGTTTAGGAGCTTCGTGCTCAACTTAGTTATCAATTAGTTTACCTACATTCTACTCGATCTAGTAACGACTTCACTTCCAAGTGAATACCAGTGATAAAGCCTTAACCCATTAACTACCAACCAGACGAAACCTTAGGCAGCCGCTGCCTCCAGTACAGTATCGTTACAACTTCCTTTTTGGACCACCTTTTTTTTGGACTATCTTTTAACACCAAAAATTATAATTTTTTACCTATCAATAGTTTTACATTTATTCGATGAAACTCAATAAAATTTGAATTAGAGATTTATTATATAATTATAACTCAATTCTGAAAATTTTGGATTTTTTGAAATTAAATTTATGTTACGATGGTAACAGCTGACTTGTTTTCGTAAGCTTGGGCCATATGTAAATCTGTTACGATTCGCTCAATTTAATATGAGATTTCGGTCACCCTAAAAACTCATATACACGCACCATCAGAGCATATGAACAGGTATGCTGGATCACCTTGGATCATCAGTGATCCTGAGTGATCCAAGAATTACGAGGATCTATATATTCAGTATGAATTCCTTCCTGTAGAGCCTCGTGCTCAAGACCAATCATTTAGTATACTCTACTATTAGTTACGAATTGTATAACGTGGTTTATCAGTAACCGGAACATATCAGTAACCGGAACACTTTTACCTCAATTACCACCTCTCAACTTTAACACGCGTTAAATCCATATTCAACCTTTCAAATCAATATGCAAGAGTCGCAAATTAATCTAGCCATTCAAGCTATTGCTTCATCCAAAAAACTAAGTGTGCGAAGAGCTGCTAAAATCTATAATATACCGTATATTACCCTTACCTACAGAATAGCCGGTCGAACGCCGAAAGCTGGATCTCGATCAATACATTGTAAAATGACGGAATTAGAGGAGAAATCGCTTTTTCAATATATAATTGATATAGATGAGAGAGGGTTTAGTTCTCGAATAAATGATGTGGAAGATATAGCGAATTATATACTCGAAACGTGGGGTGCGAAGAAGGTTGGAAAGCTCTGGGCTCATTGCTTTGTGAAATGATATACAGAATTAAAAATGTGTTTTAATTGCGTTTATAATTTTCAAAGAGCTCTTTGCAAAGATTCAGAGTTTATTGAAAAATGGTTTCGATTAGTATCGAATATGCAGGCCAAATATAGTATTCTAGACTGCGATTTCTACAACTTCGATGAGACAGGCTTTATAATGGGACAAATATCACTATATATAGTAGTTACTAAAGCTGATCGATATGGAAAAAGCAAAGCTATACAATCAGATAATCGGGAATGGGCTACAGCGATTATTTGTGTTAATAAAGAAGATCATAATATACCTCCGTTTTTGATAGTTGTTGGGTTTCTTGAGACTAGAAAGAGCATCAGATTGAATTGACTTATTCTCTAGCTAAGCAGTTAAGCTGCGAGCATATATTCAAAAAAATGAAGGAATAGGTTGGGTATTCGGCCTTCGGAATTAAAGTGCTTTGAAATCAAAATATTGAAAGCAAACAAACAGTATACCAAAAAGGAAAGAATGAATTAAAAGTTGAGTTTTGTTTGCTCCTTATATGCATATGTACTATATATGCATATGCTGCCAAGATCCCAGGAGGTCAACAATAGTAAAAGGCGAATACTACCTTTCAAATTGGTATACCGAAGGCGATTTACCATACGATTGGCTTATTAAACCTACTACCAATAGATGGACAGATAATGAGACAGGTCTTGAATGGATTAAGCACTTCAACAAACATACTGAAAGTAGGAAAGTGGGTAGATATCAAATACTAGTGCTTGATGGGCATAAAAGTTATAAATCACCAGCATTTCAGGAATACTGCAAGGAACACAACATTATTGTGTGAACGAAGTGAATGACTTCAATTCAATTACTACTGTAATAAAGAACTAAGCGAACGCGAAAGAGACTAGCTCTTTTAGTAAGTCTATATAAGACTTACTACTTTCAATATGTAGCTAGCTCTTTAGACAGAATACAATTAGACATACAGGACCTACGTAATCCGTGGGTGCTACGTCTTCCGTATCCTTCTCGTACCAACAATTATATTACTTAGTTTGCTACCTCATTCTTTGTATTTAATTCAACCACTTGATATCAGTTGTTTTGGTCCTTTAAAGCGTTTATATAATCGACAAATCGAGAACTTTATCAAGGCGTATATTATTTATATTACCAAAACCAAGTTCTTTCAAACCTTCAAAGCTATATATATCGAAGCAATATCTATATCAAATAGTAAAGCTGGGTTCCGCGGAGTTGGGCTAATCCCATTTAATCCGGAAATTGTATTTTCAAAGCTAGATATTCGAATAAGAACTCCATCAAATAGATCAATATCAGCCGATCTTGATATATAGCAATCTCAAACACCTCACAATCCAACTGAAGTTCTTTCTCAATCCACTTTAGTGAAAAGTCGTATTGCTCGGCATCAAGGGAGCTTACCTACTCCAATATTTGAAACAATTGCAGCTTTAGCTAAAGATATAGAGCTTTTAGTTTATGCGAATACATTTTTAACTACTGAGGTTCATAATCTCCGCAAAGCAAATGAAGCACTTAGTAAACGCCGGAGAGCTAGAAAAGTTTTAATACGAAAAGAAGGAGCATTTTCAATAGAAGATGGGCATGGTATATTAGAATAAGAGAATGTAGAAGATCAGATACGATGCGACGAATATATAAATAATGGTTCTTCAGCAAGGAGGCAAGCTACTATACGATGATGTAGCAAATGCGGTAGTACTTTACATAATGCACGAACTTGTCAGTTCGATCCAGCATTAGTTGATCTTTAGATTGTATATAATTCAATCCTAATTTATAGTGTTGTTGTAATTTTATTTTAATGGAATGTGGGTAATTGAGGTAAAAGTGTTCCGGTTACTGATATGTTCCGGTTACTGATAAACCACGTGATCTAGACGGCAAACCTCGTAACATCCTGTATAAATCGAAAATCGAAATTTCAATCTTTAAAATCTTGATCAATAAAATCGCAAAAAATCTAAAATTTTCAGAATTTGTTTATATTTATACGAAAATATTATAATTAAATTTTCAATTGATTTCATTTATTAATTGTTGAATTATTAATAATTGAAAATGATGTTACGAGGTTTGCCGTCTAGATCACGTGGAAGTGCCCTAGGCTCTCGAGGTGGTTTATAACTAGGCGTCAAGCAGGGACTTAAGTAATGACAATGATGCAATTCGTAACTAATAGTAGAGTATACTAAATGATTGATCTTGATCTTGAGCACGAAGCTCTATACAAAGGGAGTCCATCTTGATTATATAGACCTTCGTATTCCAACATTGGAGCGATGGAGCTGGGGAGCGAGATTCGAATCTCGCTCCTTCGCTCCCTCGCTCCCTCACAAGACTATCCATGTGATCCTATAACACGTGATAATAGTTTATCATGTTACAACGTAACAAATGATAATTTTTGGTATAAAAGAATAATTCAAAAAAAGTATAATTCAAAAGTAGAGGATTAGACTTAGTCTTTAGATGGGAAGATTGTAATGGTTTTATTTAAATATTGTTTATCATTAGACTCAATTTTTTCTTTCTTTCATCTAATTAGCACATCTATCTGTTCATCCATCCATCCATCAAATTTCTGTTTGACTCATCTTGACTAACTAACCCTAACCCTAGCCACTTAATGATCTCTATACACAATGCGGTGCATCTAATCAATATCGATATCTATCTCATCCCTTTTCCTTTTCCTTTTCCTTTTCTTTTTTATTCATCTCTTCCCACTTCTTCCCTTCTAAGATTACTTCCCAAGAATTCCTCTCTTCAACTCCTTAATAATAATAATAAAAATACTCCCTCTTTATTAACTCAACCGCTCCTTTCCTCTCCTTTAAATCCTCTTTTAACAAATCTTCTCTTCTTCTCTTCAATACACTATCCTAATATATAATCTCTAATCAAATCCCCCCTACCTAAGTTACCTAATAAAACCTCAAATCTCGCTTAGACTATCTTTTTTGTTTTTATTAATATCCCACCCCTATACATACATATATACATATACACCCACCTCAAACCCCTAGAAAAATCTTTTAATTACACATTCTACAATTATAAAGATAATCAGATTTGAATAAAGTTTAAGAAGTTTATAAATCTCCACCTCACTTTACAAGTAATTCGATCCTCGAGGTCTGGATAGTTGTGAATCAAGAATCTGGTGTTTTAATAATGGGGAAATAGTTGTTTGGAGATGATAATATTGTCTAGTATTAAGCTTCAACTGAGGATATTTATCCTTGGTGTTTGTTAGTTTAAGATCTTGTATCTATCTTGGAGTTATTTAGGTGTTTATTATGGTCAAGGAGGTATTCAAGATATTTTGCTTTGTATACTAATATAATTCATCGTCTTTTGATATTATAAAAACTTTCAAATAATCGAATTAGTTGACCTACTTCGTTGTTTTGAAGCCCTTAATTAGTTGATATAATAATTTCCTAGCCATTTAATGCTCATTAATTAAAATTGAAAGCGAATGTAGATTAATATATCGAATTAGATAGTGATATCAAGATATTAACTTTTGAGAGAGACAAGAATTCCAATGTTAATTATATTCTCGATATTATTTAAGGGGTTTGAATATTGTAGAACTAAATAAGATCTTTGGAATATTGTAAGAAAGATAAAAGTATGAAATGATAGGTTGAGGGAGTGAATAGTTAGTGAGAGATGATTATAATATATATTATTATAACTTCTAGATTAGTTTTTTGTTCTATATTAAAGTTGAATATTTATATGTATTATGTATGGTCTAAGTTAATATATAGATATGCAGGAAATGTTTGTGGAAATAGGTTTTTGTGCGTTGTACTGATATGGTATATATTATGATCACTTTTAATACATTATGATTATGAAGTACGATATATGTATGGAGTAGAAGGACGAGGAATACTGAGTAGATAAGTGTAGGTGGTACAGCTGGGTAAAGTCACGAAGAAACAGAAGTATCTGTTGGTATCACTTTGGGTGATACTATTCATATAGTACTGGGAATTGTGGGTTTATTTGCTATTCATTCTTTTTAATGAAACTATGAGAAGAGGGTCCTGTTTATATGAAAGGTAACCACCTAGAGTTCACTCGTAGTACGGCTCTATATGAGGCTAATCACATGATCGTACTTACAGTACATATCGAAATAAATGAATCTTTGACAAGGTTGTGAAGATCCATAAGTTCTATTGAATCCTATGAACTCCTCCCCGAGATTGGACTGCTAGCTACAAATATAAACATAAACATAAACCCAAATATTTCAGATAGAAAATCAGCACCTGATAAATCGATGCAAAAGACACAATTTCAGCTCACCTCACACAATGCATTTAATCACGCCACTCCTCCCTCGCCCAGCCAAAACCCCCACAAAAGAAGCTGTACATTGTTGAACTATGGCTGGCGGATGTAATCAAAGAAGAAATGATGTTCGACTTGCAAGACATATGTTTCTGATACTCCGGTAGACTAATTTGTATTTAATGAATACAAAGACGAATATGTATTAAATGGGATTGATAGATAGGAAGTGTTCAGAAGGAAGAAATTGATTTCGAGATTATGCTTTGAATTGCAATGGGGAACCCTTAATGTAGCGCTGTATGCCCGCTTGCATTCGTTGTTATTTTGAGGTTCCGTGCCAAGGGATCGGAGTTACTACTCCGGCTGCGTGCGTATATATATTTAGTCCCTAGATACCTAGGTAGTGACACTAGAAGATTTAATAGAAAAAACTTGCTAGAAAGGAAGAAAAGATGAAAGAACTTGAGCTTGATCAGGTGATATAAGCCCCAAAAAGGTGAAGCTGACGAAGTGATGAGCTAATAAGCTGATTGATGAGTGATAAGCAACTCCACACATTTCCTGTTTTAAAATTTGATCGATCTTTCATGGGTTTCTTCGATTTGCCATGATGATAAAAGTGGGGAGGAAAGTACGTCGTAAGAGGACTCTGGGGAAGGGAAGGATGAGCTGGATGTGATGAGCTAATCCTTGTATTACTTTGTGCTTTGTACTTTGTACTCTGTACTTTGTCTATTTGGTCTTGGACAAATGTAGAATTTATTGCATGATGCATGACATAAAGGGACCTGTGTAGGCAGGTAGGCTTTTCATAAAGTTTGTGCTATTAATTGGGAAGGGGAAAGGGAAGATGCAAAATCTATCTACTCGTATATTTTTCATCTCATAGTCATCATTTCGAATAATTGTGAAATTGATATCCTTAATTAGGTAATAATATACATCTACAACAACAACACAACAAATAACTTTCATCATTCATCTACCTAATAATCTAATAGCCAACCTCCAACAATCCCATTCCGAGTTTAACTTCACTTCACACCTAAACAAATGTCTCAGCCCCAAGAAGCTTTGACCTCAACACTAAACTCCATTAGATCATCAACCAATCAATAACAAAGACATCCCCTCATTTTTCATATTTCGATGACATCAGCATCAAATCATCCTTGTTGATTCCTACATCAGGAAAAGAAGCTCCTCAGAGATTTGTAGCAGCGAGCAGATCGAATCTTAGTATCTTTTATATCATTTTCATTATGAATGAGGAGCTGCAATGCAAGAGAAAGCAAAGGAAGTAAAAGTGGCAAAAGAGGCAAAAAGAAGACGTGAGCAATTCTGTTTTCAATCAAGGTTTTCTTCATATGAGTGGCTGAGATGGAAGTGTTTGAATACGGGCTTGGTCTATGAGGTATGAAGTACTGCACATTCTATTTGATACCGCTCCAAATTACCTAGGTGATGTGCATATGCTGGTTGCTGCTTTTGAGGTAAACTACTAGGCGCTCGATTCTTGTTTGGAGCCTTTTTCCTCTTTTTCCTTGAATTTCGTAACATGATTTGATGCGGAAACGTGAGTCTGGATCGTACCTTCCCGCTTATGCCTCCAAGGGCCAGCTTCTCATCGGTAGCAAGTAATAATAAACATCTTCAAATATCCCAATTCAGGTTTAACAATCAAATTGGCCTCTTAGGTCATCCTTTGTGGTGTGTGCGTGACCTACCTACTGGAATTGATTTCTTACTTACTCCTCTCTCTCTTCTCCTTCCTTCTTTCTATTTTCCCATCTTCTCCTCTTTTCCTCTTCATCTTTCATCATCAAATCAATTTCGATTCTTCGACTTCATTACATACATTTGCTTTCTTCAATTTAATTCCCATTCATCTACGAGATTCAAAATCATCCATCAACTTTCAATCAATATGATTGATCCTATGCAAGCTTTCGATATGGAGCCTTTGAGAGGAAAAACCTCTTCTCTCTTCGTCCCAACAAGCACGCCCAGTCCATCAGCCACTCCATCTGTTGCCCCAATTCCAAGTGTTGTTCCTAATGCTCCGACATATGAGACCATAGGTCATACAGGACAGACGACATTATGGGTAAGCGATCTCAATTGTTGATACATTTGCTACTTGCTAATTCGGTGATATCTAGGTCGTCTTTGTGATCATGTTTCTCTCAACTCTTATCTTTACCTATTTGGCTTGGAGACAACCAGTTGTAAGTGTTTGACAAATCGCCTCTTTGTCAATTCATCCAGGTGCTAACATTCGTCCCATAGCAAAAACGTCTCTTCCATGTTATTACCGCATTCATCACTCTCTTCGCCACTCTCTCATACTATGCAATGGCAATTGGTGATGGAAACGCACTTACACATATCGTTCATCGGGAATCGCACAACCATACCCCAGATACTTTCGAACATATCTATCGACAAGTTTTTTGGGCTCGTTACGTTGATTGGAGTTTGACCACACCCCTTCTCCTTCTCGACCTTGCATTCCTTGCCGGTCTCAATGGTGCCAATATTCTTGTTGCCATCGTTGCCGATCTTGTCATGGTTTTGACTGGTCTCTTTGCGGCTTACCACAATGACGGAGCTGCCAAGTGGGGTTGGTATGCTATGGGATGCGTTGCTTTCTTGGCCATCATTTATCAGCTTGTCATCCCTGGTCGCCGTGCTGTCTCAAGCAGGGATGCTAAGACCTCGAAGCTTTTCACTGCCATTGCAGCTTACACTTTGATCATCTGGACTCTTTACCCAATTGTCTGGGGTATTGGTGATGGATCTCGTACTTGGTCGGTTGATGCTGAGATCATTGCTTATGCTGTCCTTGATGTCTTGGCCAAGCCTGTATTTGGTCTTTGGCTCTTGTTTGCTCATGATAGTGCCGCTACATCTGTTGATGGATGGTGGAGTCATGGTTTGTCCAGCGAAGGTTCCATCCGCATTGATGATGACGAGGGTGCTTAAGTGTAGTGACGTATATTTACCTGCACGATACTAATCACGAATGATGCGGTAATGATGTGTCGGAAGGAATAAAACAAATTGTTACAATTGATGGGAGAGGATGGGAGGATGTTATCGTGTCATGAAAGAAATGAGTTATGAGATGGCAGGAATAGGAGCTCGTACTGGCTTATTCGTTTACAATTCAAGGGGCATTCGGCACTGGGGCATTTGTTATTTGAGCATGGAAAACTTCTTGTAGTATTAACTGCAGTATGGAGATAATAATGAATCAAGCTAGTTTGTAAATTTTTTGATCTCTAGAGTGTTTATCGTGTTGATGAGGTGATGTAATGGTATATTCTCCATTTGTATCTTTAGGCATCTGTGTAGCAGCAAAATAGCAGCAAAAGATCTAGACCTAAGACCCGGGCTGAGAGCTCGATAAGGAAAGGTGAGGTGATGCTAGTTGAGATATGTAGGTATTTAGTAAATATATGATTTTGATTACAAAAAGAAGATGAATAATTAAAGAGTTTACATAAATTACCCACCTAGTACTCTAATGAATAAATCAATAATAATATAGAATATAAAATTTAGAATTATTTTTATATTTAAGATTTTGTTGAAATTAAGGTCATTATGGGCCTAGAATTGAGGTCATATGACCATTATGGTGCACGGACCATAATTGGGAATATCTTCAATTCTACCATTACTGTAACTTAGATCCTTAGTTTAACCTACATCTAATAATACTACTACTTCCAAACAACTCAGTTTCAACAGATTTGAATATAATATTGAATAATTAATTTGCTTTTTCCCAATCTCTCTCTCGCTATATATATAAATATAACAATTTTAAAATCTTATGTAATATATATCTATATGTATATACATCTATATATATAACCCAATCATCCCGCCTCATAAATATAAATACCTAAAGAGAAATAGAAAATAGAGAAAAGAGAAAGAGGGGAAAAACCCCCCCCCTCGTTAAAATATACGCCCCGCTAAAACAAAAGTAATCTTACATCTATCCATTCCATCCATCTAAAATCTAAACCTCCATCTACTCAAGCCAATCCCAACCACTTAAGCGCCTTCCTACTATTCCCCTTCGCCCTCGCCTTTACCTCTCCTTTCGCACTTCCACTCCCACCTCCACCATAAGCACCAAATCTCGCCTGAAGAAACGTGCTCCTCCTCTTCGCACCCATGGGCGAATAACATCCCATTACCATGCGATCGTACGCGTCATCTTCGCTATCTACTTCGATTTCGAGGTCGACTTCGGAGGTGTCCACGCTGATTTCATCTGAGTGGGTGCGGTCGAGGTGGGGGACTGAGGTGGAGCTTGTGGTGCTGTGGGCGTAGGTGTATATTGCTTCTTGTTGTTGTTCTTGGATGTGGGTTTGGGTTTGGGTTTGAGGTGGTGGGAAAATTTGATCGTGGGGACGTATGGCGTCGCGGGATATAGAATGTCGTTCGATGGCGATGGGAATATGACGAATGGTGGAGCCGCCTGCACTATACGAAGATGAGCGAGGAGGAGTAGCAGGCGCTGGGGATATTGAACGACTGGTTGCTCGGCTACTAGCTGGAAAATAAGATGGGCGGGTGGATAGATGTGTAGGTAAGCGTAGGATTTCGGCGTCTAATAAATCGCTATCGTATAAGGAGGAAGTTATGGATGAATTTTGTTCGGTAATAAATTGTGACATGTCTGTGTCGGAATCTGCACGCAAGAGCTCTTCCGTGGTGGTCGATGCATCCTTCATGATAATTGTTTGGCTTGGTATTGGGAGAGGCCGGAGGAAGACCTGTTCGATACTATACCAGGAGAATCTTTCGACCATATTTTTGCGGATTAAGGTTAAGAAATTTTGTATTTCGGAGCCTGAAGCGGTAGATGGTAAGTGGTAGTCGGCTTTGATGAACAGGGAGAAGGATGATGAAGATCTTTTGAGTATCGTTTCTGGGTCGGCATCTCTCAATGCATCAAGCGAGGATTTAAGAGGGTATCGCTGAGGATATTCCGTACGCTTAAGAAGATCGGTAGCGACAGCGGCGTCAAATGAATGATGCGAAGAATGAAATTTAGGAAGCGGAGGTTTAGCAAATGAAGGAGGATCTGAAGAAAGGGTATCTAAAACTCCGGCAACTTTCACAAGATCTGAACCTAGAAGGCTCCGAAGAGCAATGACTGTCGCAATTTGGTCAAATGGGAAGCTGAGGATTAGAAATCGAACCATGGAATTGGTAGCAAGGTATGTTTCGAGATGTGGAACAATTAGGTCGGCGAGTAATCTTGGGTCGGCCATGGGATCCAAATCTTTGCGAGCAACTAGAGGTTGAGACATGAAAGTTTGCATAGCACTTGCGATTAGGAATCTAATTGTTGTTAATAAACTAGAGCAATCAGAAAAATTGAAGTCCAAATACCTAAGATCAAGTCGACCGCTTCGACTCTCACCACTTTTCTTGATGCCAATGTTTTCGACTTGCCTAAGAAGCTGACTGGAGAAAACATCACTTATTCCCTTTTCACATCCAACTGCTATGATTTGATCCACATCAGGTCCTTCGCAAGATGTTGAACTACCGTTGCTGAACATATCTTTCCAAAATGGACCCGACTCAAACATTACCGAATTTTGGTATTGGTTGAGCGCCTTGGCCTCTTCTGGAAAATGAAAATTCAAAAAAGAGCGGAATTCATTTTGGATATCAATTGACTTATTGCTGTATGCACCTGGAAATTCGCAGAACTTATAGGCCGTGCCTTTGTTAATAGAGAAAGTAGTTGATGCGGATGTTGATAGGGGCCTATTAAATGCCTTCTGTCGCTCTATCTCTTCCTGAACCGGCGACTGGCTGAAATAAGAATCAGCTTCGATGCTTTTTGGGCAATCAGAGTGGGTCTTAAGTCTCCATTGATTTACAGATTGTCCTGAATTCAAGGATTCAGTTGCCATAGGTGCTGTGGTAGGAGGGGTTGGCAGTGGCCTCGGTAGAAGTGGTGAAGAGATTGGAAAATTACCACTCCTATACTCTGATATTGATCGACTAATTTCTATTGGTGAATTATCCGTGAAATGAATGATTAAATCCTCAGCGATATCAAATACCGGCTTAGTTAAATCGAGATCCTCTTCCTCAAGTTCAGTACCACAGCCCTTGAATGCATGAGACACACCCTTTGAGTTTGATCGTATCGAATCTCTAAAATTCGGAGTGTTTGGAGTCAAAGACCTCCTAATGGTCGTTTTAGACGCCTTGACAAATGCTGCTTTTGGCAATTGCTCAAAAGTCGAATCTTTCATAAAACTCCTTCTGGGTATATTGAATGAACTCCTCAGATCGCTTGTTGAGGCAGCATGTTTGAAATAGAGCGAGGTTTTCGGATCATCTTGAAGTAACAGATCTCCGATAGACTTGGTCCAGCTTGGCGTTGTCGGTGTTGGTAAAGCAGATTGCATATCCACAACACATGCCTCACCATAAACAACGTTAGGTGAAGAAAATAAGTTGTCATCATCTTGCGAAATGTATTCAAAGTAATCTTCATCTTCGTCAATGTCCGTAGTTGGTTGTGTTGAATATCTGCTTCTCGGTACAGAAAAAGATGGCTTTGAGCTTGATGATGGTCGGGGTCCGAATGTACCGCTGTATTGGCTCAGCCGACAACGCGTTCCATTGATTTGACTTGTCCTTGGTTCAGAAGGTATTGAAACGACTGTTGTCACGATATCGCTTCCATGCTGAGATTCCCGCATCGATCGTCTTGATGTGATTGTCCGAGATTCTCCAGGAATATGTATAATTTGAGGACCACTATCAGCCATGCTTCGCCTCAGATTTCGAGCTCCAGATGTACCATTTCCTTCCATGTCGATCTCACATTCCGGCAGGTCTTTTCCACTCAATGTCGCTGCGCTCTTTGTACTTCTTAAATCCAACTTCTTTGGTAGCTTTGCGCGAGGTCTAGCTGTTACCTTTGCCGGCTCTGGAATAGGTGTAGATTTCGAGGAAGGGGATGAAGACTTGGTACCTCCAAAAAGGCCTGCTACTCCATCCTTGACAATATCATGGAAGATTGTCGCGGCTTCTGCGAAATTTCCATATGTGAGCCTTTGAGATATTTTAGCAACGCATATTGCTCGCGCACTAACACTACCGCCATTCAAAAATGCCAATTTCGATTGAGATGATCGTAAAAATGACCTCGCTACTTCGTTTCGTCGCGTGAGCGCAATATGAACATCGCGAACGAATGCTCGAGCCTCAAATGGTTCTCTTTTGTGGTCTTCACTTAAATAATGATCGAGCGGTGCAAGAATAAGAATCATATGCGAATGTGGAAGGAGTCGTAGTTGAGTTGTGATAGTGTTTATGTTCCCCTCTAATGCAACCAGCTTTCCACCACCATGAGCTTTGTCCGCAACTATCGGCGTCATTTTGAGAATCGAGTTATATTCTAAAACTTGGAATTGGTTTCCTTCTTGGCTAATGTCTGCCAAATATTCGTTCATGAAAGTCTGAAGTGCAAAACAGCGCCGGGCATAAGAAACAAGAATTGTGTATGGTATTTACAAATCGCAATGAAAAATGGCAGTCTAATAGCTGAACAGGTAAGAAATGATAGGAAAATGCTTGAAATGAAATTGGAGGTCTTGAGCCCAAGCCTCTCTTACCACTGCCGCTATCTGAGGATTGATAGTACGCCACTTGCAGGAAGTGTAGGGGACCTGCTTCTAAAATGGCGTAAGTGAGGTGGGTGATACCGAGGAAAATAGATTTTGAATCCATTTTGGTACGATCTTCGCCAGGATGTAAATTAAGGTTTATCATTTGGAGGGAACATTGACCAATCAACATATTTTCACACACACAGTTCACCACCTGGTGCACTAAGAAGAAATGGAGAGCAACACCAAACTAAAACCTACCTACCCAGCTGGGACGTACCGCATCGGTGGAACGACAAAACTAAGAAGCACGAGAAGTTTGGTTGCTAATGTTTATAGTGTAGAAATATACTGTGCTTCATAGTTGACTGATGTTAGCTAAGGAGTGAGCTTTAAACTTTTGAGTTTATTGAAGAATCTCATTAGAACACGCAGCCGAAGTTCATAGCATACCTATCCATGTACATAGCTACCCAGGTAGAGGTAGCTAGGGGAGGGCAAAGCTGCGGACTAACACTAATCGAAATATTTTCGGTCGTGCGCAAATGTCTAAAGTTGTGATGCTACAATGATCAGAGACACTAATATGGCCTCGAGCTCTTTTTAGGTTAACACGGGGAAGGGTTCTCCCTAGTAGGTCTAGAATTGACTGACCGAATGGGAACGATCTAATCTTAGCTCATTCTATTGATTTGTTTGACGCTCTGGCACAGAAAAGGATGCAAGGATTGTGAATCCGAAGTAAACTCCATCAATACACATGTTTTAGCCCTTTTTTGTAGCTCGCAATACAGGGGAGTGCATTTTGAGGCTATACTTCGTATAATGCTAAGTATTAGTCGTAGTTCTATAGGTATTAAAAACTTAATAAACAGAGTTAACGTCTTAAATTTAATAAATCGGAACATATCATAACAAAATTTGTAGGAAGAATCTTGCATCTACTCCTTCACAGTCCATCTCTCTCTCTCTCTTTGGAGTAATTGTTTCGTCTCATGAAGCTATCGACAGGAGGATGCCTGTCAAACCGCCCGGAATCAACTTTTTCAGCCGTAGGCTTGAAAACACGGAACATCCTGCCTCCAGCTTATAACTTCAACGAGCTACGTACACTATTTCGCGTGCTCCTAGAAAACATCTTCCGTACATAATAAGGGACAGAGATTCGAGGACAAAGGGCTCCACAGCCTATATCGGCCCAGTTATGCAGTGTTTAGTCGTCGTCAGAGTCCAGTAGCTCCGCTAACTCTGCCTCTTCTTCCGCAGTCATTAGGCCCTTTTTAGGCTCGACCTTTTCCTCCTTCACAATTCCTTTCGCCTTCTCCTCATTTTCGAGACGTGCTTTTTCGAGCTCCACCTTGCCAAGTCCCCAAGTTCTCACGGTTCCGTCTATACTGATGCTAATGGCCTGTTTACCCCCTTGAAGAACCGTCAGGCCGGTGACCTCCTCGTAATGGCCGTCGTAAACATGCCATAATTTGCCAGTGGCCTTGTCCCAAACCTTCACATCTTCGTCCCTACCTGCGGTCACAACCCACGTGTCAGTGACAGCTACAGTGCGGACGTAATCTCCATGCTCGTATGTTTCTTCTGCGCTCCAGTGCTTCGCTCTTGATAAACATTTAGCTGTACCATCAGCACTTGCTGTCCATAGATCCGTTTCTTCTTCGTCGCCAGCAAATAGGACTTGGTAGACGCTTGTTTCGTGCTCAAGAATCGTATCTCTTATGGGCTTGCTCTGTTCCGAAATTTCTTCAGTAGTATCAAGTATTTGAGATGCGGATGAGAGACTAACGCGCCATCTCCGGATATGAGGGTCACTACTCGAGGAAACGAGAACGACTTCGGTGTTCGTAGAATCTTCAGGATCCAGAGCGAGGTGCTGTACAGCCATCATAGATTCACTCTTGTCTCGAAGAGTATGCAGGCGTTCGCCGGTAGTGGTGTTCCATACCATTATTTTTGCATCGGCACCACCAGATATTAAACACTTGAAAATGTATCAGTAGTGCTACATCCAAACAAAGCGGAAGAGCTTACGTCTGTTCCCTCAATATTTACGCAGACGATAGCTTTGACAAAGTCGGAATGCCCTTTAAACTTTTTGCCCAGGACTTTACTTTCCCTATCCCAGCTCCAAATTTGTTTGTCCCAACATCCCGCAAACACTGTATTACCGCCATGACCCCCAATGGCTACTGAAGTAACTGGCGCAGTTGGGCCTCTATAGATCGTTTTTGTATCTCTAGTCTAGGAATACTGTTAGATGGCATTTAGGATATGGCATAAACTTAGATAATTATCGTACCTACTTCAATATTGACCCTTCGTACGCATCCAGCACTCTCTGCGATGTAAACGCATTGCGACGAAAATGGGTCTGGAATCAAGCTCAAAAGCTTTGATTGTAAAACTATAGGATTTCCATTTTTGTTGCCGGATTTTGCAGCTCTGCGAGCTCGTGTAGACTCGGACGCATCAGTTTGAAAGAAGTGTCCTGGATCTGTTGAGCGAGACATGATTGATGTTAAAGTAATCAAGAGAGAGGTTTCCAGCGATTGTGATTGTGTATCGGGCACAGGTAGTGGGGTTTATTATCACTAGGAAATTCACCAGTTCAACTGTTGGTTCACCAAATTCCAGGGTAGAGACGCGTAAAGTGGAATTCGCGAAGGCACGCGATTTCCTTATCCAAGTCGCGTAACTTATCTCAACTATTTACAACTTCCATGACAGATATTTTGTAAACCACCCTGCCGCAGCAACTCAACTGCAATGGCTTCCACAACTCAGATTAATCTGCGACCCAGACCCGCCCATACTTCTGGGCCGACTTATCTATCGTATACTCCAGATGGCTCAAAATTGGTCACAGTCGGTTCAAATAACACAACTCGAGTATACAAGACTGGATCCGATGGAGAACCTACAAATATTGATGATTGCCAAGAGCAGAATATGGGAGTTGATTCTACAGTAGGTATCCGGTTATCTGGATGAAAATATGCTAAATTTGTTTGAAGAATGACTTTTTCGTCGCTGGTTCCGAAGATGGAACTGTTAGCAAATATTCTTTCGATACGATGTCATTCGACAAATTCCTTATGCGCTGTTCATTACCAGTTCGAGACGTTGCGATATCACCAAATGGTAGATGGTGTGCTGTTGCCAGTGATGAACTCACCGTCAAAATCGTAGACACAAACGATGTAAACCATATGATGTACCTCAGAGATCAGCAGAAGCCTGCGAAGCACTTATCCTTCGACCCAAGCAACAAATTCATAACTTTATCATGTACGGATGGTATGATATACGTATATTCGTTGTTGGACGAGGAACCCGAACTTGTGAGAACAATTGATGGAATGATCAGAGCTGTAGAGACGGATGATGAGATTAGCTCGAAAGTCGTGTGGCACCCGGATGGTAGAGCATTCGCTGCACCAACTGCCACAAGAGATATCCAAGTCATGTCCCGCAGTGATTGGGAGAAACAGCGTGTCTTTGCAAATGGTCATACCGGGGATATTACAGCATTGGCGTGGTCGCCAAACGGAGCGATGCTTGCATCGGCTGGGAAGGATAGGAAGATCTTGCTTTGGGAGACCAAAACACAAAAGATCATTGCTACTTACGACCATGCAAATGTCATGGATTTGGCCTGGCACCCTACCGATAATTTGCTTTCTTTCACTAATTCGGATGGAGAAGTTTATATTTTTCAGAATTTTGTACCTAGTGAGCATGCTCACCTGGTTAGATTGGGACGGCAACCAGCTCCTTTTGTGCATGACCCGTTGTCGGAAATCTCAAATAATGCACGACGACCGACCACAAATGGCACAAAAGATATGCCAGTCCGAGGAGTTCGGCGTGGCTCTCCTGACAGTTTGGATGATATACTTGGATCATCAATAATGGGAGATGAAGATAACTTTGTCATTGATGATGATGGCGCTGGCTACGCCCTCGGATTGAATGGCAATGGCAAGAGACCTGCGGATGATGTGGATCCTTACGGGGTCTCCAGGAGTAAGAGGCAAGCACAATCATGGGAGCCACAATATCACGAATCCTTTCAGCCAGGTAGCACACCCTGGCGAGGAGACCGGAAGTATCTTTGTCTCAATCTGATTGGATTTGTGTGGACGATTGACCAGGGTGATTATCACCAAATCACGGCAGAATTCTATGATCGCGAAACCTACCGCGATTTTCGCTTCACAGATCATTTACTATATGATAAAGCCTGTCTCAACGAAGATGGCTCTCTTTATTCCTGTCCTTCCGGCAACCGTCACCCAGCAACAATCTTATATCGTCCTCATGAATCCTGGACAAGCGGTACAAATCGTGTAGAATGGCACACTGAGTTACCTAAAGGCGAGGAGGTAAGTGCCATTGCACTCAGTGAGTCTTTCGTCACAGTGACTACTACCGCAAATTATGTTCGTATATACACACTCTTCGGAATACCGTTCAGGGTATACAGACAGAAAAGTAGTCCCATTGTTACTTGCGCGAGTTGGAGGGATTACGTCCTCACCCTAGGAAATGGTCCAGTGGGTGCGGATGGTAATACAAAATTGCTGTATACCATACAAAACATTAAAAGAGATGAAATTTGCCAAAACGAGGATGTAGTAGCTTTACCAGATGGCGAAACAGTCAAAAGCGTCTTCTTTTCAGATAACGGGGTAAGCACACATTCTGGTTTAAGACTCTTCATGTTCGCTTAACTGACTCTAACCCCTAGGACCCATGCATTTACGACTCTACTGGGACACTCCTCACCCTTGTTCATTGGCGTGAGCCATCCCAGGCAAGTTGGGTTCCTCTTCTCGATACTAAACTTCTCTCTCGTCTTGCGAGCGGGCGGAAAACAGAAACATATTTTCCCGTGGCGGTGTCAGACAATAAATTCCACTGCATCATCTTGAAAGGCGGTGACAAATACCCTTACTTTCCTCGTCCTCTGCTCACCGAATTTGATTTTCAAATCCCTATTTCCTCACCGTCAAAACCTGATAGTGGAGACGATGGTAACGAGACGGGTGGAGATGAAATGAAGAAATTGGAAGGAGAATTTGCCCTCAAGAGTATTCTTTCAATACTCAAGTCGGATCTTGTCAAGTCTACTGCAAGCACAGAAGGTGAACGACAGGAATTGTTAACGATGGATGTCGAGATCGATAAGACTTTGTTGAGGATGATGATGGCAGAATGTATTGAAGGAGAGGAAAGAGGTATGAGGGCATTGGAGATGGTGCAATTAATGAAAGATAGGACAGGAAAATTTATCGAGGCAGCAGGTCAAATAGCCGATAAGTACGATAGGGTAATTTTAGGAGAAAAAATAAGGGAATTGGGTGAGGAGAGATTGTTGGAGATGGATGAGGACTAAATAACTAATGGATTTATGAATGTATTATGAAATGACGTTTGTGTAAATTGTAAGATATGAAACCGGTTGGCTACTAGGTACTTGGGAATCTTGATGGATATATGCATTCTTGGTGTGCTGCTGAAACGGCAGTCGTCGAAACTCAGATGTCTTTAATATGCCGAAGGCAAAGCAGATACAGCAAGTTGGGGGCAAGCTCCTCCGGAACCAATACCTAATCGCACTCCGATACTTAAACTAAAAATAATCAAACGGAATCAACAGTTCAATGCAAAACGATACGTCCGAGTCAAGAATGATAGAGAGACATGGTGCTTGGGACATCGTATGTGGGAATTGACTGTACTAACGTCACACAGGAGCAACGAACTCCTGAGCTTCCAAGTTGAAGATAAGCGAATATTCAACTGGTGAGTCATGCTACCTCTTTGAATCGGGAGAGGTGCTGTAGATAGTATATATACTGAAGTTTCGCACCCTTTAGATGAAGTTATTAGGTTCATGGTAATGAAAGAAGAAAAGAGTGATGCTTTTTTTTGAAACAAACACTTCCTACCTGTTGTCATGTTATCACCAAGGTAAGCCTTCCAATGGCGAATGATTTCCCATGTCCGAAGCTCTTCACGCAGTCTGAACATTCATCTTCGTCAAAACTTACATTTTCACTTTCGTCGTAACATCCACAAATGTTTCGGAGTTTCAACCTATGGATACTAGCGCTCAACCATTCATCGCGTTCGCGCAGAGGTTGATTGGGGCCTAATTAAGTACACTGAAATCAAAACAGCACCATGATAAATCAGCTTCATAAACGACGAATTTTTCTTCCCGTTTTTTCTACGGCTTTGATTCCAATGCCATGGACGTCATCCATTTGTGATATCTACCCTTCCGTGCTCAAAATATTTGACGGGAATGTATCCATTTCCTGCAGTCTTTGCGAGTGCATCTGGAAGCCTCTCTTCGTTGTATTCATGAGCTGCATGAGAATACGATGGCTTTACGAGTAGCACAGAGTCTTTCGTGCTTGTGTAACGGGTCACAGATTAGTAGACATGTTTTGTGAATTGAACTACTAGGAGTTGTAAACTGGATGAATGTTTGGCGATCAGTGACTCTATATTTAGCTGATCACACCCAAACTCACACGCTTCTCAACCAGTCAGCCAGCCAACGTCGGAATTCAACCGGTGTTTATTGGATGAATTTAGGTCCATGATGTAGAAAAGATCGATGTTGTCTGGGGTGTGGACCCGCGAACTCACGCACACAGCTGTACCACTGCATCCATCCTTAATGCGGCTCCGCGTCCCCTGTAACGTTTTTCATTATTCTTTTAGAGATATTCTCATGCATAAAATGTTTTAGTGAAACCAAGGTGGAGTTATTTGAGGCCTTATCGTATACTTTCATAGGGTGGGGGAACGCAATGCCAACAAGAGATGGGGTTGATCAATATACTGGTGATATGGTATTGGATCGACTAGACCTTTCATAAAAAGACAGCAAAGCATGAGAAAAAAAGAACATAATCTCTGGAAATGGAAAGGTACCCGAGTACGTCCTATACTTTAGGTACTAGAAAAGAAAAAAAAAACTTGCACTAGCTATTCTTAATGAAAAGTCGTGATATTTATACAGCATGCAGTAATCCACCCTTCCATTCATTTGTCTGGCATGGCTGGCTACCTTTTCTTTTTGTGCTTGGGTAACTGTGAATAAATAATTTTAAGAGATCAGACGAAATAGAGGGGTTTTGAAAATCTTATTCGTAGATTGGGGAGGAAAGTTTTAGAGGAAGATTGAGGCAATGATTTGCTTTTGCTTCACTTTGCTTTGCTTCAAATGAATTGATCATGAATGAAAGAAAGAATGGAAAGAATGAAATAACGCCAACGTACCTTGTGGCGTAAGAATCAACAACGCCACACAACATGTGGCTAAAAAGTAGCCGTAGTTGTTATTTTCACATCGATAAATGCAAGTTCATTTACCTTGGTAAATTAATTATAGAGTGAAATAAACCCGGGAATGAGTAAAATAAAATCTATTTTCCACCCACCAAGATAGCTGCAACTTTCCTTGCTATTAGGTTTGTTTCGATACTCCTCTTTATACCTCCTTGTTTTAGACATCATCATCAGCCGCCAGACTAAGATATCCATCTCTCTATCTTGTGGTCGTCAACGTCGACGCGCCATTTCTCAAAAATCTAGCTTCAATATCTTTCCCCTCTAGCGCACATTTTGATCGCCCCTCAACAACAACACAATGGCCGCTCTTGGTGAGGATTTGCTTGGAATAGTTAACAAGCTGCAAGATCTTGTCTTTAATACTATTGGCAATGATAGCTTGGATCTGCCACAGATTGTATGGTACACTTCTCCACGAGCTGCGAAACTTGGCACTAATATCATTTTTAGGTAGTCGTTGGTTCTCAATCGTCTGGAAAATCCTCTGTGCTCGAGAATATCGTCGGCCGAGATTTCCTTCCCCGTGGCAGCGGAATCGTCACACGCAGACCCCTCATTTTGCAACTTATCAATGTACCATCGGAGGATGAAGATGCACCGGAAGCGCATACAGCAGCCAGCGTAGCTACGCAACCAGAATGGGCCGAGTTCCATCATATTCCCAATCGAAGATTTACAGAATTTCAAGATGTGAAAAGGGAAATCGAGAACGAAACGGCGAGAATAGCAGGAAATAACAAGGGGATCAACAGATCGCCTATCAACCTTAAGATTTACTCGCCGCACGTTCTAAGCTTGACCTTGGTGGATCTGCCAGGTCTAACCAAGGTAAGTTCCTGTTATCCTATGTGTGGGAGGAAGATGAGATTCTGACTTTTTCGCAGGTTCCTATTGGAGATCAACCCACGGATATCGAAAAGCAGACCCGAAATCTGATATCGGAATATATTGCGAAGCCAAACAGTATCATTTTGGCTGTATCCCCAGCAAATGTCGATATCGTGAACTCGGAGGCTCTAAAACTTGCCAGACATGTCGATCCTCTTGGCCGAAGAACTATTGGAGTTCTCACAAAGATAGACCTTATGGACCATGGCACGAATGCTATGGATATTTTGTCAGGAAGGGTGTATCCTCTGAAGTTGGGATTCATTGGTGTTGTCAACCGGTCACAACAAGATATCCAAGGCAACAAAACTCTTTCCGAGGCACTGAAGTCAGAAGCGGACTTTTTCAAACACCACCCTGCATACCGAAATATGGCAAACCGATGCGGAACCCAATTCCTGGCGAAAAGTCTCAACACTACTTTGATGGCACATATTCGAGAAAGATTACCCGACATCAAGGCTCGGTTGAATACTCTCATGGGACAAACGCAACAAGAGCTTGCTAGTTATGGAGACATGCACTTTAGCGGCAAGGAGCATAAAGGTGCATTGATTCTGCAATTGATGACTAGATTCGCATCTTCTTTCATCGCATCCATTGATGGTACCTCGACGGAGATCTCGACTAAGGAGTTATGTGGAGGAGCCAGGATATACTACATCTTCAATTCTGTATTTGGAAATTCATTAGAGACTATAGATCCAACGACAAATCTTTCTGCCCTAGACATTCGAACAGCCATACGAAACTCGACCGGTCCTCGTCCTAGCTTATTTGTACCCGAGCTCGCATTCGATCTTTTGGTCAAGCCACAAATCAAGTTACTCGAAGTTCCTAGTCAAAGATGCGTGGAACTTGTCTACGAAGAGCTCATTAAGATATGCCATACATGTGGCTCCACCGAACTCACCAGATTTCCCAGACTCCAGACCAAGCTCATCGAGGTGGTTTCTGACTTGCTGCGAGAACGTCTTGGCCCAGCATCTCAATATGTGGAGTCTCTTATTTCCATCCAAAGGGCATACATCAATACAAATCATCCAAATTTCCTAGGTGCAGCTGCAGCCATGAGTAATGTTGTTTCTAACAAACAGGAAAAGGAGAGAAGGAAGTTGATACAAGAAGAAAAGGAGAGAAAGGAGCACAGGCGCCGAAAAGAGCTCGAAGCTGTGAATGGAGCAGATACCCCGGAAGAAGGAGAAGATGCTGTTCCAGAGAAGCTTGAAAACTTACCGCAGCGAAAACACCTACAGAAAACTTCTCGAAGCATGTCACCTGCAATCCGTGAAAACGGTACTAGCGCGATGGTATCATCAATGAACGGTCTACGTGGAGGATCACCACCCAGGTTCAATGGTCAAGCGGCTGGTGGTGCGCGTGATTCGTTCTTGAATTACTTTTTCGGCAAAGATGGTGGTTTACCAGGTGGAGCAGGCGTTCCACAAGCAGCTTCATCTGCGCAAATGATGGGCAATCCTAACCTTGGTAGACACGTGAGCCAAAGCGCAGAACCAAGTATCACACAAAGTATTAGGCGGCAGGAGGAACGTCCTGTACAAAGAACACCTGCCCAACAAGCTCGTGAAGATGATTACGAGCTTGGTCGTGCACAAAGAGATTACAACTATGATTCCCCATTCGTAAGTTTCTATCCCGCCCCATTCTCCAATCCCCACACATACTATAGATCCGAACTAACACCATCCCTAGGGTAATAACTCCGAACCAGCACTTACAGAACGCGAAGCCATGGAAACTGAACTCATTCGCGCTCTCATATCCTCATACTTCAACATCGTCCGCGAATCAATAGCAGACCAAGTCCCTAAAGCCGTTATGCATCTACTAGTCAATCACTCCAAAGATGTAGTGCAAAATCGTTTGGTTAGTGAATTGTACCGCGAAGATCTATTCAGTGAATTACTTTACGAGGATGATGCCGTAAAGAAGGAGAGAGAAAAGTGCGAGAAGTTGTTGAGAACGTATAAGGAAGCTGCGAAGATTGTAGGAGAAGTGGGAATGTAAAGCGTTTGGGAAAGAGCAATAAGAGCACGAAATAAAATGGATTTAGATGGATGTGACGATGACACGCAATGCAATTTCATGACCTGCTCATTATGGTTTGGTGGATGGGCATAAAGGGGTAGGTAGGTGATAGTATAGGTGATGGATATGAAAAGAAACACCACGAGATTCAAACTTGTAGATTACACTGCTCCAACACAGTCTGCATGCTCCACCTTCTGAGCCTTCTGGAATGAAAAACGAACTGTAATTTTTCCCCCCTCTTCATCAGTATCTCTACTCTTACTATACTTTATGCTAGCTAGCCGCTACTTCGCAAGTAGACCCCTTGATCTTCTTTCCAATCGTGAAACCTGGTTGGTATATATACACGCCGTGCATACATTCATATGATAATATTTATCATTATTTATTTACTTTACTCCCTTTTTTGAATTTGATTCTGAATTTGATTCTGAATATTGATATTTTATTTCAGTGTTTGATTTTTCATATTGTGTTTTGTTATACTACAATATAAGTCTAGTACCCCACTTTTCGGCCACCCTTTTATCACGAACCATATTTCAGATAGTAAAACTGTTTTATTTATTAAGTCAAGTAAGCGGGAAGGAGTATTGGTAGGTAGATGATATAAGATCTTGTGTTGTATAGAGATGGAAGCGGTAAGAACCGAGATTGGAGAGGAAAGAAGGAGGAAGAAGAGGAAAAGGCATTTGAGGAGAATTTGTTTGTGTAAGATCACTATTCTATATATTTATACGATATACAGGTATTCAAGGTAGTGCCTACCTGTATACTTTGATGAGATGACAGAGAGATGGATCAAGGAGTAATTTAGAAGTTCGAAAGCCCAGCAATATGTCACATATTACAATCATTGTAGGATCGAAACAAAAACTTCATATGACCTTTCGATAAATCTAGTATAGATGCCGCGCACGACATGCATTGAAACCATCTAGAATCTCTAGAGACAATCACCAACTACCTCCAAACTTGCAGAAAATTCAAAACTCCGCCGCATAAGTATGTAGATGAAGTATACATCCTGAGAGATGATGCATAATCGACCTGGATATGCAGGAAATCGTGAAACCATAATAGCAGCCATGTAGTAGTATCTTGAGTCATTATCGTCGGAAAATAGTATTTATCGTTAATCGCAAAACCAAAACTGCACAAAGGGTGTCGCATAAAAACTCAGACCTTGCCCTACTAAACGTATTGAGAGTTTCCTGAATAAGTCAGCCATAATGGAAAAGTAGCATGAGACTTTCACTCCATACCTCTGGCAAAATTGCAGCACATATAGTAGCAGGTTTGAAACTTGCGAATCCAAACTTCTAGATACCACGAGCCCACTCATGGTCACTATAACCACCATAGGCAACGCTGAAGTAGGAGTTTTCGGAACGATCAAGCAATTCTAGACGTAACTCAATTGTGGTTTCCTTAATACGCTACACATAATCAGTTGAATATCACACGGTAATGATTACATACTGTAAACTCACATGACGGCAGAGCTCTGGAAACCGCTTTAATATGAATGTAGTAATCTCACGAGTGCTATGTCTTGGTTGAAGTGCCTCTTGTTTAGGGACCTTTCCCTGGACTAATGGAGCATGTGTGGACAGGTAGGCGATGCAACGATCATGTTTGTCAGACCATCCAGATGGAAGGCCACAGCTCGGGACGCTCTTATTAACAAGTTCCGGTCCAGGAATACGGTAATGGGTAAGCAAATTATATGCCTTATCCTAAGCAGATACCATTATTAGCCTGGATCACCATCACAATAAGTAAGTTGCCAACTTGCTTCTGTCGGTTGTAATTTAAAACCTGGTCCAAGGGAAATTGCGGGGTTCTGAAGAAGTCTTTGACGAGCCTCACCAGCGCTGGCTCCATTATAGGTAGCCTGGAGAGCACGTCTACGGTCTTCTGACAAGACGGCAGCGGCGGCAGCTGCTGCTTCACGCTGCTTTTTTCTGCTCGGAGGACGAGGAGGAGTACCATTCTCACTTTCTGTGGTAATGTTAGACTTTATCGTTTGTATTTCCAAAATTGGAATTGATTTGAAAGATTGCTGTAGTAATAGATAAATAAGGATAATGAAATACTAACGGTCAAAGGGACTTAACTGTATAAGATGTTAGCAAATTTCATGAAACTCTATGAAGAAGACAGGGTCACATACCGGCATCATTACTTGCGCCATGATGAATAACTTGAAGTCTGTGGTATCGGCCTAACGGACTACGACAATATGAGCTCTAGTTTACGCAAACGTTCAATGGCTGATGAAGTTGAAACCGGGAAGAAGCTCACATACAAAGCGTATTTGAAACTTTGAGTTGGCTAGAAACTATGGTCTGAAGAAAAGCTCTAGTATCACAGATCAGTCTATGACTGTGGTATAAGATGATGGGAGAGCACACTAACGTGCGTATGTTCAAGTTGCTACCGTGCTTTTACACAGATTGGAACTGTTGGTGCGATCAGAAACCAAGGTGCGACTTTTGAATGGAGCTAGAGGCCAGGAGAAGACTCACATTCCTCGAGATATGCTTGAAGTACTCTCTAGACAGAAAGCTGTGAGCTTTTGAAGGTAAACAAGAAGATATCCCAAGGGAGATTCAATTGAAAAGAACTGGTTGTAATCTACAAAAGCGTTGCGGGAGAACGAATCCGCTTTTCGAAGTTGAATATTTCGAGAGATGAATCCGGGTGTGAGGGAAAGGAAGCTAGACCGTGTTATTACCATACACGGCAAGAGTTCCGGGTATCGGGCCGAAAAATCAGGTGTGAGTTAAGGGAAAGTAAAGTGTGAAGGTTGGTCAAGGTTGAATGGACGTTTAAAGTTAGATAAAATCAAGAAGGATTTGACTTGGGAAGTCCCCAGGTTTGTTGTTATAATCCACTGCTATCAATGATCAGATTGTGCTTGATGTCATATTTGGAAACCAGAGAGATTGGAGGAAGGTAAACAGGTTGATGTTGTGGATGTAAAACAAGGGTGGTGAGAAGTAAACGAAGAAAGGACATTCGAATCTCGGACGTGGTGAAGAAAAGTTTTTCAGACATACCAGGTCTATGACATACACATACAAATACCATATATATACTTTGACAACCGAACTGATGATACCTTAAAAGTAAATATAGAATGATCTTCTGTCTGGTAACAATGAAGGAAGTCAATATGAATCTTTGATCTTATGGTAGCTTCTTTGAGTACCGATTCGGTGGAAGATAGAAGATTCCCTGCAAAATTCATGAATTCGAAAGGATATAATATCTGAAATGAAGAAGGTGAGAAGTCGATGAAACAAAAAGCCGTTGTAGATCAAGTATTAAAGATCGATGAGCGTATCAAATTTAGATCTCCCAAAAGTTTTTGAACTGTTCCTACTTGCTGAAGTTGGAAAGCACCAAGCACCACCTCACCAGTACTTTGGAGTAGTCTTTCCCAAAGGGGTAACCGCATGGTCCAATGGACTTCACAGACGAATAGTCCATTTAGTATTTCAGGGCAAACCTTTAAGAATGAACAAACTAATATTCATATCCATTTCCATTTCCAGTTCCATTTCTTTACAGAGTTCTGACTTCTCTACAAAGAGTAGGACCTCACATCATCAGTGCTCCTGGTGAAGCTAGACATAACTAATGATTTCTCTACAAAAGAACATAGCATACCTCATACATATGATGCAACTCTCGTGTACATCCACCACAACAAACCTCCTCTCCTTTCTATATTCAAGCATTGTCAGCCAAACTCTATTCTTTTAAGATAAACCTATCTTCATTGTTATGAAAGCGATAGAGATACAGATTGTATCCCATACCAAAAGAAACATACACACCGTCGGCTTTCTCAACCTCAGACACTCCTACCTCAATCCCCGGAGTAATGACCACAAAAAGACACAGCGCGGATGGCGAGCGAGGACCCAATGAATGAATCTTTCTTTCCTTCTAAAGATGCTCCTTTCTTTACCGAGTAATCCTTAAAAATACCTCAATGCTTCTTTTCTCACATAAAACAATGATATTGTACAAGAACTGCTGACATGACGATATATATTCATTCCTTCACTTTTTTTCACATCTAGACAACTATCTTTCCTTAAACACTTCCGCCATGCATCATGATCAGGTGAAAAACACGAAGAAAATCTGTTTGGAGCTACACATGTATCCCACGGGTCCATGCAGACGTAACACTCATCTATCGGCGGATGCAACCCGATTTCAACCATCCAACCATTTCCCATGCCCTTCCTTGTGCTGAGGAACCGTGGGATCTTTGCCATTTACTTTGGGGGAAATAACATAGGGCGCTTCGGGAATTGTGATCAATGCATGGCAAATGAGATTGTAAAATGTGAGGATTCTTTTGGCACTCTTTTCCTGAGAAAATCATCAATTGACTTCATTCAATTTGAGCACTTTCTAATGTTCTTGATGTGCAAGAAAATGTAGTGCATATAATACACAGAGCCTCTAAATTGGCATGGCCTCCATGTATAGCTTTGGTTGTACAAACGCCTCCCTTCCAGAAAGATTGCACTTATGCCTACTAACTTAAATGCAATTACAACTTTTTTAAAAACTCTACGCAAAGCTAGCCTATCACCTCCATTTCCAATGTCTCTCTAGGAGCGACCGGTAATTTTGCTAAGCAACGAACCACTAGGAGCCTTTTGTTTATCGAATACACCTAAAAGTGATTTCCAAACGGCTCCGGGTTCTTGCGATGCGTCAATACCACTCCAGATGCCGGTCTTTTGGTAATAACCAACGACAGGGGCGGTTTGATCGTGGTAGGTAACAAGTCTCTTCTTCAAAGCTTCGGCATTATCGTCGGATCTTGATACCAATGGTTCACCGGTGATATCGTCCTTCATTTCTGCCTTAGGTGGGTTGAATACTCTGTGATACGATCGGCCTGAAGCGGGGTGCACTAAACGGCCAGTAATGCGGGATACAAGGAGACTATCGTCAATTTGAAGCTCGACTGCGTGTTGTAGCTTTTGGTTGCGCGCTGAAAGCATGGCATCCAAGCGCTCTGCTTGCACGACTGTACGTGGGAAACCATCAAGAATGAATCTACGTTTCACGTCAGAATGAGCTTTCCTCCTTTGTATTCTCCGCCAGCACTTACCCTCCCTTGCACTCTTGATTGGTCTCAAGTTCGGCCTTGATCATGCCGATGACGATCTCATCACTAACAAGGCCACCTTGGTCCATAATCTTCTTAGCTTCCCGACCCAATGGTGTCTTCTTCGCAACTTGTGATCGCAACATGTCTCCAGTAGCCTAAATCGATCATTAGAAGAGCCTTTTAACAAGACTAAAATGACTTACCAAATGACAGCATGAGAATTTCTCCTTGATCTTAGGAGCTTGAGTTCCCTTGCCTATGTGAAGCACTTAGCTGATGTCCCCCATGTGTATTCAAAACACAATTGCAAGCCCGGAAATCATAAACACGTACCAGCGCCTGGAGGTCCCATAAGGATCATTCTGATACCCTCGGAGCTGGATGGCGCAGACCCACCGGCAGCATGCGCAAGCTTGTCTTCCAGCTCCTTGACCCTCGACTCGAGTTTGTTGACTAGGTCATGGAGGGTCTGCGTAGCATCGTCGCCAATTGGTGCCATTTTGAATTGATTAGGTGAAAGGAAACCGGACCAAGGTATGGAATGAATCCAAAATATACAGATTGCAGAGAGGAGAGTGGAGAGTGTTAAGGAAAAAAGTTTCGCAAGTCTTTGAACGTGAGGGAATTGGAATGGAATCGGGACAATGAATGTAGAGCACAGTAAATCTAACTTGTTCTGCCGAGCGGCAACCGGAGGGACGGAAAAAATTCACCGGGATGTCCCCTCAATATATTATTAGGACTTCACTCAGCGAGAAGAAAGAAGAAGATATATAAAACATTCTGAGCTGTGGAAATTGATCATCATTTATATCATAAAGGGACCCGAGTGAGATCTTATCTTCAAAGTAGCTGTGTGGAAATATAGATGTATGTTTAGTTAAGTACTTCACCGGACCTTTGCAAAGTTATGGTCATGGTAATACAATCTTGAGGTTCACGCTCCTGGAACTCCTTCTGTGTCTACAAAGTCAAGTCCGAGGTCTGGATGTCAGACATTTGGGAAACTACTTTCACATCACCAAGTAAAATCTACGTAAAGTGTGTCCAAGGGTATACAATTAAACCTTGCGATCATCGGTATTCTACATCCGTTCTATCCTTCCTGTCTCCAATTTGACTTTACCTCATACCTTACTTCCCGCCCTTCCGCCCGCCGCCAAATTACCTGCCCGCCGTGTGGCACGTGATAACGTCTCGATTGGGTTTGGAGCTAAGCACCAGGCAAGCTCTTGCCGCGAATACCTTAGAATATCAGCCTTGTCAACAATTGTTCCATAACGATAACGACAAACCTCCATAACTCAAAATTCATCATGCCTGCTACCACGGCAGAAACTCTCTCCCTCGTTACGAGAAATGTATCAGTTGCACCACTGGTATTACTTTCAGCAGCAGATCATTACGGGCGACAAGCTAAAGGCACGCGCAGACGTGTGGTTGGAGTTCTGTTAGGACAGAATGATGGAAAGAATGTACGGGTATCAAACAGTTTTGCTGGTAAGTTGGTTCTTTGACAGTTTATATTTGAGCTTGGTTTAGTTTTTTAGATCATACTAATAGCAACTTTTAATAGTCCCATTCGAAGAGGATGAGAAAGACCCATCAGTATGGTTTTTGGATCACAATTACGTCGAATCAATGAATGATATGTTCAAGAAAATCAATGCGAGAGAAAAGCTAATAGGATGGTATCATACTGGGCCTAAACTGAGAGCTTCAGATTTGGAGATCAATGAGTTGTTTAAGAGATATACCCCCAACCCGTTACTTGTGATTATCGATGTTCAACCAAAGGAGGCTGGCGTACCAACAGATGCCTATTTTGCGGTCGAGGAGATTAAGGATGTAAGTTTGTTCTATTGATGGAACGATTGGATGAACACTAATGCCATTCAAGGACGGCACAACTACATCCAAGACTTTCGTACATACACCATCGATCATCGAGGCTGAGGAGGCTGAGGAAATCGGAGTCGAACATTTACTGAGAGATATCAGAGATGTGGCAGTTGGAACTCTTTCAACAAGAATCACAAATCAAGTACAATCATTGCAAGGTCTACACGCACGATTACGAGACATTAGCCAATATTTACAAAACGTCCTCGATGGAACTTTACCAGTCAACCATGCCATTCTAGGCAATCTCCAAGATGTTTTCAACCTCCTCCCTAATTTATCTACACCCAAAGCTTCCTCTCACATTCCTAACGGCCTCGATGCACCTGTTGAAAATAACAGCGAATTAGCACATGCTATGAGCATAAAGACAAATGATCAATTGATGGCTATCTACTTAAGTAGTTTGATCCGCGCCATTACCGCCTTCCACGATCTCATCGAAAACAAAATTCAAAATAGACAACAGCAAGAGGAGAAGGATGCCAAGAAGGAAGAAGCCAAAGATGAGAAAGACAGGAAGACTGATGGGGTTGAAGGTGTGAATGGAGATGGAAAAGAGGGCAAAGAAGCGGAAAAGGAGAAAGAGGATAAGGAAAAGAAGAAGTGATGATGGAATGACGAATGGAGTTGGTGAATATCTTTGGGTGTTTAATGAGGTATGGGCATTCAGAACAGGGCATGACATATGGCATTTGAGATGAGGTTGAAAATGATATGTCATTGTATCATAAATTCATAGCTTGCGAATAATAGCAGCCATGCAAAGTTTTAAATGTGCTTTAACACTATACATGCTTGTGATTTTATTGTTTAACTCCACAAGCTTTCCTTTCCTTACTTTCAGCATATGAACCCCATACTCGCTCAGATCGAGGCACATTCATCAATTTCTTCTTCATATGCGCCAAACAACAAACTCCAATACCACACAATAAACATTCTTAGCTTCACGCGCACGCACTTTCCCAGTCTCACCTAACACCCACTATATATACCTCTCGATACCCCCTTTCCCCCTCAGACAGAACAACTCCCTACCATCCTCAAACCCCCAACCCACCCATCTCCCCCCTCCCCACTATCCTCTCCTCAACATACATCCCTAATACATCGCCCCATCGCTCGGCGAGGAGACATGCTAATATGTGTTTACAGATGGGTAGTGAGGAGTCTTGGGTTTGGGTTTGAGTTTGAGGGCCTCCGTATTGCCAGGTTTGTGTTTTTGTTTTTGTTGAGGGGTTGGGGAAGAAAGAAGTGGTAGAGGAGGAGGAGGAGGAAAATGAGGATGAAGCGGGAAATGATGAATAAGTAAAGGCGGCGCAGGTGCAGTTCCAGGCGTTTAGGTGGACGGTATGTGGATTTTCTGAGGGTGGGATTCTGATGTTGCTTTTGCTTCCGGATTCAGATGTAGATGTAGTACGAGAATGAGAATGAGAATGATAATGAGACGAATTGGAATTGGAATTGGAATTCCATTTTGAGGGTTGCGAGGAGCGCACTTGGTAGATTGTTATTTTGTTATTCTCTGGTTTTGGTTTAGGGTTGGGTTTGGGTTTAAGGTTGGAGGATGTTGCGTCGGGTAGATGTAGATTTAGATGTGGATGTGGATGGGTGTGTGATAGAGGAGGAACTAGATTTCTCCTTGTATCTTCTGATATCTGGCCTCTTTCGTCGTGGATCACGTCTTCTCCCAAACTCTCACTATTCCCTGCCTCATCCACAGGTTTTGTTTCGGCTCTTGTACCTTCTTCCCTCGCGTCTTTTCCATAATAATCTACTCCTCCTTTATCTCCAACTCCACTGACATGACTGCTATTCCCCTCCTCGACTCCTCCATCCCCACCCCCACCCCCAACCACAGCACCCTCCCCTTCATAAACCACCCTCCCCACCACCCCTCTATCCAACAAATCCAACGCCTGTAAAAGTACCGGCGGAGGAAAAATAACATGCAATGTCATCAAGAGCGCTTTCTTCTCACTTCCTATCCCTTTTAACGGATTTGAATTTTCTGTTTCCTTTGCTTTGACATTTGGATTTGAGGTTCTTTGTGAGATTGAGTTTGTATTTGTGTTTGTATTGGGATTTGAGGTTGGATTTAAGTTTGTAGAAGAAGAAGAAGCAGTAAGGCTATTGAAGAGAGAAGTTATGAAAGTACGAGGTGTGGGAAGGGAGGGAGGGTGAGTGGTGGACATTGTGGTGTAGTGTTGTGTGATTAATGGGTGACTATTCCGATGGAATGGATAAGATGTAATTAATTAAATAATCCTGTGATAGGGAGGAAGTATGTGGGATTTTATACAGAAATTTTTGATGGTAAGATGATAGAATTTCCGTCCAAGTTTGGACTGAGGGAATGGTAGTGAGGTGAAATATTGTAGTGTGCTGGAGATGAATGGACGGTATTGGGAAAGATAGAAAAGGAGGGGTAGAGAGAATCTCGCTTGTTGGGTTGAGTTGTTTACCTAGAACAAACTATCAATCGTTTCACATCTCACTTTGGACATTATATATGGTATTAATTGATGGCATTTATTTTTGTTCTTTTTCTTTCTTTGTATTATACATACATTTCTAAATCATTTATACAGCAAGAGGTTATCACCCCCCCATTTCAATCCCATCTTTAATATCTAAACCCACTCCCTAGGTTCCCTCAAAACATCCACCAATCTCTGTTCCCTACTCCCCTTCTCTGGTTCATACATATATCTCCAACTAGCCGTCAAAGGTAAACTCATCAAAATACTCTCAACTCTCGCACTTGGTGTATTTAAACCGAATGCTGTGCCTCTATCATGTACCAGGTTGAATTCCACATATCGACCCCTCCTAATTTGTTGCCACTCCTTTTCTTTTTCGGTAAATGGCATATCTTTCCTCTTATTGATGATGGGAAGATATGAGGGAAGGAAAGCTTTTAAACAACTTTGCGCAAATGCAAATAGATTTTCCTGATCCTTTCCTTCTTCTAAATCATCAAAGAAAATTCCTCCAACACCCCGCGTTTCCCCTCGATGCTTGTTGGAGAAATAGTTATCGCACCACTTCTTGAATCGAGGATAGTATTCTTTATCATGACTGTCGCATGCTTCTTTAATCGTCTTGTGGAAATGGATAGCATCTTCGTCAAATAGGTAACTAGGTGTTAGGTCCGTCCCTCCACCAAACCACCATGCGGCAGGAGATCCATCCGAGTTTTCGGTCTCGAAATATCGATAGTTAAGGTGGACCGTTGGCGCCATAGGATTGACCGGATGCAGAACCATACTTAATCCTGCAGCAAAAAAGTCGAGGGATTGGACATCAGGAGCGATGGACTTGTGGTTGGCTCGCATTTTATCAATTGCAGCTCGAGGTAACGTTCCGTATACCACGCTGATATTTACTCCTGCCTTTTCGAAAACATTGCCGTCTTGTAATACGCAAGAGATCCCTCCTCCGCCATGTTCCCGATTCCATGTATCAACTCGAAACTTCTTGCCGTCAACCTGTTCCAATTCATGCACAATTTCCTTTTGCTGTTGTTTAATGAATTCTTCCATTCGCAATCGCATAGGTGAATTCTCGGTAACGCCGGATTCACGTTTGGTGAGAGTATCCCGTTCTGCAATGGTAGGGGCGTCCAACTTGGCCGGTTCTTCTGTTGCCTGTTGAGGTGTAAGTGAAGCACGAGGCTTGAGCATTGATCGAATGTTCCGTACCATATTGTAGATTAAAGCAGTAATAAAGACAATGCCAACAGCAATTCTAGTTTTTGGTGCCCAAACAGTAGGGCGCCCTGATCCTGGTCTTGGAGGTTTTTGATGGCCTGCGAAAGTTCTTCGAGGATATGAAGCTATGGGACGTGTAAAGAAAGAAGTTCTTCCTAAGCTCGAGAATCGAGCTCTTCTTATGGGAAGAGACATTGTGAAAGAAAGGAAATAGTCACGCTAGAAATAAAGAAGAATCGAAGGCTATAATGGAAGAAACATGCCACAAATAAGGAGATGTTGTTGGTGGAAGGATGGTGCAGGAAATGGTTTAAAGAATAAGATTTGTTGATATAAATTTTCGACCTTTGCTGTGGTACGATTTCTATGATCACCTACCTAGTACCGAACATACCTATGACGATGATGAATGGTCGACCTTTAGAAGAAGCACTGGCCATTAAGAAATTCTAGCAAGGGTCACAATGCACAAGCAATACCTACCTAGTACTGGTGCTTCAATGTTGGAGGAGTACGACTTACATACATTTGAGGGTGTAAAAAAGAGATTCAGAAGAGAAAGAAGATATGAGTTGATACACTTATATATTAACATACTACCTCGGTCCTGGGTAACTATATGTACTCTGTATACCGGATATAGTATGATGAGTACCATACATTTAAAAGAATTATAAAAGAGTAATTCAAGATCTGAAATAACATACTACTGATTACTCCTTCATACTTATTAAATAAGTACCTAGTATATGTACTCCATGTACTCCATGATAGGGGAACTCCTCAAGTGATGATCCTGATATGTTGTGTTCTCCTGGTAAGGATGTCCAGGTTCTCGTCCAATATTCCATTCCGTACCCATATATGATATACTACCCCAATCGAACCAGTTCTCCAGCCTCTTTTGCTTCTAATCTCGAGTGGGGTTGCTGCCTGTGGTTTAGTTCCTAGGAGTGTGTTGGATGAGAACGACGGTCAAAGAGAAAAGGAAAGTTAAAAACAAAATGACAAAGAAACAGGAATTATTAGCAAATGGACTATTGTCTGAAATGTGTATTATGAATATGAATGCGTGAAGGCGTGAATGAATGAATGTGATGTGATGTTTACAGTCATGTGCCTCTGGGATTATTAGATATTTAAGAGTGAATCCGAAACAGTCATTGTCATTTCACCCATTCCTCATCAGCTGCTATTCCCACACAACGGTATCTACTACTTTCATACCCGTACCATTTGCTTATCACTAGGCGCTCATCTCATCACTCAGCACTCAGCAGAAGTGTGATTTGTGATTCACAATCAACCTTTCACCGCTTACGCTACTAAGCTACTTAGCCACTTAGGCAGTCTTAATACTTAGTCTCTCCATTAACCTACTCTGTACAACCAACTCCCATACCCTTTCCCCTCTATCCATCCATCCTCCACCACAACATCAAGACAATCTCTTCTTACAGACTGTCAACACATCAACAACAACCTTCCGCCTTCTACCAACAATACATCTAATACCTCATTTCACAATGCGATCCAAGTTTAAGGACGAGCATCCCTTCGAGAAGCGCAAGGCTGAAGCAGAACGCATCGTAAGTCGCATGCCAATCCCTTAACATGCACCTCGTCTTCCCTACCATCTCGATCGCATCTCCCAAACCGTCATTACGAACCTACTCCCTCATTTCAACCAACTAACTTATATCTTCAGCGCCAAAAATACTCCGACCGTATCCCCGTAATCTGCGAGAAGGTCGAGAAATCGGATATTGCCACTATCGACAAGAAGAAGTACCTCGTTCCCAGCGATCTCACCGTCGGTCAATTCGTCTATGTCATCCGCAAACGTATCAAGCTTTCCCCCGAAAAGGCAATCTTCATCTTCGTCGATGAGGTCTTACCGCCTACTGCCGCTTTGATGAGCTCCATCTACGAGGAACACAAAGATGAGGATGGGTATGTTTTCCACTATCTGCTTTTCATAACGTCATACCGCCCTATCATCACCGTTATCGTGGTTATCGCGATCGGATCAATTTCCAACGCAACGCCATCTATCCACGAACAGAAACGAAGAAAACCCAAAAGAAACCATGATCTAAATGCTAACATAACCATCAAATAGCTTCCTATACATCTCCTACTCGGGCGAAAACACCTTCGGTGAAGCCTTAGAAGAAGCCAACTAATTCCCCTCTTCCGCATGAACCACTTCAGTACAACACAACATCATTCAGGCGTTTATAGGGCGAGGCGGATGATGGATAGGCAGGGCAGTGTGACTCTACATTACAACCTAAGGCAGTTTTTCTTTCCTCACCATCGACTTCTTCCATGTTTCCCCTTTCCGAAATCTTTACAGTGTATCAACCAACCCTCTCTCATCTGCCTTCAATTATCCTAAGCGACATCTCCTTACGGTACGCAGCGAAGGGGATTAGCAAGAAAGCAAGGAAGAATGATCATTCTGTACATGGGGCCGTTATCTGTGTCTCTTTGTGAGTGGGAACTTGGGGATTCGACGTTGTGAATTATTCATAGGGGTTGTTTCTTTTCCTTGTTTCGTACTATTGGGGGGTGGGGTTTCTTGGGAATAGGTGCAATATGATACGATGCTTTTTGCCACACATGCATGATATCGCCGTATGACAGCTATAAGTGAAGTTATTTTGATTCGTGATCTGTTGTGATTCTGATGATTTCTCCTATACTACTCTAATTTAAACGAATGTGCAATTATCCCTCCAAAAACCAGAGAGCTTTCTAATGACTTCAAGCTATTTGATGTAATAGCTGGATACTTGAACACTTAAAAATATTGATAACAATCCCTCCGCCCTTGATATCTCGATCCATAATCATGTATTTCCGAATCGTGCGTGAATGCTCCCCCAGACAAGCACATTTCAAAACCACCACCATCCTCATACAAACACATCATATAATCCATTCAAAAAACGAACCAACGCCACGAGGAATAGACGATACTAGAGAATAACTCTGAAGGGAAGCACGCAGCAAAAGCATCAAGACACAATCAAGCATTACGTTTTCCCGATCTTCCAATAGTTCCAAACACCGAACTCAGCTTCTTTTTCAACGACTTTGGTGATTCGCCCAATTTCTTGCTGATGCTACCAAGCTTGGCCCCTGTTCCGCTCATTCCACTGATGCTGCTTCCTTCCGTCTTGCTAGATTTTTGGCTTTGGCCGCCATTACTTCCGCTCTTTGTCATGGGGGTACCACTGCCGCCGCTACCGTCAGAACTGGAACTATGAGAGGACGAACTATCGGAAGGATGACCGGATGACGCAGGGTGAGCGGATCGAGTAGGAGATATTGGAAGAGGATCTTGGAGGGAGAAGACGACATGAGTACTTGGATCCTTAGGTAGATCATAAGATGAGGTATGAGTAGAGGGGCTGGAAGCCTCATGTGGTGGGAATTGATCCAGTCTCGAGCGGACTTTTTCGGGGATCTGGGTGCTCTGGGTGTCCTGATGGGCACCGATGTAGTCTTCAAGGACTTGACTATTTTTGCTGTGCTCGAAAAGTTGCTTGGATGGATCGGTATCAGTGGAAGAGGCACCCATGAGTGCTCCAAGGCATTTCGCGATAAACGCTTCATCGTCCTCTGTAGGAGACTGATCTGTTTCTTGGATGGGCATACTGCCGAATGAAGCAGGAGCCTTCTTGAAATCATTGTTCCAGAACTGGTTCTCAAATTCTTCGAGGGTAATTTCTTCCGCCATGAAGGAATCGTCAGAGTCAGAGTCAGAGTCAGAGGAATAGTCTCTTGGAATGCAAGAACCATCGACCAGCTTCGTATGTGACTTTCCAATAAGCTTCTCCTCATCCTTGGGAGCGATATCGTCAACATCTTCGATTCTCATCGAAAGACCTTGTTTTTGAAAGACAACTTGTAATTGCAACTTCTGCATAGTCTTAACAAAATTATCTTGCTCAATCTTGTCCATCCATTCAAAAGCCTCCAGATATTCTTGGGTTAGTTCGAAAGGAGATATACCGGCATTGGTGAGTTTTTGTCGGGCGGCGGCTGCCTTTTGGAGCGCTCTCCTGTGCAGAATTGGAATGTGGATATCCATCCACCTGGTCGTTTCATTGCCTTGGCTCAACACCAATTTCACAAACTCACTCTCTGTAAGATATGACGGATGAAGACCTTTGGGCACGAGAATTTCCCACGCACAGTCCCACAGCGGTCCTTTGCGTGTACTGTATTCATGTACCGCAGAGTTTGAGTTAACAGTGGTGATAAGCTGGCTGTAATATACGTGCTGGTCAGCGTAGTCGAACTCGTCGACTTCAGTGGAAGGAGGTGTGTCAAACGTGGCAGAAGTGAATGGTTTCTTGAGTCTTATTGGCAACACAATCATATCCTCAGAATTGAATTGAAAGTCCGACGACTGTCTACGAAGGTTGTAATCCTCGCATTGGAAATCCGTGTCGGGGTCTTGCTCGTAAAGGTCGAAGGCCATGCAATCATCATGATTAGATGGCGTAGCAGGAACTGTAGAGTAGTCGCTGTGTCCAACTGCTGCTGTATGACTCTGAGGACGAATGTTTGACGTAGGCAAGCTTTGGGTATTGGTGCTGGCCTTCTTTGAGACGCAGCTAGACGACATTTTGCCAGGAAAAGTTTCTGAATTGGTACACTCATAGAGAGCCTTCGAATGGCTTTTCATATAAAGGTACGAATCTTCGCTGCCTTCTGCCATTGTAGCGTGCGAAGATCAGGATCGTATTGATATTGTAAGAGTCCTTCACTATCCAATTCAAAAGACTGCGTGAAAGATAGGAGATGGAATGAGATTAAAGTTGTGAGAGTACACTGCTGCTTTGACAAGAATGCAAATTTGTGAAATACTTGTTATTGCACAGTCGAAATTTCTCCCAAACAGCAAGGATATAGAAGAGCATGGCATGCACCTTCCTTGAAGCAATCCGTCTATGCTGGCCACGCTCCTTCCACAACTTTTAATTCTTCTTCGCCAAAGGATCATTCGAGCGAGGAAAGCCAATTCTTCTACATGATGTAAGTCAATAAGGAGCCAGGTAAGATGTACTTTCAAAATCCATACCTGAATGCAGCATCAATTGTTTGCTGCGTGGTACGTCCTTGTTCCTTTTCCTCTCTGTTGACGCGGGTCACTGTCGCCCCTACCCCAATGAACAGAGCAAAGAGAGGATCGCCAACCCTGGATATTAGATAGACTGAAGAAGGCATGATGATGATGATTTCACGTTCGAACTATTATCAGTGTTTTGGTGAAAAGACTCAAGCTTTGGAAAATTGATGCTCAAATACTCGAGTGACAAGTTGAAAATTGTGGATACGAAAATTCCCGGATTTTGCCGAGATGCCATAGCTCCATGGAGGGGTAATTGAATCTCCTCTCCTCTGGCATACATCATTTTAATCTTACATGCGAGCCATCGACTAATTACCATTACCAAGTCACATAATCTTACACATACTGATTCACAGCTGCATATACATCATAACTATTTAGGTATCTATGCTATTTATCATTGTGATTGTCATTTGAGTCGAGTGCTTTGCCCTCCCTTCTGTATCGACTCCTCGCTATTTACAAGGAGGGTACGATTCATCGTTTTATATCATTAAACTCCAGTTTTCCTTACCATCCATTTTCAGTATTATTACATCATGATGTTCAATCGCGTACCAGTATCCTATTTGGAAAGAGCGATATCAAAAGCAGGAATTAAAGTTTGTGCAAGCCAGAAAGAAAACACTAATTTTGGTCCGGTCATCAAGAGCTATTAGATGTTAGTGCTATGTTTTTTTTTCGGTGCTCCGAGAAACATCATACCTTTGGTGTTAAACCCTTGAAGAAACTTGTCATGCCCTCGTTCTTCATCATGCTTGACACGATCCTGAAGCCACTTTCTGGGTTCTCAAAGTTACGGTTTTGGATACGGGTCTTGATAACGTCGAGGGGTGCAGAGACGACAAGGGACGCAGAGGCACCGGCGATAGAAGCTACAAAGTTCTCGAACCAGGTGGCTTTGTTGTAATCGTTCAAATTGAAAATATATCCTTTGGCAAAGGCAGATCCTCCGAAGAGCTTTGAAAATGTTAGTAGCCATTCAGGTTAAAATGATAATGGAACTCACAGCAAATGATCCGGGTGCATTTCTTGCAGCAGTCCATTGCCAACCTCTATACAATCCAAAACCCTCATCTCTAACGATTCTGACAACTCCTCGTCCTCTGAAAGCCTCAGGGTTTGTCTGTCGCTTGATCTTGAGAACGTCAAGGGGAAGAAGTACAATCTCTCCAATTCCAACAAGACTTCCTGCTACTGAACTCATCATCGCCTTTCCAGTCTTTGCGCCAAATGTGTTATCGAATGTGCTACCGTGGTTCTTGGCAAGGTAATCACGAACAAATGGCTGTCCGCCATACTTGTAGACTCTTTGAAGGACTTTGTATCCTGCAGCATATCCTAGACCTGGGAAGAGGGAAAAGAACTTGGTGCCGATTGGAGCTGTTGCCTTATCCTTGAAGATAACCTCTGCTAGTTTGCCCTTGGTCTGCAAAAGGAGTAATTAGCATTGCATGGTAGAAAGGGAAAGTTCAATACTGGGGTTTATACCGATCCATGATTGCTCATCAATCTCTTTGCAATTGTGTCGACCTTCCATAGGTCAGTATATTCATTCTCAGTGGAAGTTTTAGTGATCCCATACAGGGTGAAAGACGGCAAGCTCAGCAATACCAGCAGATCCTACAGAGTTTAAGTATGATATCTCAGAACAAACTAGGTTGAGGAATCTAACCCGAGCCCAACAATCTTGCCAATGTAGATTCTGACTTGTATTTTTTGGACGCCGATGACGGCGCGGCTGCAATTGGAGACATTCTTATGGCGAACAAAGTAAATCACAAACAGAAAAAGGTTCAAAACAAACTAAATGAATGGAGTATCTAAAACTGCCACGACGCCGCAAATTGCCTTATTCTGTAAAGAAGGATTGTGGAAAATAGAGAAATAATATTTCGTCTGGTGTGATTGATTCCCAAACTTTTTTTTTCTTTCGATCTTTAGAAAGCCTTGTATGTTGTCCGTGCGCTACAAGGTACAGTAGCATGAAGCAGTTCGATGTGGGGTATCACAACACTGATAACGGGCGGAAAATTGCATTATAAATAATACTATCTAATTCTAAAACTATTGATTGCTACCTCGACAGATACCTGAGTTTCAACCATTTGCTTATTAGTGTTAGTATCTTCAAATCTTGTATGAATTGAATAATGAGACCAAACATTTATTCATGTATTGGCCTTCATTGGTTCCAATTAGACAGGGGGATGAAGTGAAACAAATGCCATTACTCCGTGCATGCAGCATACTGTACATTTTGCAAATTTTGAGTATTTACCTAGGCAACTAATCTAGCCTGTGAAGTGATCTTATGGTATCTGAAAGTCATAAGTCAACTGGAAATATCCAGTGCTGTTCGACTATACTAGAACGCCTTTCTTATGCAGTAGATGGCGCCGCCCCAATATGGAAAAGAGATTAAGAACGCTCAAGTACCAAACCAAACCCGCTATCATGGTTAATAATCCTGAAAAACGCCTACCAAATCATCGAGTCTACCGATCTGTCCTAAAAGATCCTCTTCCTTCCTTCGAATCTCACGCAACTGATTCATCTGTTCTGGTCGAAGTATAGCCTCCTCTTGACCTTGAACATCTGTACGCTCTGACAATGCAATAATATCTGCTTTGCGCCGCTTCTCCACGTCAAGTCGTTGAAGACATCTTGACATGGCCTTGTATGTTCGATCCAGTAAGAGGGAGGAAACCCGATCTTGATCGCAGAACCACAAAAATATAGTACGCACAATCATGCGGCCGGCATCCCTGGGAACTTCCTGAACATCAACCATGCCATGCATTTGCATTTCCACAAGTTTGGTCCGGGAGTCCTGCTGTTTAACCAATGCTACCTTGGCAATATGCTTTTCTTCAAGCTTTCCCATCTTCCTCATAACTCGTATAAGCCGATGACCAATCTGGCCAAAATTCTCATATATAATCGAGTCTATTTCTAATTCTCGAAGCCGCTCAACCACACGCTCAAAATCGACTGTCCACTCGCCCATTTGCCGGCTGCCGCACTTTCGCAATAGATGGCAATCATCGGCAGCTAATAACTGAAGATGACTCATCACATGCATCATTCGGGCTTGCCGGCTCTCCGTTGGTGGAGGGGCCCTCTCTTGGTCTTGGAAAGTGACGGCTCGTTTGTTTGTGTTGACCCTGGGTTGATCTGCAAAAGGGTCATCGTCAATGTCCATCGCATGTCCGTTTCCATTAACGAAAGACTTATGGTCATCCTCTGACTCCTCATCTGAACTCGCATCATCTTCTACCTCTCGGGCTTTTCTCTTTCGGCCATTCTGAAGCTTGTCAAGCTTGGAAGTATCAGTATTTTCGCTGGTAGCTTTGCCAATCCCTGTAGATACGTTGATTGTTTTACTTAAAGCATCGGTTAATTCCTGCGTTGTTATTATAATTGAAGGTCCATCAGGGTCATCCACAGCATCATCAATCTTCGGATCGCGTCGACATCTAGGAATTTGTTCTGCCATGAGTCGAAGGAGTTCCGCATAAATATACGATGTAGTTACGCCGATCCGGTTGTTTGCAAGCTCAACAAGTCGTCGATTTCTCAAGAAGACAGTGCATTTTTCATGGTTGATGCGCAAAACTAAATTTCCCTTGTAATAGGTTAGCATGCGATCAGGGTTAGCTATAATGAATGCAGGAAACCTACATCAAGCCTGTTAGTTTCGTCATCGCCAAAATCATATCCGTTAGAAGCAGTGCCATTGTGGGAGAGCCTTCTTCGTTTTGAAGCAGTGCCGTTCAGGTGGCCATTGGCAGAAGGCCTGTTGTAACCAACTGGCTTCCAATTTGGAACCTCAGCTCTCAAGTCTTGTAATCGTTGCCGAATTCTGGATCTTAACTCTTCCTTTTGCTTCGTTCCTCTCGTGGCTCCTCCATAATCCTCATGAAGAAGGGCCTTCTCAACCGCATTGTAGCTATCCGTCGGGCTTCGAAACATATTCCGGCCGACAGGTTGAATAAATCCTTGTTCTAGCAACTGAATCAAAATATAGTTCAATTGACCCGAGTGATACGAATGAACGCCATTGCCATTTGTGGCGCCATTGATTCCGTTGCCATTGGCGCGTGTATCGTGGCTCTTATTCAATTCCGCAATTATGTCGGATACCTTGGCATGACCCAAAAGCACCAACTGTCCCATGATCTCGGCCGCAACAGATCCAAAGCGTTCTTCTGCAATTTCCAAGATTTTGCCAGACCTAACTAGAGCATACGCGGCATCGATGTTTGCTTCGTAATTGGTGTCAGCCCCTTCGTCTGAGTTATGGTAAACCAGATTTTGTCGAACGAGGACCGTTAATCCGAGCTTCAATTGTCGCGTTGTGAGTTGGGTGTGTCGTTTGAGCGCAATCATAGATAATCTCCCCCTGCGAAGTAAAATAGTGAAAATGCGCTACATGATGTTAGAATTGACACAGCAGAGATGGTTTTCTTCAGCCTTGTCATTTTCATACATGCAAGGCTTAGTTCGAAATATTTTCCAGATATGATGGAGAGGAGGATGGACTTACAGAGGACAGTTCGCCGTAAATATCATCGACGAGCAGAGAGCAGAGCTCAACTGCATGTTTTGACTATTCATTGAGTCAGCTGGTTGCAGAGGCTTCGCAGTATCGCAGTAACTTCATGAGAAAGAAGATGACAGTAACGATTCTAACTTGGAAATAGTTGAACATACTCTAGACATGATTTTTGTGTTGCTACTAGAGGATTATTCCAATATCCCTAGAGCTTCCACAACTACTACCGTTGTTTCATTGACAAAAGAGAAGATATTGGGTGGAATTATTATCTAGGTAGAAATTCTAGATTATCAAATACTCAGATATCACTTAGAAATTTTGAGGTGGGGGACCAATAGGCTCATGGGCAAATCAGAATGTGAGAGGATCGAATTACACAAATGACTAAACCTTATAAAGACTAGCGTTATTGTTCCGAGATCTTCCAGCGAAAAGAACTGTAGGATATTGGTATTGAACGTCTTGACATTTTAAGAATATCGAGTCTCACCTCCTCAACGAATATATCCAAACAATGATCTCACGGTCGGCGATTGGACGACACGCACAGCTTGCTGTCCGCAGGCAATGCTGTGCCCAGCCAGCTAATCGTCGTGGCCTTGCTGCTGTTTCCTCCGGATCAACCTCATTCTCATACGAATCATCTGATGTTGCTGGAGTTAAGGTCGCAAGCAGAGATGTTGCTGGAGCTACCACGAAGCTTGCCGTCGTTGCTAAGGCCGGAACAAGATATCAGACTGCACCAGGTTTAACATCAGGATTAGAGCGATTTGCATTCAAGGTAAACTCATCACAAGAAACCACATTCGAGTAATCTTATATATTTCTGGACATTGACTTATATTTTACGGCTTAGAACACCTTCAAACGATCAGCTCTTCGTATCTGCAGAGAATCTGAACTTTTGGGCGCACAATTGAACGCTTACCACACCCGCGAAGCACTCGTCGTGGAAGCCAAGTTCCTTCGGGAAGACTTACCATACTTTACCGAACTCCTTGGTGAAGTTATCTCAGCCACAAAGTATACCCGTAGGTCCAGAGCAGGCAAGGTTCATTGAGGGTGCCAACTAACTGGTCACAACAGCCCACGAATACCATGAAGAAGTCGAGCACCAGATTAAGTTGCTCCAGAAGAAGCTCCTCGGAAGTGTATCAGACCTTGCTATCAACTCAGCACACGGCGTCGCATTCCATAGAGGACTTGGAACGCCTCTCTTCCCATCTTCATCTACCCCTCTTACGAAATATCTGAACTCGGACTCCATCGGCGAATTTTCAACCCAAGCATACTCGAAGCCAAATATCGCTGTTGTCGCAAATGGTGCAAGCCAAGCAGAGTTATCGAAGTGGGTTGGAGAGTTCTTTACCAGCGCTCATACTGGACAAGCTCTCTCTGGTCCTGGAGCAACCAAGTACTACGGTGGTGAAGAACGCATTGCCCATGACTCGGGTAATTCGTTCGTCCTTGCTTTCCCTGGATCTAGTTCTTTCACGGCAGGAGGTTCATACAAGCCCGAATTCTCTGTCCTTGCCTCTCTTCTCGGTGGAAAATCTAGCATTAAGTGGTCCACTGGATTCTCTCTCTTATCTAAGGCTGCATCTTCATTCCCAGGAGCCAGCGCTACGGCCACTAACTTTGCTTACTCTGATGCTGGACTTTTGGTACTTCAATTCAATGGTTCTGCGAAGGCTGTCAGATCGGCTGCCATTGAGGCTGTCAAAGCCCTCAAGGCAATTTCTGAAGGTTCTATTAGTCAAGAAGATTTCACAAAGGCAGTCGCTAATGCTAAATACAACGCATTGGAGGAAGGTCAAAACGTTGAAGCTGGACTTGTCACGACTGGCTCTGGGCTGGTCCATGGCGGTAAGGCATTCCAAATCGATGAAGTCGGCAAGAGCGTAGAATCGGTTAGCATTGAGAAGTTGAAATCGGTATGTATCTCTTCATTCTTCACATGACACAATACTGATATTTCTTATAGGCTGCAAAGGCAATTTTGGAGGGCAAAGCTACCATCTCGGCAGTTGGTGATCTTTACGTTCTTCCTTATGCAGAGGAGCTTGGTCTTTCAGTGTAAAGCTAGATGTCAAGATGGGATAACGGTGTGTATTATCAAAAGCTCTTAGAGTATATTATAGATGTGATGCTCGCTGTGAATATATGATTGATTTCCCTGAATGTGGATGGTTCAGATTTAAGACGCCATTAAGTAATTATATGATGCTGTATGTAATCTTGTAAGATGATCAAGCCTACCCCAAAGATGCCTAATCATCAGCGAAGAAGTCGGAATATTATGTTCACGTGATTCGGAATTTTCTCCAGTTCTTCCCGCGCTCCACCGAAGGTCAACAAGGCACGGCAGCAACCTTTCTTCAAATAACATCGTCCCGATTTACATATTCCCCATCATACACAATGGCGTTCGCGTGGAAAGCCTCAGGTCTCACGTATGTAATCCTGGTTCTGCAATCACCTTGTAACTCTCTTGCCCGGCGCGATGAAGGCACTGAGCGCTGTGCTCGGGGAAGACTTTTACTGATTTAGTTTTCTTGACTATAGCTATAACAAATACTTGTCCGTCGCTGCACGAACACTTCGAAGAAGTTTGAAAGATGACAAACGATTGGCCGCTGAGCGTAGAGGGGAGATGGAATTGAGATTCGCCAAGTGGACTGTGAGTGACTCCTAGAGACTCTCGGAACATATTGAGGCAGATTTGGCTAACGAGAATGCTGGAACAGAATGGCAAGCAAGGCGATGTCAAGAACGTTGCGGAGGCCAACGCGGCATCGATGGCAGAGGCTGCTTCATCACCATCATCTTAAAAATGGAAAATGACACTTTTGACGGCCAAGGATGTGGACAGGAAAGAGCTGTGCGATGAATGAATGGCAGCGCGGACTTGTACATTTGTAGCATTTGAGACTATGGGACTAAGACAATAGAAAAGTCATATCATTCTCGCGACCTTTTCTGGGACTTCATCTTATATTCTGACTGGCACTATCTGGATGACTTGACATTCCGCCCCAGAGAAAGCCTACAATAACCTCGTTCGTCATTCCTACATTGAAATGTTCACCTCCCCATAAATTCTTTCAGCGATATTAGTAGATGGCAATATTGTATGATTTGAGGCTTAGAATGTACCCGTCCTTGATAAATGTTGTAGCACATATAACACACCACTTTAATGTTAAAGCTTATCATCACGGAGTACAGAGAACGAGATTGAATGGTGGAAAATAAGGACAAGAAGACTGATCTATAGAAAACAGACATTGCCTCGATAGAATTTGAACAGTCTACCAACTACTAGTGATTAAAAGATTTTTCTGTGATTCTCTGCTTGTTATTCTTGTCTAAAATGAAATATTGCACTTATGCCACTTTCCGTTACAAGCGAGAACTTTATCTTCCTTACAACGTCAAAACAAAGGCTACGAATATCCATCATGATATATATTCGGATGCTCTAAGCGATATATCACAGTAGTTGCAGCATAGCCATGCATAATAACGGCGTAGCTGCTATCGCGCAGCGTCAGTATTTTCAGTCCTCCATAGCACCTATCACCTATCACCTATCACTGACAGCCAAATTGCAGAAGTCTCAGACCTTGAGATCGATGAAGGTCCCAGTGACCCGGCGGCAATGATGGCAACGCTCAACCCGGAACATCCACCCGCTCCCAAGTTGTACAGCCAGGGTGTCATGATCACGAATATTACTCAAAACTTCACAGATGCTGCCCACCGTGTGTTACCAGTTACAATCCCAAAAGACTTTTGCCATCGATCACGTGCTAACGACGTGCTCGCAGAGCTCAAACTAGGGGATCTCGTCAAGGATCCGTTTTTCACGCTGTTTGATGCTGTTGCCGCACTAGAGGTTTGGCTCTCATATTTACAAGCGGCTGGGCTGATCTTCAGGTATAGATTATGGATCCTAAAATGGATAGTGGTTATCTCGCTCCTGGCGAGACCATGGAAGACGATTATGATTTTACCCAGACACTACTTCCAGAAGAAGTCTTGGGTATCGTTGATCAGCTTCTCTGCCATGAGGTATGATGGAACTTAATACGACAGAATGCCCGCAGTCTGACTATGTGTAGATGGCCTGGCACATGGGACACCCACTTGCTCAAACAATCTTTACCAGTTTATACATTGACCGAATCCTGTACCCCTCTCCTTTAAGTCTTGATGAGACCTTCTTTGATAAAAGCAAGAGCTGCTCGGAAGACGAACATCTCATGCTGCAAGTTCTGAGAGCATACTGTCTGGGTTTGATAAAAACTTGTTGGTATGTCAATAATCGAGTCAGGTCGGAACATTTCTATGAGGTATTCCCATTTTTTATATATATTCATTTGCATGAAAGCTTATACTCGTGTAGGAGGAGGATTTCGCCACCCATACTTTCCACAGAAATCTACTTGAGGGTATAGAGCACAGTGAAATTCTCGGTTTTCTTAAAGAGACCATGGAATTAGTTTTGCGGACAGACAACATACCTGACGATATAAAGGAAGCTCTGAAGGTTCGTCTTAGTTTCCGACACGCTTTCTTGGAAGCCGTCGATATAGCAGATTCAAGATCTCCAGATGCAAAAGTGTTCTGGCGTGAGACGCTTTCGTTCATACCAGAGTTGAGATTATCCAGCAAACTTGCAAAATCTGTTCCTCAGTCATTCAGTGTGAAGTTACAAAGGAAGCTCGCAAGTACAGTACCTCCACGCCCAATTGTTGTGGTGGGACAAGAGAATGCCTACGAACATTTGGAGAGGATGTGTAAGGATGGCGAAAACGCAGTTGATATACTTGATTATGCTGATAGTCACAGTCTCATGGTGAGTTCAATATTGATGTTGGAGGTTCTCTAAACTTGTTGGCTGATGATGCATCTACAAGACTTTCATTTCATTATTCCAAGCAAAGAAACCTCAACCAACTGTCTACATTCGGACTTTACTTCAATACTATATGTTTGCAGATATGATAATCCTGGGCAAAATGTCTATTCGAGAAGTTCTCGATGATGATCTAGCAAGTCTTACCTTACCAGCAAACCAGCTCCTAGACCGTAATAACGATGAAATTGAAGTCACTCGTGACCCAAGATTTCATATGGCTCAAAGAATGGAGATATTTCGATCACGCGCCGCCAACACATACATCGACATCCTGCGCACAATGTGTCAGAACCGATGTCGCATGCGTAGAACACTTTGTCACACTATAGTTGATTGGGATAACCTTCAACTTGATGGTGAGGAAATCGACCAGGAATTAAGAGAATTTACAAAGGAAGAGCCATTTATAGATCTGAAAATATCTAATGATCCCATCTACGCTTTCCCTCTATCATCTTGGGCGTACTATTACAAGCTTCGCCAGATGGAGTGGATAGTACAATTAGGCTTTGAGCTTCAGGTTTATCAACCAGATGAGTTGTCGGGCATGTATTACTATCTAAATCATCTTTGCAAAACAAGGAGTCGTCATCTTGAGCGAATTCGAAGCGAAGTCATGCGATCTTACTCTGCACGTCGCAAAGCATCGCAGCTTGACACTAGCCAGCAAAAGGAATTTGCTAATACAATTTCCTTCATTAACTTCTCCATGTTAGAAGTCACTTCGACGTATGGTTTTGCAGATGCATTATCTTCACTATTTGAAGCCCTTCGCCGGCTGGACCTCATACCCATACCTCCAAGACCATACGGCGACGACATCATGCGTTACGAAGTCCGCATGAAGCCATTCTCTACGATTGGCCTTCCTGAACCCATGCCTTTCGAGACCTTCATATACAACGTTACGCAGCCGAAAGAATCCACGCTCGATTTACTTTTGATCGCTGCAGAGGCCACTGCCGCAGCCAAGAAAGGATTCGAGATACTCAGTAAACTCAACCCTAAAGATGCCTATTGTCGCGGATCTCATGAGAGCTGGGTTAAGGATATCAAGAATTGTCTGAAAGCATGCATCTTCACGGGAATCTCGGTTGCAGCAGTCAAAAGGGCCATTGAAGCTGCGGGTGAGGACAGTAAAGTGAAGATCCAGGTAGAAATCCCAACGACGGGCAAAGGATATCATGATTGGTGGATCGTGCCCAAAATTCTCGCCGACCAGAAAAGGTAATGATGCATCATCGATTTTTATGTTGGGGACTCGGGACTGTAGTTCGCAAAGTGGTTAAGAATGACATGTATGGAATTCGGAGGGTGAGAGATTCCTCCGAAACCGAAGCTGTTGCATCTTAGTGCGTAGGCATGCGTAAACTTGTCGGACTGAAACTCCGTGTCTTTTCTCTTCCCATCAAAGGGTTCAGAAAAACCCCTCAGATTAGAAAAAAAACGCGACCCAGGGAAGGCAGGTAATACAATCCCTTTGTACCTAAATATTTTAAACATGTGATTTCCAAAAACTTTGTATTATTCGATAATAAACGTGACCACATACTCAAATCTCTGTACTCAAGTACAACACGACATTTACGCCCTCGTACACCAACATCAATTCCAAATCGTCATGTACAATGTATCTTGTATCTTGTATCTTGTATCTTGTATCTTGTATCTCCACAACCTACCTCCAGAAATATTACACACAAAAACCGACGCTAAAAATAAATTTGCATCCAAAAACCCCCCTGAACAAAACATGGAAATGTCCCCCAGATTCCGATGGTCCCCCAACAATTTCGATGATCCCATCCATCCCATAAATAAACAACTAAGTTTCACAGAGACAAAGAAATAGATACAATAGTTAAAAAAAAAAAAAAAAAAAGATACATCGCGACCCCCCCGTCTCCTCCAACCAATCCCCCTCCCCCAAAATCCCACAAAATATCCTTCCCATCCCATCACCTCCTCTCATCATTTCAATTTTTTTTTGTTGCACATCTCAAAAACCATCGGACAACTCGCCGACGGATAGACTCTCCTCTCTCCTCGATGACACTCATTTCATTTCATTCCGTAAGCTTTACAAAGTTTAAAAAAAAAAGAGGTTATGATCCATCGTCGATGCGGTTTTCCACTGACGGACGCGGACAAATGCACCGTGAGACCTTGTTTTGCGATGCTTTTTTGGGGGGGGACTCTTCTTCTTAAGCGATGATGATGATGCGGAAATCAAGTCTTACGCTGTGCTGTGCGTGCCGGGTTAAATTCATGTGCGTTTTTCGTTCCCTTTTTCCTTTTTTGCAGAGACCGACTTCGCGCTGTGCCGGAGGGAGGGATCATGAGCTAAAATGAGAATGTCACTGTAATAATGAATGCCTAGGTTTGGCGTTTTAGGGATGCCATGGAAAAGAATGGCGAATTGAAATATCGGACATCTCTATCGGAAACAGAGGAAAAGAATCGGCAACATTGAAATTTCACTGATTGGTATCATATCATGTAAGAAAAGGTGGATGGACATGGACAACTGTGTGGTGTCATTTTCACATCGGTCATGTATGATGAACCCGTTTAAGCGATGTACATATATGCATTGGTGATATAGGGTACTAGTCAACTTTCTGTTAAAAACCATAACTTCGTATGAGATAAAAGAGGGGGAGGGTATACGCAAAAGTCCCAACTAAAGAGAATCGCTCGAATATTCATCCTTAATCAATCTGCAGCCCCAATCTTAGACATCTCTATCCACATATCCATAAAATGCTGCCCAACTCGTCAACGTCCCAGCTTTGTCCTAAACTTTCAGAGTGCGTCTTGACCCTCTACTAAACCCCTGATGCATACGAAATACTCAGCCCATGAATTCGTTCCTCTCACCCAATGCTCCGCCAAAAATGCAAATTTATGCTACCCATCCAACCAATTTCTTTCTATAATGTTCCCTATCTATGCATACCGCTACCGCTACCACTACCGCTACCACTACCATCTTGCATGTCGAATATAGCGTATTCAGCGTCTTGGACCCGAGTTCACGAGTTGTCGTTGTTTGTTAAGCCAACTCTTTGGCGCATCCTGTCTACGCTGTAGCACCACATGATTACTTTGTAAACGGCTCGTAAGATCGTACCAAGCCGTGGCTATCAGGGTATTTTCGCGAGTGAGGTTCTTCACCAAAACATCATTTGCAGCCTTCACATAGAATTGAATCAGTTGTCTGCACGCATTCTTCACATCATAATATGATTCTGAATGGACACAAATATTGGTTGGAATAGAGATAAGATATCATTGGTAGTGGTGCTTGTAAGAGAAAAAGTCGATACGGTACCTTCTGCGCTTCTGGATCTTCTGCCAGGACGAGTCTTTGTTGAAGCTCTTGAATGGTTGATTCTTTCTTTTGAAGTTGCTGGAAAATATATCAGTCGATGACACTTTTTTTTTTTTTTTTTTTTGGTGAAAGTGGAGAATATGGTGAATTTGTTTGAGGGAAAGACGATGGTGGCAGTTATGCTACTGGCAGAACACCGAATGCCGCCTGTTCCCTGGCAAGTTCTTCACCTTGTTGATCATGACCTGCGGCATTTGTTTTGAAGTCCTGAGATTTTTTGCTACCGAACAATGTTCCGATTCGCTTGATTGCGGATTGTTTCTTTGGTGAAGTCGGTGAAGATGGTTTTAATGTAGAAATATTGTCTACTTGACTTACCTCTTTCAATGCATCAAGTGCTGTTACAGGCTCAGGATTCTCGCCCGTCTCTTCGTTAGAACTAGATGGCTTTTGAAAGATGGTCTTCATTTGTTCCGAGAGCTTATCTTTGGACTTTAGAGCTGCAAGAAGGTGAGACTGCTGGTCAATGAATTCTGCTCTCAAATCATTATGTTGTGCCTGGAGGAGTGCCAGATCCTTCTCATATGAAGATGCTACTAATTCGTTTGCTTCTTTGAGCTGTTCTAATGCTGTGATCTCATCGGAGTCCATAGCACTCACTACTTTCAGGTTAGCTGATATACCACGCATGTAGAATTTGATGACCCACAATCTGCGCGTGCTCTTAACAACTCTCGCTCGCTGCTAGTAAGCTTCCCGTTAAGTTCGTTTATCGCCTGGTTCAATCTCTTGATCTCTTGGGTGGCGTCGCTGTACAATGATTGTCCGGCGGACTTCGCTCGTTCTCTGTGATAATCGTCGAGTGTCAGTTGAAAAGGCCCAATAGTAATCATTTTGTCGACTGCTAAAACTAACGCTTCGTCTGTTGAGAGTAAGGACCTGTCGCCCATAATCGTTGCAAGTTGATCTTGAGTTACGGCGTGAGCCTCTTTCAACTCTTGAGTTTTCTCGCGGAGTCTGCGGACTTCCATTTCTGATTTCTGCAGCTCGCTTCGAAGTTCAGCATTAGCTTTGCCACCTTCATTACTCTTGAGAACCTGTAACTCTGCTCTCAGTCTTGATATCTCAAGCTGTGGGTTCGGCTCATGTGGACTGTCGCTTCGATTTAATTCATCTTCCAGACTTAATCCTCCCGATGGCTCTTCTGGTGATTGTGAGTCTAGACGTTCTTGAAGCTCATTGATGTATCTCTCATCATGTCGCTGCCTTTCAAGATGTACTTCTATCTCCTCTAACCGCAATCTAAGCTCCTCTTCTAGGCGCATACCTTTACTCCTAAGATCGGTTATGGTGTGCTCCTGCGTTTCGAGTACTTTCATATATTCACCACGGGTCGTTTTGAGTAGTTCATTTTCCATATGAACCTTGTCATAATCCTTTTGGTTCTCTTGTAGCACATCTAGCTGCTCACGCAGCCTTGCATTTTCTTTTTCAATGGCGTTTTGTTGGGCAAGTTTCTTTTCATAATGCTCCACCTTATTTGCTCTCTTTAGCAAAGCAGAATTCTCGACTTCGAGTTCTTTGAATCTGTCCTGAATCTCCAAATCACGACTGTTTTTAACCGACACCAACTCTTTATTCTTTAGTTCTCTATTTACCCGGGCGTCTTCAAGCTGCTGCTCCTGCGTGGCAATTAGTTGTTCCGAATCTTCGAGTCTCTTTTCAAGTCTCAAAATGTGCTCGTTCTGGCCTCCATGATTAATCATTTCCTGTAGCTGTTTAATAAGGATGTCTTGTTCTTTGTTTTCATCTAGTAAGTGATCTCGGCTTTCCGACAAATTTTCCAATCGTGTAATCAGGTCAGCATTGCGTTTCTTCAAAGCTGCATGGTCATTAATTACGATAGAAAACTTCTCTTCCAGATCCAGTGCGTCGTATGGCTTGGTGAGACGATTGAGCTCCAAGGTTGGCAAGGCGACTGCGAGATCTTTCTCTATCTACAGCCACGTTCAGCGCTCTCCCAATACACTATACAACCAAATTGACTTACTGTTTCAACATGGACCGCGATGACTGATTGCGCAGACACGCCCAGCTTCGTTCGGACACGATCGATATATCTCATCTGATTAGGACCTTTCAGGGCGACTAACATGAATATGGTGATAAGCTGAAATAGTCTGTTAGTTATGGCGATGTTGGGTCTCGTTCTGACTTTTCCTACTACCTTTGTCGATTCGACGGGATCCGAGTATTGAGCCAAAGCATTGAAATCGATAGGATATTCGGCAACCGCCGCCTTCACCCAATTGTTACAGTGCTCGTGAACATATTTGAGAAGAGATTTGTAGACGGCCTCCAAGGTTTGTTTGGCGATAACCCATTTCGTAGAACTCGTTGTTTGCGGAATATCTTTGATGGCATATGCGGGGTCGAAGTCCTCTAGATTATATAAATCAGCATCCAAATCGAGGGCCTAAATAGGATGATGAAGACTCCAAAACATACCCAGCATATCAGAAAAGACAAGGCCATCCGTCAAGTCTTCTATTGCTTTGATCTTGCTCAACGTGGCAGGAAAGGTATTGATCTAATGGAAAGGAAATGTTAATATTGAAAGAAAGAGCGCGTAAAGGATAATACGGAATCACATACCCATGCCAGTAAAACTGCCCTCGTGGTGTCATTAGGAGGCTCCAAACTGGAGGGCATTTTTCCTCTGTTGACAATAATCCGTTATGTGGTGGATTTCGGCGGTGTAAAGAAGATGCGAAGGACTGAGGGAGGTTTGAGGTCTTATCGTGCAGCTGCAGAATGCAAATGCAAATGAATTTCTAGATTGATGATTACAGTACACGAAATTGTGATTTTAGTGATGGACCCCTGAGAGGCCGGAAGTTTGGGAAAAGTTTTGCTTTGTTGGCTCCTATAGGTAATGTTAAATGTTAAATTATTAACATCTGAATAGGAAGTCATCAATTCATTTTATGCCATCTCATCTATTGTCATTATCATATTTCATTGTGTTTCAATGTATCTTGGGTCTTACCTTTCATTCATTGATTGCACTTTCTTCATATCACTGTACCACCGTATCACCGTACCAAACAAAAAACCCTGGTGCCATAGCCCATCACTCAGTCAAAGCTAAAGTCCAGGCTAAAGTCCAGGCTCGAGTCCCCCTGTCGAACATCTCTTTCATATTGTGGGGTCGGCGTACAATTAATTTGTGGGGGAGGGCATACAGATTGAAAGTGCTTCTTCAAAGGTTCAAAGGAATCCCTTTGGCGACATGTTATTATCAAGGATGAATTATAAATAGGAGACCGTTTGCAGCTCAATACACCCGAGGACAAAAGGTTCGGCGATATCTAACAGTTCCCGGATGGACTCTGGTCGAGGAAAGATATGTTAAAGGGGAATCAATGATATTAGTCTGCTGGTCTCATAAGTGTGACTAACCATGGGACCTAAATTGACTATTTATTACCTTGATCAATAAAGCAATTGAAACATCTATGAAGAATTTAATCCCGCCCGAATGAATGAAATGAAATCTCGATATATGCAGTATCTCCACTACAAACGGAAAATTGTGTATGATGAATCGAGAGAATTTCATTGTCATAAGAGAGTATGTAAAGGCAATTCGATCCAGCCCATTTGAAAACGAAAGCCAGCAAATACGTCTAGGAAATATGTAAGGTGAAAGACTATAAGATCGTTCTGTGGTGCCAATCGAACTGTCAATCCTGATTCTCGAGCCGGCGAGACCGATTACCATTATTCTAATCATTCCATTCTAAACAATGTCCCAAGACCACCAACTCCAGTTTTCCAATGCCTTAATGTACACCGATCCTGCAATCGAGAGTCAACATTTGATCCCTTGTCAATGCCTGGTACCCCTTTCAAATATCAGATTATCCGCCATCGACAAATGAAAGTTTCTGAACGCGCCAATTCTCAGTTTCATCTCATCGTCAAGATTAATTCTCAGTTATTAGCGCTAACGATTTGATCTTCTTCGATAATAGCATGATAATCATTTCCCAACGACTGGACAGTTGCAAGGACCTGAGTTGGAGCTTTGGCCGCAAACCCTCTGTCAAAGCAATTAGATATATACACGGATAGTTGGTTTAAGCATACTTACTTGATAAGTTTGTACTCGTGTGTAATGATGCCTCCGGCAGCCTTGATCGCATCCATAGCCTTTTGTACCTCTTCATTTGGAGTATTGTCAGGATATGAGACAATGACAGCCTTTAGAGGCAACACTGTGCCTAAAGCAGCTGTTACAAATATGAAGGTAGAGAATAGATAGAGCTTCATGTTGTTAGAAAATGTTTAAATCTTGGTGTTTCGATAGAAAATAGATTGATTGTTGATTGATGATTAAAACCAGGAGACAAAGAACGTCGAGATATGAGATAAGTACGGAGTACCGTACAAAATGACCATATGACGATAGTGAGCAGGGTTAAGCGCTAGCGGTAAGAATAGTGTGATTAGGTAATTGAGCATCTCTTAGTGCCTCAGCCATCCATCATTAGTTTGATCTTGTAAACTTTCAGGTACATTATGAAATTGATCAACATCGTCGCATGTCTACAAACGACCATCTTTGAATTTCAACTTCAAAGCAACCTGAATCCTTCGAGAATATCGAAAGTACAGTAACTTACGCGTCGAAATTTCACCAAGTCTGCACAGGCAACTACGGCGGAGTTAATAAACTTGCATGAGATCTGACTTTGGAGTTTGGGAAGGAGGATAAAGGCGTGGGGCATCAGGCAATCTGTAAGGACTGGGCCTCGATAGGAAGAAGGAATTGAATACAGAGAATTGGAGAGTTACAGAAGGATTTCGGAAGCATTGGCAGTCATCAAAATACACACTTCTAGTTCTTCTCGAGTTGAATACTTTTGCATGGTACTAGTTAGCTGTTGTTTAAAATCTCCTCCTTGTTTAATCGAGTCTGTGGAGATTGGTGGTTTTTCACGACAAAGACCTTTTTTTTTTCTGTGGCTGTCTTTCATCATCAAGATCATCATTACAAGCTCTCGCACCTTTGCAACCTTGCAAGCTTTTGCGGCTTCCCTCTAGCCCATCATGTCATTTGGAGTCCCTTCTGATGAGGTAGCGGAGGACTACAAAAAAGCCCTTGAAGATTTGACTATGAATTCGAGATATGAGATCAGCAATCTAACCGTTATAGCAAAAGAAAACACAGAACATGCTTTGGCCATTTCAGAGGCATTGAAAAACCATATAAAACAGGTAGGATAAATATTCTCATTTTTGTAATACTAGCAAAGCCTAGGAATGATAGTTGTGCTTTGCTTTGTGCCTACATTATACTTCCATTACTTACGAGTTAATGACAGACTTCTCCGCAAAAGAAACTACCTGCTTTCTACGTCCTCGATTCCGTTGTCAAAAATGTTGGAACACCTTATACCCTCTTCTTCGGTCGGCAACTCTATTCGACTTTCATGGAGGCATATGCTTTGGTTTCTCACGACGTGCGGAGGAAAATGGATGAGATGCTGAAGACTTGGAAAGAGCCAGTACCTGGCTCTATAGATACGCGCCCAGTATTTCCTCCAGAAGTAACTCGGCCCATTGAAAATGCTCTTATAAAAGCCAGGACCTCTGCTCTCCAGCAAGAGCAATTGAGAAGCCAACAGCAGCTCATGAATCGAGGTCGATCCGCCGTAGGTCAGGCTCCCTATCGCAACACGCCGACTCCGCCAAATGCATCACGTCAGCCTCTTTATCCATCCCCCGGGCATCCTGGATATCCTCAACAATACCCTTCGCCGATAAATGGCCAATATAACAACCAAGTCAATGGCCATATGCAACATGGACTTCCTCAGGTGTGTGAAGCATCCCTAACGTTTCCGCTTAATACTAACGCTCTCAAGCGGCCACCTCCAGTTCAACAGTATCCTCAGCAGTCCGCTAGCTCGGCATCGTGGCAGCAGTCGCAGCCTCAGGGATACCAGTCACCAGAGGCAAGTGTAGATGCATTGAACAGAGATATCTCCTACCTCATCACCTCTTCAAAGGCAGAATTTACCCAGAGCCCATATGATGGTAGTATACAAACAAGACTCAAAGCCTTACTTGATTTACAAACCATTTTACAAACTCAAAGGCTCCCGCCTGATCAAATAGCAATGATAAAAGATCAAGTTGCGCAACTATCTGGTCAATCCCAGCCAGTCCCCAAAATCCCATCCCCTAGGCCTGCACCTGTAGCTACGCCAGCATCTCAACCTCAACCGCAGCCAACTTTAAGCTCTTTGCTGGGCCCCGGTGGGTTGGCTGCTCTGTTAGCCCGACAGTCTGCAACGCCACAGATACCCACGCCTCCACCCGCTCAAGCCGCTACCGCAATCCAATCTCCTCAACCACAACATGCACTGCCTTCGCAATTGCCCTTCCAAGCAGCTCCCTCTACACCTGTTCCTGTATCCGTGCCGACACCCGTAGCAGATCCCAACTCCCTACTGGAAAGACTTCGAGCTGCTGGCATGCTGCCCTCAGTGCCAGCAGTAGCAAGCACACCTATCCAACCACCAAGTGTTTTAGGTGGCACTATGCCCGCCGGGTTTCCCGCATCCCTGCCCTTCATAAGTGCACCTCCCGTTTCGAGGACACCCCTTATAGAAATTCCTAATGATGTCGTTCTGAAGCCAGCATCGTTGAAAATGTAGGTACATTCACGTAGTCAAACTTTCATTCTCTGCTAACAATCCCAGGTTCCGTCCTCATCTCATCTCCAGTCTCTATGAAAAGCTTGGTGCGCCTTGTACCCAATGTGGACGGCGTTTCCAGTCGGACGCAGAGGGACGAAAGAAGAAAACTGCTCACATGGATTGGCACTTCCGTGTTCACCAACGAATGGCTGAAGCCGAGAAGAGAGGCCAGCATCGAAGTTGGTATGTTGATGAGATGGTAAGTAATCACGCTACTATTTCTCTTTCATATTCTAATCCACCACACAGGACTGGATAAAATCGCGAGAACCAGAAGATGATCTAGTGAACGACACATTGGATAATACCCATAGTGTTGCCAGCTCTTCTTCCGCTGCGAATGCTAAGCCAAAACTTCAATATCTAGCGGTGCCAGATGATCCTGCTCTTGCTGGCAGTGTTTGCCCAATATGTCAAGAGAAGTTTGAGATGAAATGGCTAGATGATGCGCAAGAGTTCGTGTGGATGGATGCCACTAAAGTGGGCGATCGTATTTACCATGGTAGTTGTTATGCAGAAGCCACAAAAGACAGGGGGACGCCTGATCCGACGATTCTGGGCAAGCGCAAGGCGGAGGTGAGTTCTCCATAAAATCCTTTAGAGTTTCAACCATGTATGATTCTAATAACTTATAATAGGATCAGGAGCCCATATTACGAACGAGAATCAAGACGGAGGCATAGTGAGCGAAAGGTCGTGACTATTTACAACTGTACTTTTCGACCTCTTTTCCCTTGAACCAGCTACAGGCGCAAAATAGGGATGGAGGTCTATTTCTTGCATTACGCGAAGAGTATTAGAATGATGCATGTGCACAAACATCATGCGAGTGGGATATTGGCTTATGGAAGGAATTAGCATGCTTTCCAAAAATCATAAACATTGGCATTTGCAGACGGAAGCAGCATAGATACCATGAAAATAAATTACAGTTAATATACAAAACCGAAACTACCAATGCTCAAATATATCTATGTGATATTGCCATCTTACCTATAAATGATCATCAGGTGTAGATGCAATGTTATTGCATTTATAGTTCTCCTATATGAAGATGAATCTCACAGACAATGTGATGTGCGTCGAAGCAGACGAATGCATAGAGCCAACATATATCATATTTCAATGTCTGAATCTCAATTCGAAAATGGAAAATCGAGCCATTTCTCATACTTTAATACCTCATAGCACTCTCCAAAATTCGGATCTAGGTCTGGGTATGGATAGACTTAATTTGGTATATCTTTTATTGTTGTCGACGTCTACCATACTCCTCCCTCATCTTTCCTTCAATAACAAGTCCTCCATGCTCTTCCATATCACTGCGGATCTTTCTGTCGTCAATACTTGTCTTGGAATCTAGAGCTTCTGTTACCTTATTATTGTTGGATGGGTACAATGCTGGTGCGGTGTTGCTTGCTGAAGGGAGGACCGCACGATGGCCGTTTTTGAGATGTGGGGAGCGGCTGGGGAGAAGTGAGGGAGAGGTTTATCTGATGATGATATGTAGCATTTTTTGAGTATCCGCGAGATATTCGGCTTTCTTGCGGCATCATGAAAACGAAATCTTATTCAGAAGGCTCATAGTTGGCTGCGCCGTTATGATGTCCATATATGCTATTCAAGCTAACTTATTGAATGGTCCAACTTTACGAATCTGGAATACAAACACCGAAGATGCATCGTCGTTGTTCAACAACAGACTTCTATCATCAATGACCGTATGAACAGCATACAGAAAATGCACCCTTTTCAAAATCTTTGATACTCAAAAATGGCCCAGACTTCTGGAAATATACGCACAGGAAATTCCTCAAAAAAGGTAACGTTAAATCTCCTACTTCTGATGAGGTTGCGAATACATTATTTGAGACGCTGCGCAACACAGTATTATGCACTGCAAGAATTCATACGAAAGACTCATTTTGTCAGCGTGAGACACACAAAACAACATTGATGTATTCGTTTGTTATGTAGACTTCTGTTTAGGTAAGTGCCTCCCTTTTTTTTACCATTCCTGAATCCAAGCTAAATGATAGTGGTAGACAAATTCGACATTACTAACAGCAGGGAGATAAGTATCACGACCCAAACTCCAAAATAACACCACATATAATCCCCGTGGAGATTTGTCATTACCCTTGCTACAACCCACTCGTCTTCAACCAATCGCCAAAACTTTGAAGTCCCGCATGCTCCTTCTTCAGAGCATCGATGTTGGCCGCATAACCTCTCTCTTCGAACCAAGTGAACATCGATCCAAAATCCTTTACCGCCCAAAGAAGAGTTGACCCAAGGAAACTAAATGTTTTTGGAATATCTTTCCCAAGTCTCGACTGAAATATCTCATTCGCTTCCCCGAATGTCAATTCATCGCCTGCTAGACTGATGGCACGCCCATTATATTCCTTTGGCTTAAGCAATGCCTGAGCCGCAAAATATCCAATATCGGCAGTGGCGACAAGCTGCAGTTTGGTTGTCGGAGCTAGAGCAGTACACCAAGCGGTTGCGAAAACCTTGCCAGCAAATCCAGGGGCGAAGTTCTCCATAAATGCCACAGGTCGCAGGATGGTCCATGACATCTGGGTCCCTGCACTTTTCTCCTTCAAATATTTCTCAATATTGGCTTTACTGATGAAATGAGGAACATTGGTAGGATCATTATCGGAATCATCGCCGTGACGATCCACTGATGTGAATATGAAGTGTTCTACGCCATGCTTTATTGATGCGTCGATAAGAGCTTTACCTTTCCCTTCTTCGGTCGCGCCCGTGTTACCAAGACCGATGTTGGGCATGGTAACGCAAAAAACACGCTTGATTGGCTGAGGGGCCGCTTCGAAGATCGCTGGGCAGTCATCTAAATCACCTTGAAGGAGCTTGATCTTGTCGGATTTCTTAGACAACTTCTCTGCCGCCGTCGATTCTAAATTGCGAGTTAAAGCAAATATAATAATATCGGGCGAGCCGGGAGCAGATAGAAGAGCATCAATCGCCGCTCCTCCCTGCTTACCTGTCGCTCCTGTGATGAGAAAAGTATTTGACATTATTTTTGATTTTGTTGATTTGATGATTTAGAGGTATTTCACCAAGAGTTTTGTTGATGGTTAGTTTTTGTTTGTTGTTTTCATGCACGTCTGTTTGTATTGCTTTGTCTATTAGTTTGGTTGCTTTGGTAATGTTGCTTTGTGTCACATCTGCGACATGGAACTCTCATTCAAGATTCATGGCTTTATCGCTTGACAGCCATTAGCTCACAACTTACCTATCCCACCAATCGTGTATTATTTTTATCCCTATTACGAAAATAGCAGATGATTTACTCTTTCCAACTTTCTTATTCAGCACCGCAAACATAGCTCTCAGTCAGCATCAGTATTCGGTTTACAACCACACACGAATTGCCTGGATCTCACTCATGCAACATTCTTCCCATGGTCTCGGGTGCGGGGTATCACGTGTGACACATGTCTTCGGAGTCTCAGAGTTATTGGTAGCCACTCACGGCTATAACTTCAGCTCAAATCCGAAGGCTTGCAGGAAGGCTTCCAGTCAGCCTTGGCATTAATCAAATCAGAAGGCAGAAATAATCGAGTGATATTCTGTTACTATTTTGGAGTTGATGGGTCTAGAGCTTCCAGCCTGCCATCTTTCTCGAAAGACGGAAACGGAAATCAATGCGCTTTTTCAATGAATTCGGCGAGATTCCTTCCTATCTTTCCCATGGAATAACCGCATATCAAAACACCATTGAAGGCTGAGAGGACGTTAGATCGTCGAATTTCAATTTAGATTTTGAAGATTGTTGATTGTTGATTGTTGAATATGAGTTGGAATACTGAAAAGTATTTCAAAGTATGTCGTTGTGGAATCTCATTTTAGATATTGAAAGACTAATATCGCTCATGATGTAGTGTCATTGGCTGTTCTCAATGAAAATCTCCGCACATTAACGAAAGTTTCATCCAAGTGATTGAAGAGTTGCCGCCCAGTGTGCACCGATGGCGTTGAGTTTCTGCCCCTTTCATTTTACAAGCGGGTCATGATTCGCGCCCAGCGGGCCCTATATTAGCAAAGGCTCAACTTATTCAAAGGAAAACCTTGCCAAGGACAAAAGATTTGCTGTATTATTTCAGCTGTGTTTTCCAAATTATGAGTCGACGTTGATGCTCCGCCTCCACTTTCAACACCGCCGTATCAAAAGGAATTGACGGCAGGCATAAGAGCTATGATACTAGAGGCTTAAGACAGGGAGGCATGTTGTATAAGTAGATAGAAGTAGTCATGCCTTGATATCTTTCAACATCACTTCCAGATATTTCATTCTATCGTGATCTATCATCAAGGCATATTTCCTTATCACATTAGTTTGAATCACCAGAATTTTCATACCTCAAAATGCGTTTCAATACTCTTATTGCAGCTTCAATTCTGGCAGCGTCTGCATTTGCACAGCTCCAGAGGTTTTGCCCTACAAATTAGCAGCAAAGTCGCTCAATCCAGCATATGGTCTTACTAAGCGTCAAGCCGGCTATCAACCTTCTCAAACTTTCTGCAGTGGTACCGGCACTTGCGCAAAGGCATGCGGAACGGGTTATGAGACCTGTGCTTCGACTGACGGAGATCTTCATTGTTTTAATCCTACTGCAAAGGAGACTTGTTGCCCAACTGGAACTGGTGGTATGTTTCCCCATGATAGTCAAATATACCTTCCTACCTCGTCAGGACTAAGCAAAAACTAATATTCAATAAAGACTCTTGCTCCGAAGGCTACTACTGCACGCAAGCTACTGATATCACTGTTTGGTGCTGCCCAAATGGTATGGATCTTACCGCTTGCGCGGCTATCTACTCTTTAACCGGCGTCCTTCAGTCCGTCGCACCCTCATCCGTCGCGTTTGCCACTGGCTCAGCCATCCCAACCATACTTGCAAGTCCTACAACAAGTGATACTCTTAGTTCTCCGGTTTCCACAACCACTACTACGCCACCGGTAGGATCGCATGGCGCCACGAAGACGGGCGGAGGGAGCAATGGAACCTTTACGGGAAGTACTACGACAACGGCTTCTCCACCGGCATTTACAGGTATGGCGGGTAAGATGGATAAATGGGTTGGAGGAAGTGTTTTGGTTGCGGCGATCGGAATGGGGTTATTGTTGTAGAGTTTAATTGATGCTCTAGCACAGATGGGGAAGGTTGGACTTTAATGGACTGATAGAAAAAGGGGAAGTGTGATTATAGGATAATTTTGAGTACGGCTTGTTGGACATATATAATACGATCCTTGATGTCTATTGAAATGGTGGTAGCTAGGTTACTTTCGACTGGATGATAATGTTTTATGGTTCACATTGGATGATTAGTTAGAATTATACTGTTTTCTCTTCATAAAACTCGTGCTCTTTTCAAATTTCAACTATGGAAAATCTTGGCTAACATGACTCTTGTAATCAAAGCCCTTCCAGTTAATTTGATTACCGCTTGACATATTTGGGAAAGTCCATGGTATAGCTTTCATATTACATTACGTGGCAAGGTAATCTCAATTGCTTTGAATGTTTCGATTGACTTCCTTCTAATAATAGGAAGAAATATGTTGGATGCACATATACTAACAATAGCTAATCACAAAATCATAGCCTCGGCATATATCCTAAATGACTTTCAAGATAAGACTTTGTGGTTTAGAAGGCGGGGTCGGATACTTGAATTCAAGTCTGAACTTGGAACTTGTGGCTTGGAACTTGTATGCAGAGAGAGAGATGTGATTTGGACCTTTGCAGAGATTACCGGTGCTTATATAATTCAGAGATAGGAGGGAAAAGGCACCTACCTAGTAGACAACCGAGGAAACGTACACTCCCGCATTCCCCTCCATGTGCTCGAGGTTCTTTGTTTGCTTCAACAATATGACATCAGTCAAGAACAGTTGTAATCATGAACAGTATTGCTATGAATAGTCATCAACATAGGCGTTGATCCTACTAGCACTAAGCTGTTTTGTATTTCCTTATCCGGTCATTTTCTGGAATAAATTCGAATTGGTTTGGCCAAGAAATCACCAAGGAAAGCCCAATACAGTCACGTGTAGATAATCATATCTTACATCGGACGAATGGAAAGTGTTAGTTGGTCATCTGGGTGAGATCATCCTCCAAAATAAACATCGAGTAGTGAATAAAAGAAGTTCCGTCTCATATGATGCCTTGTGGATAATGCAAATCGGTTTTCATATACATCCTTTCCAAGAAGAACTACTATAGAGAAATCACTCGATCTCTTATCAGAAATACTCTCGATATCTACGGAGTACATCCTTTCCTACAAATAAGGCTTCAGCCCTTTGGAGATCCGCTTTCCAAATCCCAACGTCTATCCTATCCGAGCATCTCCATCGATCCGCAAGAACGGGGAAACCTGCATTGCCTTGATGCAACATACCCTGGGCATCTTTAAACCAACGAACCACACATAATCTTTCACATCCGCTTGACCGAAGGAACAGAACGCTTTGGGCTGCTTGCATCTCGGAATTCCATCGTTTCAGGAGACTGATCACACCCAACCTTTTCGATGGAATATTGTACAGAGTAAGGTTCATACTCGCGTCTCTTTCACATGTGAAGACCTGGACGACGAGATTGATCAGGTCTGCTTCCGTGGCTGGAAAACGAAGTGGTTTTCACCCAGATTTATGCCCTTACAACTCCTGTGTCTTCTAACGAGTACATATTCCTTATCCACCGAAGCCTTCCTATCCCTGGAGAAGTTTCTAGAAATAGATATCCTCATTAAAAAAAAGTAAATCAAGGTTTAAAGGTATGCAAAAGCTTTACTGTTACTGTGCTGTCTTCGTTTGTTTCAGTGTCATTTGACTTTGATTGCTCAGGTATCAGAGCTTCGGCGTTGCGGATATCATATAAACTCGGAATATCACCCTAACTAGTGTACGGGAGTGGAGACCTCTATCGTGCATGGCCCATATGGCCGGATCCAGTTATCCAATGGTACACTGCTTGAGCCGATGCTGAAGGGCCAATTGCGGGGACATGGGGATTCCGATTATCGCTTCATGAATCTGTGCTGCCTCGAGATATAACCAAGGCTGTCGGTTGCTGTTTACCGTGAGCAAAGTATTTTCCTCATAAGACAGACTATTTTCCCCCGAGAAGACATTGTTGTATCTAGTCTAATACCATCTTATTATCTTCACGATTGTCATTATTTCTACCGAACACCTTTGCGAGGCTTGAATATCTGCACTTTTATCTCCCAATTATACGCATAACCATAAGGTTTCAAGCTGACCAAAATGGCTACCACAACAACAGTTATCCGCACATTTAGGATGCCCAGATCCTTAAATGATACCCTGATTACACCAGCTCTATCCCTTGTAGCAGACGACGACCGATCAATGGAGGAAGCAAAGAAAGTTAACGATGGTTACTCGAAGGATCAGAGGTCACCTGTCTCCAGTAATCCGCCGAAACACGAACAAGGCATCACTTTCGCAGCACAGGACAAGTTACCAAAGCTACCAATACCAGAGCTAGATAGTACCTTGACGAAATACCTAGCAGCATTAAAACCTTTACAATCACCAAGAGAACATGCAGAAACCAAACAAGCAGTGGAAGAGTTCTCGAAGAACGATGGACCTGAACTGCACGAGAGATTGAAGAAGTATGCAAGTGGAAAGACTAGTTATATTGAACAGTTTTGTAAGTTATCTCCCGAAGATCATTTTATATTGTTCGTACTAACATTTAACCTAGGGTATGATTCTTATCTCAATTACGACAACCCAGTCGTCCTAAACCTCAATCCCTTCTTCCTACTCGAAGATGATCCAACACCTGCAAGAAACAACCAAGTCACTCGCGCAGCCTCACTGGTAGTATCCGCATTATCTTTCGTGCGTGCAGTCAGAAGGGAAGAGTTACCTCCCGATACAGTAAGGGGTACACCTCTTTGCATGTATCAATACTCTCGATTATTCGGCACTGCAAGGGTACCTACCGAGAATGGATGTCACATCGGACAAGATCCCGAATCGAAACATCTCGTCGTGCTTTGCCATGGACAGTTCTACTGGTTCGATGTTCTCGACGATAATTCGGATTTGATCATGACTGAAAAAGATATCTCGATTAACTTACAATCAATTGTTGATGATGCACAACAAACCCCAATACAAGACGCCGCTAAAGGTGCCCTCGGAGTACTCAGTACCGAGAATCGCAAGACCTGGTCAGGTCTAAGAGATATCATGACTAGAGAAGAAGGATCAAACAATGCAGATTGCCTTGGAATAGTCGATTCTGCATTATTCATCCTCTGTCTTGACTACACAGAACCCAGCTCCCAAGCAGATTTATGTCAGAACATGCTCTGCGGAACCAGTCAAGTTGAAAAGGGTGTTCAGATCGGAACATGCACCAATCGTTGGTACGATAAGCTACAAATTATCGTCTGTAAGAATGGAAGCGCGGGTATCAATTTCGAACATACTGGAGTAGATGGACATACTGTTCTTCGATTTGCTAGCGATCTGTACACAGATACAATCCTCCGCTTCGCCCGCACAATTAACGGACAGGCACCCAGTCTTTGGGCATCTACCAGCCCGGATCCCGCCAAACGCGACCCCGCTAGTTTCGGGGATGTGAGCACTACTCCACATAAGCTAGAATGGGACATGATACCTGAACTCAGCATTGCTGTTCGTTTTGCCGAAACTCGTCTCGCCGATCTCATTCAACAAAACGAATTTGAAACCCTCGATTTCGCAGCCTATGGAAAGAACTTCATAACCTCGATGGGATTTTCTCCAGATGCCTTCGTGCAGATGGCGTTTCAGGCGGCATATTATGGATTATATGGTAGATTAGAGTGTACATATGAGCCAGCGATGACGAAAGTATTTCTTCATGGGAGGACTGAAGCTATACGATCTGTGACTCCTGAATCACTTGATTTCGTACAAACGTTTTGGGCCGAAAATCCTGCGGAACAAAAGGTTGAGGCGCTGAAGAAAGCATGTCAGAAACACACAGCTAATACGAAGGACTGCGCAAAAGCGCAAGGATGCGATCGCCACTTATATGCTTTGTTCAGCTTATGGCAAAAAGCAGTTGAAGATGATGCTGAGGCTGCTAGTAGTACCGGACTGAGCAGTAACGGATATTCAAGTCCTGCTGATACAAGTTCATCTCGAGATCCGTCTGTTGTCGGTAGTCTAGGCCGAAATTCAATTCTCAGCAATGGTGATGACGTCGAGCGTCGCTCAATTCGCTCAACTCGCCCTCGAGGTAATTCCTGCCCCGGATCGCAACAGCATTCCATGCCTCTCATTTTCGCAGACGGTGGTTGGGATGCCTCAATACAACTATCCTCTCAACATCCAACTGCGGCCTCCTTCCCTTCGCCAATTTGGTTTCGGTCCTACTTCTGGTGATGGATTCGGAATCGGATATATCATTAAAGATGATGGGATTAGCATTTGTGCCAGTAGTAAACATCGCCAAACGAAAAGATTTGTAGATGCCCTGGAAAGTTATCTCTTAGAGATGAGGAGGGTGTTGAAGGCTACCCAGAAGAGAGGCTTGAGTCCGAAGTCGAGTCGGGCCAGAGAGGCAAATGCTCATAGACCGACTGCCGGTCATAGGCTGAAAAGCAGAGGAAGAGTCATTAGAGCGGCGGAGGTGGAAAGGAGAACGCCCGGAACGATGACACCGGCGGATGAGAGTGATGATGAGGGATTGGGTGGATGTACGTATTTTCTGTTCCTTCTGCAACTGCCCCCCTACCCTTTCACAAAGGACTCAAACTAACACATTAAATTACAGATGGATTCTTCGACGCTGGTATGCTTCTGCAAGCTTCGAAAGGTAGAGGCGAAGGCCTAGACGATTCAAAAACGAGAGCTAATGCTCATTCGAGAAGAAGAGAAATTGGCAAGAAATTAAGGTTAAGCGAATATTAGGTTATGATACGGAGTACTGGTTATAGATGGTTGGGAATATACCGATAGATAAGAGGGAATAGCGTGGGCGGAGGACTTTTTTGGATTTTAGAATCTGGCGTTAACATTGATATCGATATTGTCTATTGTTTTATCAACGAGTTTGGGCATGGCATGAGAGTGAGCTAAAGATCAAGAATAATTTACTTCCTCACCTTACAAGTGTTCTTATCATGTTGATGTGAATATCAGTGGTTGCATGGATTTATGAAATGATTTCGAGAGAAGTGTAATTATTTCAATCTAGTAAGATCGTATAATCGAGGCTCATGGTTTGATAGGCATTGAATGGTTTGGAGGGCTCTGGGGCAGGCAGACAAGACTTCCATTAGCATCAAAATAGACGTTTAAAAAGTCTATTTATAAAAAGAAAGGAAACTAATCTTATATTATTAATAACAAAATAAGCTAGATTATTATACTTTGTACTCGAATAGAATAAGCACAAGAACCCCATCCCATAATTATCTACAACATTCCATGTTTATATACCGAATCCACTTTCCTCAAGAGTTTTCCCCAAGGAGAAACCTTGCCTCGCTTCGTTTTCCATAAGGGGTAAGATTACCTCCAAGCCTAAAATGACGCGAGTCCGACCCTTGGCGGTTATCAATAAGAGGCGAATGTTTCCGAGTGGAGAATTCGGATGAACCTTTTTAAAACGACAAATGCACATTATTGATCGAAATCTCAATTGGTCTGAAGCAGGGAGAATTCTTTGAAAATGCAATGGAAAGCAGGACGTAATGACCTTTAGAATCTCAAATCGATTTCATTCCCCAGTAAGGTTTTTGAGGACGAGATCAAAGATCGGGGTTGCTGTTGCCAATTGACCATTTATCTATTTTTGGACAACTGCACTCCATGGTTACTCCATGAATGGAAGACTTATCAAATTTCCACTTGCTCCACCAAACAAAGTATATACTTTACAAAATATGGCTTGTCTAAGTGGGCAAGTGCGATCACTTTTCGTATTTGTATTTACTATCCCCAAGTTCTTTTTCGTGTTCCGCTCCGTATCTCTTTTTTCCCAAACATCTTATCTTGTCTCTCGTTTCCGGGAATTTTTGGCACCAAAACCATTACTTTCGTTAATATAATACGGTTCTTCTTGTCAAAATGAGGACTTCTTTACCTTCTATCATTAATTTGAGTCTCGTGGCCTTGATCGCTGCTCATGGCTCGAGTGCCACAGGCACATCTTGTGTCTCTTCTTATCAACAATGTTTAGACAACGGCGGAGCTGATAACACATGCCAATCGATTAATGCCAAGTGCAAGAACTCATGTGCTGATAGCTATGGATCGTGTCTTTCGTCGTCCAATACATCATCATGCATGAATTCGTACAATCTTTGCTTGGATGACTTCACCATATTCACCACTGCAAAGGATTCGGCGGGAAAAGATTGTGCATCTCTTTTCTCGGCCTGTCATGATGCGGGAACTCCTGACAATACTTGCAACAGTTACGCAGCTCAATGTAGGCATAGTCTCATGTTACCGTTGTCAATTGAAGCATATGACTGACAAGACCAGGCAAGGACAAATGTAGCACGATTTATGCAACGGCTCTCACGAGTGGTTCTCCAGATACGTCAGCAGCTAAGACACAATACAACAATTGTCTCGATTCTTTCAGCGTCTTTTCAACTAGAGAGTCCTCCTCCAGTCGCGATTGGTAAGTTCAAACAGTCCATAAATCTCATGGTTCTCGGAAGCGAGCTCTATCCCCGACTTCGAAGCCTATTTGTATATCGCCGCGGACATACATTCTTTCTTATTTTTCGAAACGAATCAATTCATTGTCTCCCAAAAAAAAATTTCTTGCAAGACAAATCCTAACTTTCTGGTCTTAGTGTCTCCCAATTTTCAGCCTGCAGAGCCAACGGCACCGATGATAACACATGCAACTCATACACAGCGCAGTGTAAAGTAAGTGCAATACTTTCTTTCTATCAAACTCCATGGCACAAACCCCTGTTTTCTTCAATCATGTGTTTCTCGGGTGTCTCGAAACTCCAGTCTTGGGACTTTGCCTATCTTATCATCATCCTCATTTTTGCTTCGTCATCTCATCTAGGGGGTCATTCTCAAACTTTTAATATTTGTCATTTTGTCCTGGCCGAAATCTAAATCGCGTTGAAACTTCACTGCTTTGATGATTGATAGGATTTGAGAAGTGGCAAGAAGCTAGAATGCCATTCCATTTCTAAAGGAATATGGAACAGCTTCGTATTGAACAATACTGTAGACTACAAGGTACTTGGAAGGAAGTGAAAGTTCACGTGGCGGATAAACACAAGCCTTCGCCGTTCCTTATCTTCATTCAGCATGCCTACCGTTCAAGCCAACGGAATCCAAACTTATACCCGGTTAGATTGAGGATACTTTAGACATCCCACAGTACTATGCGTCCCTTTTGCTTCCCTTATTTCCTGAAAGGGTTCCTTCAATGGGCAGTAACTGACTTCACAATTTTACAGGATAAATGTAGCGCGATTTACGGCATTTGTTTGAGCAGTGGCAGCGCAGATGATTCGCTATGTATGAATCAGTATAACAATTGCTTAGATTCCTTCACGGTTTCAACTTCCTTGGATTGCGTTAGCAGCTTCACCTGTAAGCTTAACCCATTTACTACTCTCTTGATACGCACTTCGATTTTCATTCTTGAATTACATGATGATACCTGATATCGCCTTATCTTCGCCTTACTCAAAAAGCCCCCCGGTTAGAATGTTGCTGACTCCAGATTTTATAGTATGCAGAAATGAAGGCGGCGAATCGAATACTTGTGCTTCTGAATCTGCCACTTGCAAGAACGACGCTAGCATCAATTATAGCACTTGTCTTTCTAGTGGAGATGCTGATGGAACAGCATGTCTTGCACAATATAACTCAGCCCTTGTACAATTCGATACTCCCGCCTTGTTGGACAATACGAGCTGTGTTTCGAGGTTCACAAAGTGCAAAAATGAGGGAAAGGAAGACAGCTTATGTCAAAGCCTTAATGCCGACTGCAAGGTTCGTAAACCCTCCAAAAGCGTTCCTATTTTCTACACCTGATTCTGTGCTCCAACACGAAACTCCCATTTTTACGGTGCTTCAAACACATACTTTGCATGTCTTAATCGCTAACTTACTGAGTGAATGTAGACCGATTGTTCTACTTCGTACTCTACCTGCCTCAGTTCTGGTGATCCAGCTCTTTCATCGCGTTGTCTTGAACAGTACAACTTTTGTCTCGTGACGTTTGCCTGGGACACTAAAGCTGCCATTACCGGGCAAGATTGTGTGTCTGAGTACATGTCCTCTACCGGAGAAGATAATGCACGCAATTATAAGGCGGCTCACTGCAAGTCGTAAGTCAAATTACTTTCTCATACAACCGTCCCCACTTTTAAAGGTCTATGTGGGAAGTTTTATATGCTGGGACCTTTCCATCTTCTTCCATACCTTTGGTGTCTCCTGGCCTTGGAGCTGTTATTTGGTAGCCAATTACTGACTCCCTCATTTCTTAGTGGTTGTTCCACTAGTTATAGCACCTGTTTAAGTTCAGGCGACAAATCCCTCGAAGCGCCTTGTCTTGCGCAGTACAACCTATGTCTCGTCGACTTCAAATCCTCCATCACGAAAGCCGACTGTACCTCTAGTCTCCTCCTTTGTAACGAAGAGTCGAATGCTTGTGCTGCTAATGTAGCCAGTTGTAAGAATACGTGCTCCGTGGCTCTAGATATTTGCCAAAGTTCAGGAGATCCAGTCCTCACTGCATCATGCCAAAAGCAATACCAGACCTGTCTTGTTTCATTCAACGCCGCCACAGCTGCTCTTGAACAAGATTGTGTGGCATCATTTTTGTCTTGCAGAAATGATGGCGGTGCAGATAATACCTGTTCTTCGGTAAGATTGTCTGAATATCTCATGAACAGTTTTGACCCATAAATGACTAACATCAATCTTCAATAGGATATGGCTAGTTGCAAGAACAAATGCAGCTCTGTCTACGATATCTCCAGCACCTCTGCCGATAACTCAACCATCGCAGTATCCCAAGCTCTCCGTCTTTACGACAATTGTCTCGTGTCCTTCTCCGCAAATGACACCATTCCCACCGGCAAAGACTGCTCCTCCAAATACTTCGCCTGTTCTCTCGCTGGTCTCCAAGCTTCTAATGCCTGTGACAGCGATCACGCCACTTGTAAAAACGACTGTGCAGTAATCCTTGACGCATGCCGAAGTTCTGGGGATGAAAGTCTCATTAGTATGTGTGATAGTTTGTACAACGGTTGTTTGGATCCAGTTCTAAATACCAATGTAACGACGAAGGAGAAAGCCAAGATTAATGATACCGCAGCTTACGTTCTGCCTACGAAACCTGCTTTCTTCAACTTAACTGGGGCGTATGCAAGCATTGTGGGTAAAGCACTTACTTCAGCTGCTTTGACACATATTAGTGGAGTTCCAGCAGCATCCACAAATGGGACGGAATACTACGGTCAAGCTACTTCGATCTCGAAAGCAGCATCTGTGACAGGAAATGTTGGAATTTCTGGCTCACCACTTCCTTCTGCTATCGTGGCGCCTGTCTACTCGAATGGTACATCTACAAGCCAAGCATCCAGCAGCCATGTTTCCACCACAGCCAGTTCTGGGTACTCTCTGCCAGTCATTACAGCTTCTGCTAATTACTCATCGACCAACTCGACTTCAACGTCTGTAGTCATTATTCCTACAACCAGTACCCTCGCATCCGCTGCTATGATTGAAATTAAGAATTCTGCTGGAGTTGATAAATCGGTCGATGATGTTACCAGCGACATTGATAACGAAGAAGAAGACGATGATGCTTGCGAAATTTAATTTCGCAGAATAATGGTTGAGGCTAGCGCATGGTTAATTATATAATAGCTAGTGTGTGTGACGAATTGTCACGAGCGATAATATTAACTTTTGTTTAACGTGTTTCATCACCCCGTGCACCATATCACCTCGTGCACCACTTTCACCTCAATTCACACCAATCACTTCAATACGCGATTTATCAATAAATAATTATGGTATCGACATTAAATGAACGCGATATCGTTATGGCGATAGAGGCAATGGCTAAAGATAAAAATTTAAGCCTCCGGAAAACTGCCAAGATTTACAATATTACTTATACAACACTTATACATAAAATGAAAAGGATCATTCCTACCTCCGAATATCGTCAAAAACAGCATAAAATTACTAAAATTGAAGAGGAGATTATTATTCAGCATATAATCGATATGGATGAGCGAGGATTTAGTCCTAAATTCATAAGTGTTGAAAGTATAGCGAATCACATTCTTGAATCGAGGGGTGGAAAGTATATTGGTAAATGTGACCAAAAGGGTGTTTATAGACCAGCAATTGTATTTAACTTAGAATCTACAGGTGAAGAGCACCTGTAGATGGGGATAGCTACTCTATATATACACAAATGAATGGCCTAGCCGCAATGGCTAGGCAAAAAGAAGTCATATTTATTCCTCCAATGATCTTACTTTACCGATAACCATTGATACCTAGTACTTGTCCGGATCTGATCCTCAGGTCACCTAAATCGCATACTAATCTCGAGTAATCGTATCATGTGTGGACATGGTTAATGTACCTGAGGTTTCTTATATAATAAAGGTGGGAGGAAAGCAGGGATTTCCGTCACATTTAGGGATAGTTGCAATGTTGGTGAGATTAGCTTTTAGTAGTGTTACGACGGGCTACACAACTACCAAGACACGTGATCACAAATGATCAATAGTGATCATTAAGGATCACTAAGGATCACGGTATAGGTGATCACTGATGATCATTAAGGATCACTAAGGATCACGGTATAGGTGATCACTGGTGATCATTAAGGATCACTAAGGATCACGATATAGATGATCACTAATGATCATGAAGGATCACTAGTAATCATGGAAGCATGAAGGACTATATAATCAAGATGGATTTCCTTTGTATAGAGCTTCGTGCTCAAGATCAATCATTTAGTATACTCTACTATTAGTTACGAATTGCATTATTGTCATTACTTTAAATCCCTGTTTGATATCTAGTTATAAACCACCTCGAGAGCCTAGAGCACTTCCACATGATCTAGACGGCAAACCTCGTAACACAAATGCGATAGTACTTTACATAATGCACGAACTTGTCAGTTCGATCCAGCATTAATTGATCTTTAGATTGTATATAATTCAATCCTAATTTATGGTGTTGTTGTAATTTTATTTTAATGGAATATGGGTAATTGAGGTAAAAGTGTTCCGGTTACTGATATGTTCCGGTTACTGATAAACCACGTTAGGCCAGAGGTAGATTGCTTATGAAATTAGTAAAGACTTCCAATTAGTCGGTGCACTATACTCTCACAATTATCATTAAGAAACAGAACAACATTTTAAGCCTTCAAAAACTATTCAAAAATACTAACTAGATAAAAAGAAATTCAAGAATTGCGCAAGTAATCGACTTATGAAAGATTTTTCCCAACATAAATGTAACGAATAAACAAATAAATATTTTCGCTTCCGACCGCTGCAGGTGCAACTGCTTTCGCCAAGATTTTCCAATTTAAGTTCTTTTCAGTCATATCACAAGTTTTGGAAAAGAAATCGCCACAGTAGATACCATCAGTTCCGTTGTATGCGGGTGCATTTGGATCCACCGATATGCTCAATCTATCCCTCACGTTTTTACTTCGAGACATCAGCGTGAAAGTTTGCACTTGGAGAGTTCCCTGATGACGTGACCAGAAAGGCAAACGATTTTTCAGATTACCGAGGTCCAGACTTGCGGCCGCAGTGCCGAGAAGTTTGCTTTGGAAATCGCCCCATTTATCAGCGAAGTCGTTCTTGAGATCCCAAAGTGCCCAGTATCCTTGATGTTGACCTTGGGCTTCGATGGTTTGAGCTGCTTGAATCACAGCATCTTTCGCCGCCTTTCTCAGTGTTGGACCTCCCTCATACGCGGTGTACTGCACGTGTAGTTGTACGTCACTAATGGTCTCGTAATCGAAATGACGGATTGGCGAGGGAAATTCGAGACGCCATGTTGAGATAGCACCTGCGCCCTCGAACGGCATGTACCGGGGACCAGAGAAATTGAGCTCGAACACCCCGGAGTCTTTGGTGCCGGAGCTTACAGCTATAGATGTTATGGGAATCCGATCGGTCCTGAATGCTTCACTCCCGGCAGAGGACTGAGAAGCGGCATAGTCAGCAGCGTTTTGGGTCACACGGTACTTATGCTCCAATAACGTCAAGACAGCATTAGTGCTGGTCCCTGCCTCTAAAGTTGACGGTACCGAGACGCTAACAGATCTGATCCTGCGCATGAAATGTCCCGGGAAATCCATATCGTAAAGCATCTCGCCAATAGAGAAATCAGTGGTTCCTGTAGCCCTGAGTTTCACCAAAGCCAGAGGGTCAAAGTCTTTTAGAGACACAGTCTTGCTGATGTTGTAGTCAGCACCAGGTACTTCAAGTTGCGCACTTTCAAGTCTCCTTAGGTCCAAATATAGGGTTTCAGCAGCAAGAAGCCCGTCCTGAGCAGGGTTCCAATATCCACCCCTTCTGATTATGGAGCCTTTGCTTCCGCTTTCGAAGTTGAAAGAGCTCTCTGCTCGAAGAGCCATAGTCATGGCTAGTTCGTAGGCTTGGAAATACAGATTTCTGAGGCCTTTTTCCATCCATATATACAATTGTTCACTGGTGTACTTGGTGCGGTACCACTCCTCAGTTCCAGCAGCACTTTCCAATTCGGATTTTTGCATTTCAATTTCCTTCTGAATTGATGTGATATGGACTTTTTGGATTTCAACATCTTTGTCGATTGACTTAATTTCGCGTCCATTAATATTTGCTTGGAGTCTCCGTTCCCGCAACTGCATTGTCAGGTTAGCTTTCTTGTCAGCTCGGGCGGCTTCATCTGCCAACACGGCAGCAATGCCTCTCGCCAACGTGGACCCTGCCGCTATGGCATCAGCAATGGAGCTACCAGCGAACGAAATCGATCCACCGACACCCAGAGGCTCAAAATTGGTCGTTGCTTGTGGCACGACATATAGGGGCATAGCAATTAAGTCAGTGCCTACGGCTGCACGGTTTTTGGCCGCGGCAGCGAGAGACTTTTTCATCTCCGAATCCTCATATGAAGACATTCGCAATTCGTCTTTTGTCGGTGCATCAATACTCTGTTGGATATCAATCCATTCGTCTTTAGGCTTTGGAATCATGGAATCTGGCTCGCCGATAAGTTGGAGGTAGTAGTTCAACTGTGCCTCTAGCGAGCTACGGCTCATCAAGAGCGACTCGAGAGTCTGCTGTGACTCTTCAAGCTCAACATTTTTGATGTCGAGCATCATTTGTTGTATTACTGTGCTATGTTGAGCGCAGCCGGAGTTGTAATTCTCCATATCTTTCTTCTCTACCACAGTGAGAAGACGTCCAGAAAGTTTTCGCACCTCAGTACACAGTGCTAGGGCCTTCCTCAAAAGAGTGTCAAAACGCTGTCGAGGCAATGGACTATCTCGTTCGCCAGAAACTATACTTAGCACATCAGATACTCCTAAACCTTGTTTGCTAAAGGCGATCACGGCTCCTGGATCAATAGGTGCTTCACGAAGGCCATAGACTACGGGCTTTCCTTGAATGTCGAAAGAGTTCCTGAGGTTATACAGACGCTCTTGGACAAGGCTTCGCATTTGCTTGAATTTAGGATTTAACGGGGCGCAGAAATAGTTTGTCCGAAGGAAACAAGCGATATTCTCCTTCTTTGGATCCCTGTCTGCCGTCTCAGCGGCGCCTTTCTTCAGTTTTGCTGAGAACGGCAAGCCCAAATCAAATATGACCGAGTCATACATGATATCCTGTTCTCGCAATTGCTCAAAAGTCATTGCCTTCATTTTTCTCTTTCCTAAATCGGGTACTTTTGGTGGCTCGCGCCCCAATACTCGCGCGGCTTCTATGTATCGCTGCGTAGCTATCGGTAAGCTCTCGAGGGAAGCTCTGCGGAAATAAACATCACCCATTGCAATGAGAATCTCGGCGTATTTCATTACTATCCACTTTCATGTAGCTGACTGGTCTTCCTCTGGCGGCTGCATGCACGAGTGAACCGTACGAACGGCGCTCTTTGATGGCAAGTTGAATCTCTTTGCTCAAATGATCGAGATTCAAAGGATCAAACGACTCCTCTCCACGGCTAGCAATTTGACGCGCCATTTCCTGAAATGGAGGGAAACGCCAGCATGATCGATAACTTCCTTCGTTATTCGCGTCCAGTTCTAGATCTGCAGATGGATCAAACACCAGTCTTGCAACTTCCAAAGCCTCTTCATACTGCTGCGTCACAGAAAATCGATCAACTGCCAATAAAATCGTGTGTAGTCCAACCTCCCAGCTATCAATGTTATTAGCTGTTATCCAAAAAGATATCATGAGCGTGATTGGAAGAAAAATTCCTTCATCACCAGGAGGTCCACAAAATCGAAACTATCCATTTCGATCTGCACTTCCCAAATGGGAAAGACTACTTTCCCGAGCTAGGTTCCAAGAAAGAATGTCCATGTATCCCACTCGGAATTTGTTCCTTGCAATACCTGGTTTTCATTTTCATATTTTTCATTTATTTTTGTTTTAGAAAGGACGTATCAGCATTAGAAATATTGACTTACTTGTAGAGGGCTGTAGGACGTCCTAATTCATGATACCTGTAGTATTGCGCAGTCAGTTTACCAATTTCTAATTTATTTTATTTGAGGAGGTGAGACAAAATGATGAGAATTTTGAATTGTCTCCTCAAAAACAGACCCAAACATTCATTAAACTTCGGTTCAGGGGCACTGGAGTGTAATTACCATGCTTCGTGACTACCAGCGCCAAAACTCTCTCTCATTGTACCAGCCGGTAGCTGAGCAATCTTGTTGTACAAACAGCGTAACGGATCAACGCGATCAGCGGTAGCTTCCATAAGTTCGTGCGAGAATGTGTGGTCGATTGAAACGAGTTCCGTATTGTTTTTTATGATTTCTTGGGTCCAGGTTGAGCTGAGAAGTTCCAATTTTGGTATGTTGAAGAAGCTTGCCCTCCTGCCCTCGCTAACCTTTGCGCTGACCACGAGGCCCGTCACTCTCTGTGGCAATTTTGACAAGGTCCAAGAGATATCTACCGCCCCCGTGCTCTCTAATTCTGGTGGTACCCAAAGTAGAGCTGTAAGGTTGGTATAATTGGTTCCTCCGGGCAGCGATTCGAGGTCCATGCCTTTCTGCAATGCTTTCTGAAAGTAGGTTTCAAAGGATCCGGCCTGAGTGGAGGTTGTAAAGTTGTCTGCAGTGCTCATTTGGTCATTGCAAAATATAAATGATCCAATGGCTTTGGAAGTAGTCTTCCCAGCCTGCCCATAACTGACCTTAAGTGTCAATGTATTGCCTTGTAAATCGGGATCAACTCTTAACTGCGATGAGGATGCATCTAAACCAACACTGAGACTGCTAGATGAAACACGCTTTGGTGACCAGCCTTCGTTGACGAATTCTGTCCATGCCATTGTTATCTCCCAAATACGCACAGGCTCCGCTATATTTGGTTTCTGAGTGCGCAAAGCATCGAATGAGTTTAATCCATCTAGACTTGATATATTCTTCACAATTGTCTTGGGCATAATCGTTGGCATGAACAAGTATAACCTGCCTTTGATCATTATTGGAAGGAGATAACTGCCTGTATCCATAAGTCGCTGACCTTCCCACTCCGTCTCAATAGACGGGATATCCACCTCAACCTTGGTCCATGGTCGCCAAAATACCTCTGCGGTCCTCAGCCTAGTCAGAGTACGATAGTAGAAGGTATATGGTCCACTTCGGGTCCGCCCAAATAAGTGGAAAATATCCGCGGCTGCCGGTTGCGGCTCGTGAACATATGCAACAATATCGAGACTGGAAATTCCGTCTAGATCATATATGTAGCTCTGGATAGCTTGGAGGAAAGTGTTGATGCTTAAGTCTTTCTGCATCAAGGTGGCCTCGAACTGGTCGAATAGCTCACTTTTGTCATCTCGAAGTGTAGGGTCGATCCAATTTTCCGGATACAGGAAAATCTTCCTGTGGACCTCCCACAAGGTGTATTGTTGCAACCAATCCCATTTTTCATGCCCCAGGACTGATTTTGCGACCCCTTCCTCCAGTCCTAGCAGACATCGTTGAACAAACATCTGCACAACCGAAATAGCCTGCTTGATTCGTGAAGTTCGAATTTGGGATCCCATCTGCACATCGACCAAGAAATACTCAAATAGTCCATCAGCATCCCAGATACCAAGGTCTCGTGTGATGAATTTCTGTTGCAAAAGAAAAGTTACGAGCGCCTTCCGCTGACTCTCCATCAACCCTTCATCCGCGGTTTCCCGTTGTGAAGGTGTCAATCTGTTTTGAAGACTCTTAGCAGCTTCCATGTAGGTATCTCCATTATGGAGCTGCGGCGGAGGTCGTGCTAGATCAAAGAGCTCAACCATAAGAGGCTTGGAGGTGACATTAGATGAATCACCTAGCTTCTCGTAAAAGTCGATAATAGCTCTGAGGCTTATAAAGGCATCATGGAGGCGCAAAGTTGCTACAAGATCTGCAGGAGTAAAGTTTGGGTATTTTGCATTCAGGACGCTTTCTACTAGCGTATCTTTCCAACCAGTGCTCGCTCCAATTTTGGTTGCAATTGTCTTTACATCCGGATTGGTGGAGTTATACAGCCACGAAAAGAGACTGGTAAGGTCACTATTCGTATTAACGTGGAGGAGCCCATCCCTTAGTTCACGATACTCTTGAAGGTGGACCAAGTCTATCAAAGACGATGAGTTTAGATCCATTGCCAATATTTCGTGCTCCGTTTGTTCTTGTCGGTTCATGTACTGAAGTTCTGATGTCGTCAGTTGCACAGTCTGAGAAATGCATACTGCCCGACGGATGGCGTTCAAGATTAAATTAGCTTGTTGGACAATTGATGATGGCAGAAGCTCTTCCTCCGTAAAGGGGGTCATCATTGATCTGCATGTTGACCATGCGAGTTCCGAGGCAGAGAATACACCCTGTAGAAGGTATGACTGCCCGGCATTCATGCGAAAAGCGTTCCACGCCTTTGATACGGTATTAAATGGTACCTCAATCCCGTTTATCGTCAGGCTGGGAACATCTAAATTGCCAGTATAGTGCAATATGAAATCATCGGTGATTGTGGGTATGAAGTATGCATCTACCTTTTTCGCATCAATCTTCGTTTTTACCGGTTCACTCAGGTGTTTCAGGGCCGCCATAGCTGATTCAACTCCATTATTTTGATTCGTTGGTACTTTCACAGTATCTGTAAGAAGGTATGATAGGACTGATATATCGACGTCTAGCACAAGATCTTTCATAATGTTGAGGATAGACGTCGTAAGAGTATCTTGCACGATGGCAGGCGCTGCTAGATCGACAAACGCAGCTCTTCTTTCTCGAACTTGGGACTCGGTCTCGATCAAAATGTCATTTGGAGAGGGAGCCGAAACAAGTGTGGTTGCCGACGGATTGTTCACACCAAGCTGGCTCGGAGCCCAGTCTTGCATGAGGATATTACTTGAAAGCTTCCGCGAGTTGTTTTGAAAGCGCGACTCGATGACAATTTGAGGAAGAAGCGAGTTTTCAACGAGAATTCTCAGCGCAGTGGTTAACGAAGGAAGCAATGAAGAATCAAGCATAATTTTCTGCTTCTCCTCCGTAGTCAAAAGACCGCAGAGCCTGAATTGAGCAGAATAATTTTGGGCTGTTGAGGAAGGAATCACTGAGATTTTCTTCGGCCAGTCCTTCGACAGATCTATGCTTTTTTGTAGATCTTGTTGCGTGTCAAGTGTGATAGCATTTGTTCTAACCTGGGAACCTGTAGGATTAATGTCAGCGTGTTAGAACATAAGCAGTGGAATATAGAGAATTTCACCTTCAACAAACTCGACCACTAGCTTGGCCGTAACTGAGTCAAAGGCACGTCCCGCACAATCGAGAACTGTCTCAGGAGTGAGAATGGCTCCGCTGAAAAGAGATGAAAGTGATTTTCTCAATTCTTTGTTCCCTTCCAGTATTGCGCTTGTCAGCTGCAGCCCAGAATCTCCTGCTGTCATACTGCTTTCATCACTTGCGGGTCCTGCGAGAACTAAAAGAAGTGTTTCGATAGTCCAACCTGAATTGAGTAGCGTCGTCCAATGCGTTATATTAGCAAGTGTGGTTTTGGGACTTGCCAAGGGATCTTCTTTCTTGAAGAAGATCTTGAAGAATGGCACACATTCCTTGGGACTGACAGAAAGAATCCGGCATATCGTAGCATATCGGTATAAAGTAGAAAAGGTCTCAATGGTTAAATCAGCATTTGAGAGATTTGTGGCTTGGAGAAGATCTCCGAAGTATTCAAAACGCCAATTGAGGCTTGCACAGATGTTGGCACCGCATGCTTGAATTTTGTATGTCTTCCCATCAGGCTGAAAGTACGCAGAATCTTCAGGAACTGCGAATATTGGCCCCAAGGAAAGACGAAGAAACTTGCGGTGGAGTAGTGATTCTTCTCCAAATGAATCGATGGGGCCCCATAGAGGAATAAGAAAATCAGGTTCTATTCCGCACAGGTCACTCAACTTAACAATCGCAGCAATACCTTTGATCACATAGACGGAAATGGATTGTACTTCAGTTATAGTGCTCGACTTAAAAGAAGGTGAACTCTCCAATTCCCTGTTGCGTAAGCAGTAAATAGCAGCGTCGAGTACTCTGGTCGACCAACCAAGTTTAGCCTTCAAACGCAAGAATGACTGGAGGTTTCTGCATATTTTTGAAGTAAGAGGTTGAAATGGTGGGCTAGATGCGTTCGACAGTAGGCGAAGATCTGAGATTGATTCGGTAAACTCGTTGGACCCAGACTCGTTCGTAATTACTAGTTGCTGGCCGAAAAGTTGAGTCTTTACGAGGTCAAGAACGTCTTGAAACTCCAAGCCAGACCTCTGCATGAGTTGGCTTTTGATCTGCGACAAGCCGCTTGCACTTCCTAACATGGTTTCATCATCCTCATAACCCCACAAATGGCAAAACTCGTATTCTTGTATGCCTGTGTCAATGAGCGTGTCACTCGAAAGACCTCTTAGAAGGTCACTTAAAGACTGGGGGAAAAAGCTCTCTCCTGTAATTGCTGCAAATTCCATCTGATGCAGACCCAATGCTTCTGCTGCCCTTTGTCTCTCCAACACCTCTCCTGCTCCCCAAGCTAGCGACCTCTTCATGTCATCGTTAGTGATTTTCCCTTTTATTTTCTGCAGAATGAGCTCCGGTGCTTGAAACACATCAACAAAGTCACGATGTGCTACTTGAAAAATGTTGAAGTACGAGATTACCATGTTCCGTGCCTGGTCGTAAGGAAAGCAGGTGAAAGGGAATCTCTGATGCGAGATAATCTTAGAATAGACCTCATAGTCTGTATTTCCGGGAAGATTGAGTGGCTGAGGAGAATGACCATCATCTGGCGCATCAACGGGGGTATTAAATGCGCGAATAGAATCAGGAGAGGATAGACACTTATAGCGAATGAAAGATTCGAGCACCTCATTTACGAGACTGATGTACGGAATCATAGTCTGCGAGTTTGCACAGGTGAGTTCAAGTTTCCTGAGATCTGGGCGCCGTCGTGACAGATGATTTAGCAGACTATTCCGAGTGCCTGGTGGGTCATGGACTTTTGAAACTTCCCCTGTTGGAGTAGTATTACTGAGCAAATTCATAAGGTCAGCGAAATAGGCGGAAAGGGAAGTGACCGAGCAGCATTCCTCGCACGTCAAATCTTCGAGCTGAAAGATATCAGTGAGGTTGTTGTGAGACTTTCCCATCCAAGTGTCATCACTTGGTGCATCAATTTTCTCCGCTTCAAAGTAAGGATCAATCATAACCGAGTCTGCCCTACGGGAATTCATCAGGTGTAGCCAGAGTTGCTCGTTCCAGCAGTCCACACGCTCTGCGCAGTCATAGATCTTGAGGGCATTCTCAATGCTAGCACCAGCCGCGACTAACTCATTCTTGAAGTTGTTCTTTGACTGGACCGTGATGCTTCGCACAGAGCGATAGTTGGAGTTATAAAGGTGTGCCACATCCTCTGGATCTTCAACGAGGCTGGAGAGAATTTTCAAAGACTTGATAAATTCAATTGCTGAAGAAAATTCTGCGTCTCTCAGATCGGGGAAGCTTTTCTTTACAAGGGGCAGAAGCTGTTGCGATCTAACATCAAGCTCATCGAGCTCCATCGCAGTTAGAATGCACTCTGTTATGCGCTCAGAGCGGTCTGCGATTGAGAACTTATTTTCCCTCAACAAAATAAGCATGAAAACGAGTGGGTGGTCATCTAGAAACTCGGCGCGAACTTGTTCCAATTTGGTGATCGTCAAATTTGTTGTCGCCCAATTATATGGAAAGTCGGCTGGATTTACCCCTAGCTTTTGATCCAGCACGTTGCGCGGGAAAAGCAACAAAACCAGATCTTCAAGCGTATAAGCTCCCAAGAGTGAGAGAATTCGGCCGCAAACATACTCTTCGTCGTCGAAGTAACCCAAGAGTGATCTCACAAAGGTCATGACATTAATTGTCTGCGCAGGCACATTCCCTTCTTCGAGGAACCAATCAATAGCCGATCGAGGATCTCCAGGCCAAAGGTTACTGGCATGAGCTAACCTATCTCGTAGGCCGCCGCCAAGAAAGCTCTCGTCAATAGCCTCAACAAAAGACGGCATAGTGGTATTACTGATTACTCCAGCATGAGCTGGAACGTTTTTGCAGTTATGAAAAGAAAAAGGCGATTAAAGGTTCAATCAACCCTGGATTTGTGGTTGGTTATGTTTTCCTGTAATCTTTGGATGTTGGTTACCTGCTTTGTATTATTTTTCGATTCCACTTCGTACGCAGACTCACAACACCCTTGAACCCCACGCTTTACAGAGGAGCCACATCTTTCTTTGAAATTAATTTGATCTACTCAGCTCGTTTGCAAGACGCATTCATCGTATGCCATACTTTCCGCAAGTTCGCACGGAGGCATGTACTCCGTAGCTACGTCCGTAACACTATGGATGTGCATCGCATAAGGCTAATGCAGCAAGTGACATAAACTCTAGTTTTTGCTACCGTATATGTACTACCTTTTCAATCAATAATTTGTATCTCCAAGCAACTCAGACAGTATATGATTCTTAGTCTTCTTGAAAAGGGTTTACAAAATCTTTTATTTATTAAAAGCAAGATAAGACAAGACTATTAAAGCGCTATCTCGATCAAGTATTTTATTATATCAATCTCAACTCTATGTGTTTTATGGTTTTATTTCAAAAATTTAAAAACTAATGTGACGGAAACCCCTGCTTTTCTCCCACCCTTATTATATAAGAAACCTCAGGTACATTAACCATGTTCACATATGATACGATTACTCGGGATTAGTATACGATTTAGGTTGTCTGAGGATCAGATCCGAACAAGTACTAGGTATCAATGGTTATCGGTAAAGTAAGATCATTGAAGGGATAAATATGACTTCTTTTTGCCTAGCCATTGTGGCTAGACCATTCATTTGTGTATATATAGAGTAGCTATCCCCATCTACAGGTGCTCTTCACCTGTAGATTCTAAGTTAAATACAATTGCTGGTCTATAAACACCCTTTTGGTCACATATATTATAATACTTTTCAAATTTGGGTTTTATTTGAATTTCTTATTCAAAATTAGTCGTACTTCTAAAAGCTAAAGAATAAAAGAAAGAGAAATGAGTAGATCTCGGAACCTCTCCGTTCTCTATTGAGATTCAAATGCAGCAGTAGCTTTTCCTCCTGCACAGCAGACCCCCAAACATGCTTTAAGGTTATGCGAACCCCGCCTATGTTTCTGATCTGTCATACTTTTCCCCACGCAACTTGCTTTTCGCCTGCAACTACGAGGTCTTCGAGTGCGGTAGACTCTGAGTAGAGAAGTCGTACTTGGAAAAGGGGCTTGGAAGTGCTTCTATGCTCGCATCTGTGCTCCCTTTGGTCAAACACGCCTTGAACACAGAATTCGCTTCTATTACTATCTCCCGCCCCAATTTCTTGTTACAATTCTATAAGTACTATATTTTCTTCCACCAATTATATCACATCACAAAATCTAAATTGATGGACTGCGGAGGATCCGACCAAAACCCACTTAATTACCCTTCCCGTCTAAATCTTTGAAATTTTGAAAAGAGAACACAAACCTTGAATAAAAACTTTGTTAAATTCCTTCCCGCAATTCAATACTGGATAAAATATCGAAATCACTCAGAGAGAAAAAATGGCTGTTTCTGCTATTCAGGGAGTCACTATGTCAACCGTGAGGGCAGATCTGGAGTCTATTAGCACGGATCAGTGAGTTCAAATTTATAGACTGCAGCCGGGTTTTTATCCTTTTGTCTGTTCTTTTTTCCAAGTTTGTTTTTTTTCTTCTCATTATGAAAACATTCCCAATTTTTATAAGTCATCGATTTGTATTTACATCGACATTTTTCGCTAATCTCTCTTTCCAGAGCTCTTTGGCTGCAAAGTATGTTCTCCCAGCATATAATACCGATCGCGATACAGAGATTAACGGGAATTCATTATCCTTTTGGGTTCCTATCATATCCCGTGAAGGAAATGAGTGCTTGATCTTTAACTTTAGCTAACTTTGAGGTCAACAGGTTGGGAGGCAAACAAGTGGTCTGATGTCGACGAAAATGGCGTTGTGTAAGTTGGTTTCTTTGCCATACGTTTTCGACACCTTCTTCTCTAGATACAAGTTATTTCTAGAAAAGAAGAGTAGTATGACTTCTACTCAAAAATAAACACGGTGAATTGCAGCTCGGGTCTAAAAGGTACTTCTCCTTCTGGCCTTCGTCCAATCCGAGAATCTCATCTTCGACTTGGAGTTTCCACTTTAGTCACTTACTTCTTTCTTGTCCCCTATTGCTAGCCCAAACTGTGCGGCATCAGCCTTGAATTCTCCCTCACGGAGGCTAGAGAGGGCCCTTTCAGCCCAATATCAAGCACATACTTTTCTGAATAGCATTTTTCTTGTGTGGTAAATTTGCTAATTCCTGGAAATCTTTAGTGGCGGAGTCTTTGTTTACGGCAAGCACCTTAATCCCTCTCGGCGCTTGCCACTTATGATTAGCAAGTTCTAATATTAATAGATCCCGTTGTTGTCTCCTTGCCGGCCAACAAGGTTCATTGCTTTGCTCTGTAAGAATTTATTCAAGCGTATTGAAAGGACACGTATTGATATCTGATTATAACAGCGGTCTCAACTCCAATGTATATCATAAATGGTACAGTCCATCAAGTGGATGGTCGGCTTGGGATTCTATGGGTAAAAATAGCATTTGTGCTCCTATTGCCATCAAATATGCTGTTAACAAGGTTGCTGTCTTTATAATTGGATTCGATAATCTGGCCTATGCCGGTCTGAGTACTTCCGAGTATGTTCTTTTTCTTTATGACATAGAATGCTGGATTGTTTCCGAAGCTAAATCACAAATCAGTACGGCGTTCACCTGGACATGTATCGGTGATAAACTTAAGAAGTTGTGAGTTACACTCTAGGCTGACAGCACTTAGGACATAATTACTAATATGCTCAAAGAAAGGGTGGCTCCATAACAGCCTGTGGTTACGACGGTCGAATTATTTTATTCGGCGTAGAACTTAGTTCTGGTAAGCTTATTCACACATGGACGGGGCCAGGAAATGTCTGGATTGACTTTTGGCATACCTTTGATGGTTTTTGTTTGAGTAATCCTGTTATGGTATCTTGCAAGCCAGACTGTGTGGATGTTTTCGTATTCGGAGAAACTCACAACTTGAAGCGAATAAGTTCCAGAAATGGCATATGGGGATCTTGGCAGGATTGCCTTGGCACATATCTGTATGATGTAAGTACTTCATGATTGTTTTAGAGAAGTTTGAGCTCATCCTTTTGATGTAGCCCACCGCCGTCTCCGTGTCTCCAGGTCGTATAGATGTCTTTGGCATTGGTTCTGATGGACAACTTTATCAAAGTTACGTTACCATTACGGGAATGGAGATTGGAACAATCACATCGAAATCTATTGGGGCACTTTCTCTATCAACTCCAAAAACGTCAGTCACATCACCTGGCGTGTTTTCAGTCACTACTGAGAGTGCAAAAGGTGTTTATCAGCAGAATTTGTAAGTTGGTTTGATCTTATGAGATTCCTTGAGAACTATTTACTGACTGTCCTAGTTATGAGTCTTCTAACGGAGTTTGGGTACCCCAAAATGCATGAAGTTAGTTCAGTCTGGATGATAAAGCCATGAGGAGCGTTGAGGGCACGAGTTCTTGAAAATGCAGGATATTTTCACTGTATTCTGGCATGAAGCACTGTCATTTCTTCCACACTCCGATATAAGATAACATGAGAAATACCACAACTCTTCAGGACTTCAACGGCTGCTCTATAATAAAACTTTTTCCTCTTCTGCTTTTGAGATTATCCCCCCCCCCGTAGGCGGTCCCAACCATATCCATTATCACAGCTAGTACCTTGAGCTTACAGCCTGCAACTTCAACCATCTTGACCAAAACATGCAACAATGCTTTTTGATGATTCAAAATGTTGTACCTACTCTATCAATTACAATATATGATGTCTTGAAAGGGCAAAGAAATTTATTACCCGTGCTAAGATATTTCTAATGGCTCCTAGTTTAGCCTTCTCGTTCTCCATGAATAATCTCAGTGTTTATCTTCATTGCCCATAAGACGGTATTTTTCCACATCCGGATTCAGCTCCGGATATTGAATTTCATTCTGGAGACATTCTTTCTTTGAAATTTTATCACTAAGGGAATCGAGATAATAATTTCGTAGCTACCAGTACTAATTAACACGAAAAATCCTCTGTCGCGTGCAGGAACTGCAATTAGCAAGATATATGTAGAGGCTGAAGAACCTAAAGATCAGCCCGCTAACGAGCCATTCTCAGCACCCTCTATGAGAGACTTTAATGCTTTTATTCTACGCAATATCATTGCCAATGACGTTCGAGCCGAAGGAAACGAAAGTGAGATAGAGATCACAAGTGAGAAGTTATGGAGTTTGCTCAAGCGACTCCTTGGCCATTGGCCTTGTCATTGGTTTGATGGTTGTCAAGTTATTCTGCATTCTCCTTATGAGCCTCTTGTCATGTATTGGAATGACTTCAAAGCGTCAACAGAAGAAAAAGCCAAAGAAGAAACCGAAAACAAGCACGGGCTGGTCTTAAGCTTCTTCTGGAAATCATTAATAGTGGATTTGGAGATGGTAAACTCGATAAGTATTTCAAAAGTTTCGAGTCGGACATAGATCAAAAGACAGTGACGTACGAAACTGTTGACCTCCTAGGATCTTGGCAGCATATGCATGTATATTGCATGATGCATATAAGGAGCAAACAAAACTCAACTTTTAATTTATTCTTTCCTTTTTGGTATACTGTTTGTTTGCTTTCAATATTTTGATTTCAAAGCACTTTAATTCCGAAGGCTGAATACCTAATCTTATTCCTTCATTTTTTTTGAATATATACTCGCAGCTTAACTGCTTAGCTAGAGAATCAATCAATTCAATCTGATGCTCTTTCTGGTCTCAAGAAACCCAATAGAAACCCTCTGGACAATCTTTTCACCAGGTACTCTAGTATGTGGTGACTTTTTCCAGCGAATATTGTTTGTTTATGAGAACTTGAGACTGGTACGACATTCCAATGACAGAGATTGGAAACTTCTAGCCTAGACATACGACTGGGATAAAAGTTTTTTCAAGCGATCTCCTGCAACGCTCGCTGTAGAGGGCTTTGAGGCTACAAAGCTATTTCCTCCCTGGCATTCTTTCCTGATAATTTTCATGATTATAGTGAAGGTGTGGCAGATTGATCGAGTGAGGGAAAAGATTCCGACATTAGTGTACAGCCAAGAATGCAGACTGTATGCTTGACTATGGGTATCAAGTAATATTCGAGCAGCGGGGTCTCCGGAGGCTCAAAATGATGATGATAGAGTTTTTCAAAAATGCTATTTTGTTTTGAACATTAAGGTATAAATAACTAATTTTAGAATGATGATGCGTGTCGAGCGTCATACGATTACAGAATCAGACACCGCATGTATAATTATAGCCCAAAAATGGATCTGACTAATCTTCCACCGACTGCGAAGCCAGCCAAAATAGGCCGTAATATCTTGCGAAATCTACGGTGTTGATTGGTCTTCTGAGATTGACGGTAGAGTCATGATCGACTTCGAGCCCTATGTCCACTACGGACCAGCCTTTGCTAGTATTGGCACACTGACACTAGGAGACGATGTCGATAAGTGCGGATGTTACGCATGCCAAAAAACCAATCTCTTTGAGGGAATCTTTTAAGCAGATTTGACGAAGTGATCTATCAGCAATATGGATGGCATGATGAGCAGGATGCGTTGTACCTGCCTAGAGTTCTCGAGTATATCCTCCGCTAATAGCAATGGCCTCGGCTACAGGCCACATTTCTCAAGGAAATTCCTGAGAATGACTTTCGTAACTCAGGAGTAGCCAATAAAGTTGAAGGGAATTCGTTGGTCTTCGGTCCGTATCTGATCTCATGCCAAACTTCAACTTATAACACAAGACCGAGCTAATTTTCCCCCTTCCAAAAACAGCATTTCTACGCGTTCTCGAATAATATGAAGGAATTTTTATGCTTACCACAAATCAAATTTCCCAATTCGAGGTTGCAATCAAGTCTTGTATTCATGTAGCCTTTAAGTACGAGGAATGGACCCCGCAGCAGACACTGGTGGATTCCTCAAGCCAGTAGACAGAAAAGAACTAATTGACAACATGAAGTGTATCGAAGAGTGGCTCACCGTTTGTGTTATGACGCATGAAGTTGTATGGGACGAGAATCCGCAACATCGTCACAAGTGCAGTGGGACTTGCTCGAGCTGAAGCAAGAGACCAGAGACCAAGGCTCACTTATAAGCACCTGAAGACGATGATTGCCGGCACATCGACAATTCTTTTGAGCTCAAGTATGAGACGATAATTTGACAATGGAGCTGATGTAAACTCGTAGCAGTAACGGGATTGCCTATACGTAGCAAATGAAAGAGATGAATGAGATGGATAAAGAATATGAAGGTTAGAAAATGGTAAAATGTTTGCTGCTGCATAATTTGTGCATAAAATTGAAAGAAATGAATGCACAAAGTAGTGAATGACATAACCTTGAAGATAAAACATGTGACCTCGCGTCAACATGAGCAACCGTGACTTTTGATCTGCCAAGTTGTCGCGTCAACTGAATCTCCTCAATTTTGTTTGCAACCATCACTTATTTTTGACTGTCGCTACCCTTAATACAAAACGATAACAACAAATGTGCGGGCTACTATCATAAAATTCGTTTTATCACGTGAGGGACCGTAATTCACTTCGGGTTTGAGCAATAGCCACAAAATCATTTTTGCCTCTCTTTTGCCTCTCTTTTGCCTCTCTTTTGCCTCTCTTTTGCCTTTCTTTAGCCTTGTCCCCTTATTGAGTCGCCAACCAAGACTACAAAATGCCTCCTCCAGCTGACTGTGGGAACCCTTTGCTATTGAAATGGCTCGAGGAATGGGTCGTCGAAGCACAAGAACGAGGATACAAATCTCTTCCTGCCCTCAAAAAAGCACGAGATTCTATGAAAGCTTGCCCTATGCGATTCGATCATCCAAGTGAAGCAGTGTGCCTGAATGGACTTGGAGAAGGACTTGCAAAGAGGTTGACGGATAGTCTCGAGAAGTATTGCGATGAAATGGGTATTGCTATGCCTAAAAAGTCGAGGGGCAAAAAGAGGAATTCAGTTGCTGCTGATGTGCCAGGGAATGGAGATGATCCCGCTTCGCCTTCGCCATCACCAAAGAAAGTTAGGAAGACAAAAACCTATGTTCCGAAATTAAGATCAGGTGCTTATGCCATTATGTTGGCTTTAGGGACTCAACCACGAAACAGCAGGATTGGGATCACCAAGGAAGAGATCATCGCATTAGCAGAACCTTATAGTGACCACTCTTTCACACAAACAAGACCAAGTGAATTTTTTACGGCATGGAATTCTATGAAAACTTTGATCAACAAAGATTTTGTGTATACAAAAAAGAACCCAGCAACGAGATATTATCTCACGGATGAAGGATGGGATCTCGCCGATACCATCAAGGCTAGTGGTGACCCTACATTAGGACGAGCACATGATTTCCAGCCTGCTGCACCAGGCCCATCTAGTACATCAGCAAGAAACCAAGATGTGGACACCGATTCCGAACTCGAAGAAATTGACCCCCAAACCCGTGCACGACCTCAAGCAAATCCAAATATTCCCGACATACCGGAAGGGGACGCTGTTAGCATTCCAACCTTCGAACCCATCATCCTCCGTCCTGGCACCTTCACCGTCGAGCTCATTCTCGACAACCGTGAAGTAGCTAGCAAAAAAGATCGGGATGGAATACCCAACCGACTAACCGATATGGGAGTTGCTCATTCCGTTCGAGCACTTCCGCTGGGTGATTTTCTCTGGGTAGCACGAGTCCGTGAAGACAAAGCCAAATGGCTTAATCTCGGAAAATCCAATCTCATAATGTTGGACTACATCATGGAACGCAAACGACTAGATGATCTCATTGGTTCTATAAAAGATGGTCGATACGAAGAGCAAAAATTTCGACTCAAGAGATCTAGTATCACTAATGTGAAATATTTGATCGAAAATAAGAAAATCGACGCAGACATTATGGATAAATGGGGCGACGGAATCACAACTTCGATTGCGAAAATGATGGTTCAAGATGGTATTAATGTTAAACAAACTCTCGATCTAGGTGAAAGTCTCCGATACATTGAACGTATGACGAAACTCCTCAAGAAGCAATATGAAGGAAATCCACTCTACATTGTCCCCACTACGGTTTTGACGCTCAAAAATTACAGCCCATTAATGCAACATCTCAGGAACACGCAACCAGATAGGGAATATAGTATCACATTCGATGCATTCGAGGGACTATCTAATAAATCACAAAATCTCACATTGAAAGATGTTTATCTTAAAATGCTTATGCGAACGAAAAGTATTTCGGCTGTAAAAGCAATTGAAATTCAGAAGAGATGGCCTACACCCAGGGCCTTCTTGGAGGCATTTGAGAATCTTGACGGCGAAGTGCAAGCCGATGAAAGAGGCGCGCGGGGTGTAGGAGCAGGAAGTGCGGGCAATGGAATGGGGATGAGAATAGGAATATCCAACGAAAAACCAAAAAATAAAGGAAAAGGTCCAGCGATAATTCTAGACTCGGACGAAGTAAGTAAAAAGCGGAAGAGGGAGATGGTGTCCAAGGAGATAGGCGCATTGGTTGGGAATAAAAAGGTACAAGGGGCTTTGAGCGCGAAGATTGCGGAGGTATGGGGTGGTGTTTTCTGAGGGTGGTATGCGGGAGGAAAGTAGAGAGTGGGAATAATGAGCGGTTTTTGGTGTTAGGGGAAGTATTGGGAATTATTGGGAATGGATAGTGGGATTTGATATATGCTCATCTCTTTCACCTCTAAAAAAATTCAAGTGTTTACTATCAAGTTTTCCCGCTTACACCTTTACGAGACATACAATGTAGGATGAATATTAGATGGATATAAATATAAATACAAATACAATCATAAATATAATTTTTATAATTTATTTACTCTTTTATCTT